GAAATGAATCAAAGACATAATGATTTTTCATGGCCATAGGATTGTTCTCAGTTTGACTTGTACTTCCTTCAGGATCAATCAAAATTAATTTTTCTTTTCAATTTTTAGTTTTGAATGAAATAATAAAAGGATTTTCTAGCCTTGGATGCAAGGATCTTCTACCATGCATAAACAATCAATAAATTCAAGGAAAAAGTTTAATAATTATTACCCTCTTTCAATATGCTCCAGTCCTTGCCTTGCTTCTCTTCATTCTTTTTTTATTTAAAAAAACATTTGACAAATATAAAATAAAACAAGAGTTAAATTTTTTTGTGTACTCTTAGAGAAAAATAGAAAAATACTAAATATTATGTAATACACCCCCAACAATGGTGCCAAAATTTGACAAAAGGGTGTGGATGTCAAGATGACGCAAGATGACAAATGCGAATCGGGTGAGAATAGAGTTTTACCCAGTGATTCTTACATAAGCGATTACAGATAATTTAATTGATCAAATTAAGATCTATAAAAGTTAAAAGAATCATAACTGAATGAAGTATATCTTGATAAATTTAAATCACACAAATTATCACTAAGTGAAGTGAAAAGTAAGTTGAAAATAAGAAAATAGAGTTTCGGCGTCGAAGCGGCAATGCATCGGTGATGTATTGGAATCTTGAGCATTCAGGAGGATCGTTGTGTAGTGTTTACAGCCTTGAAGGCTCTCCTTGGACAAAGACGATGTGGGCAATCTCTAAATGAAATGGGTCATCGAATTATCTCCAATGACTGTTACCTAGCGGAGTAAAAAAATAACGACTTTGTGGCTCTCCGGTGACTGTCACATGACAGGGAGGAGCTGGATGGAGGTGGGGCATATGTCAAAGAGCTTTATCCTTAGGTCTATGTAGTAAGAGGAAACTCTTCATCACATCTAGTACACTCTTAGGAGGTGGTGACTCATCTCTTGACAGATCGTCCTCTTCCTAATGACGGCTTGTTTATCGATCAATTAGAGATGCTTTGCTCAATGGATTCGTGATCCTTTTATCGCGAATCATTTAACAATTTTAGTAGCAATGCCCCGCAAATCACGTTGACAAGATTTTCGTCGATGATCTAGCGATTCTAGTTGTGTAATCCTTCACCGACGATGTGTAGGAAAGTCGTGATAATCAGATGAAACATATGAGTTTTGACTTTACGAGGATTCGAACCCGTGTCGGTTGCCTGACCTTTTTGGGAAAAGTGTAATGCGGGTTTAGTCCCACATCGCTTATGCACCAAAGTTTATAGTGAATATATAGTAATATTATATTTCTGATCAAGTCTCTTTCTCACATGTGTATGACCACTCCTTGCCCCATAGTCAGTTGGCCACTAGTGACGTGGAAGGAGAGTGGCGCACACATGTCCTATTAGTTTTAGTCATTTGAGCTCTACTTGCGGCTCCTCCCCGACTATACTTCCGACATGCTTGCAGGCCCAGTTGGCCAATGGGTCCCCCCTAATTTTGTTATATTTTTATTTTTATTTATTTTTCTTTATTTATCTCAAAAGTAAGATTGTAAAAATCAGATAAATTCATTAAAATCACATAATTACCTAAAAATTTACGTTAATCAACTAAAAACTATTTTTCACACTTTAACATAAATATCAGTCTATTTATCATGACTTAAGGTTAACTATATTATTTAGTAATTATTAACTCATGATAATAAAGACTTATCATTAATTTTATGGGTTTAAAAATTATTCAATAAGTAATCATCTTCTTCTATGTGAAATGTTAAGGGATATATTTCAATGTAGTTCCTGAATGCTCTTGGGATCTAGTGATTGCAAAATAATAGTTCAGATTCTGTGGTTTTGAATCGACGGGTTTTTCCCTTCGAAGATTTCCCTTTTTGTCCTTTTTCGTCAATGGAAAAGTTTGAAAAATTCCTTCAATGCGCGATCTATTCAACGGTATACCGCCGTAGGTGCCGTTGATCTCCTGTCCGTGTCATGCACACACGTAGAGCAAGAGAGAGAAAGACATATTATAGACAAGAGCATTCAATGGGGGTAGGTGCATACGATCAGTTATTTATTGTGTCCCTCCGACCAACGTCACTGACAATCCCTTAGCTGCCCATTCAATTTACTCGTAGCAGGTAGTCGGTGTACTGGACTATCCCTTAGCTGCCTATTCACAAGTTTGATCTGATATCGTCAGGTCCCGAGGAACCTCCCGAAAGGCAAAAGACAGAAGGAGAGACCCGGGGAGGGAGATCAAAATGGAAGAAGGCCTGAGATCTGAGGAAACTCGGTCATCGTGGTCATGGCTTCCGTTTCTTCAGAGGCCTTTCTGCTGGCTCCAGCTTGCGGCGAGAAAGTTCCTTTCTTTCATGTGTCTCCGTTCGTTCTGTGGCGGTAATTGGAAGAAGCGCGAGGGAGATGAGGGAACCAGAGCCAGAGGCACCGCCTCACCGGTACGGACCCTTCTTCTTATGTACAAAGTTCTGCTCTTAGATTTCTCACCTGCCACATATTCTTAATCATAGGAGAACTCCGCTGCATGGCCGATGCTCCTAGGGTTCCTGCGGCGGAGGAAACCGACCAGGCCGGGCCCTGATCAAGGAAACGGCGGTCAGCATCACTGAGATCACTACAAAATCTAAGTGTGGCTGATGGCCGCTTCGGCCAAATCCAGGGATAAAAGGATGGGACTTCAAAATCATTTGGACACCTTATATTTTAGGAGTGTCGTAAATGGATTGGCGATATTTCTATTCCGATCGGCGTGTAAGGCCGAAATATATAATTTCTTTGTGAAAACGGAGACGGGCCCCTTGTCTGATCTCTCCGTCTCCGGAGAAGCTTATCACGAGATCGTCGGTGCCGTTGACCTCGGTGAACTTTCCTGGCGAGGGCGTAGTATCGAGAAAGCGTCCTTTGCTTTTCGATGAGGCAGGGAATCGGGCGTCGGTGCTGAACAGCAGCATCCATTGTAAGGGGAAGGAAATCCATTTGGCGTCGAAGGAGAGCTTGAATTGTTCCGGAAGGGGGGCTTTAAGTGGCGAGAGCGAGACAGGGGACGTTCAAGACTCCAACTTCCCCCATTGGTTGCGACGGCCGTGGAGTTCTCTCGTCGAAGAATTGTAAGGGCGACCGCCACCAACCACGCGCAGGCTGCCTACCGCGCTCTATTTCCTGAAGTGCCCATTCGCCAGTCTAGAAACCTTCTCAAACCTTTTCCTCTCTGGATCCTGATTCACATTCGCTAACGTGAACACGTCACCAGAATTCTATTCATATCGTGTGCTGTTGAACCATGAGGGGCATCAACGGCTGGATCCGGTCCGGGGCTGTCAGAGTCCAGTTTAATTTCAGGTCCCCTTCATGTGATCTGGCCATTGGAGAAGGTAATTAGAGAAAAAAACTTAGCCCCACCGCCTGTAAGAAGTTGAGAAATGGCTGGATCTAAAGGCACAGTTCCATATAAAGAGACACTTAATCAGATATCGAACGCCCCAGCAAAGTAACAGAGTGGGTTGGCCTAATTTAGAGCCTTCACGCTGAGAATAGCCCCGGCAAGCTGGGTGATCTCCATCAGCCTGGTCATCACACACCTGCATCCTTCTGCTCCTGAAATTCTCATTCTCATCCTGATTTGGTCTTATAACCTATAAGCATCTTTCTTTGGGCTTTGATCTTCCCATTTCTCCAGGTCAATGTTCCTTTATGTCAGGTTAGTGAGGGATGCACTCCGATCATTGGAAATCCCTTGCAATGCTTATGCATAGGGAGGTTCCTAGATATGAGGAACATTCATTGTGGTGCAGCAGCTGATGTAGATAAATTATGTAGCATGATGGGCTCACTCTTTTGCTCAACTCGTGCATTGCCCAGATTTTCGTTTGTTCATAGTTTTTCCATTTGCCTAAAATGATTTAGGAAACATGATCAGAAATTTTTGAGACCCATCTCAAAATCAGATTGCTCCGGGGATTGGCCTGTTGGACTTAGTCGTCATCTTTTAGTCTTGACTTTCTGATATGTGTATTTTGCACCATTGAATAGAGGTGGTGTGCGCCTAGAAGGACTTTTTATGAAAGAGGTTCCTAGAACATTAACCACGTAGATCTGTTACTAAGTGATTACTCATTCTTTTGCAAAGGTACACTTTTGGTGTTATATTTTAGTCATGTGATGGCTGTAAGATGAAGCATAAGTGGTAGTGAGTTAATACTTTTTGAATCCCATCAGACATATTCCTCTCATAATCAAGGTGAGACAACCTGTGAGTTGCCACCTTTACCAAGAAATGACACCATATATTTTGGCTCAACACCCCTTGGTTACTCTATTCTAAGGGCCTTTTCCTTGTGTCTTACCTCCAATTAATCTGATAATAGAACATCAAAACTTCTGTTTATGTTCTACATTCATTTTCTATAGGGCACCCCACATATTCCAAAGAATTCCTTTAAATTTTAAGGCTCTAGGGTTGTGTTTGTACAATCAATATTCATGTCAATGATGGCAGGAGAGATAGAGTGAGAGAGAGAGAGAGTGAGAGAGAGTTCTTGACAAGGGTAGAGAGAAACAAAAGGTCAGTTGGAAAGCCGAGAGAGAGAGAGAGAGAGAGATGGTTCGGTTTCCCCCTATTACTTGGAGCCATTCACAAGAATGTAAATCAAAAGTCAAATGCTATAACATTTGATTTAGGGCTTCATTGTGTAGAATGCAAGTCTATCAAATCTAGGAACTTAAAATTTTCATGCAGAAGGTGTCTTGTAATAAATGTTCCTAAAAAATGTGAATTTTTCCATACGTTGTCTTGTTAGAATGTTGTCATTAAGTTTTTTTACAACGTTTACTTTGTGTGTTTTCAATTGCAAAATGATGATAAAATAGTCTCAAGTGGCCAACCTCTTCCATTTCAATGATTTGCCCTCATATCTATTTGTGGATATGATAAAGCTTGATTTTAAATAAAAATAAAAATATAACAAAATGGAGGGAATTCACTGGCCAACTAGGCCCACAAGCGGGTCGGAAGCATATTTGGGGAGGAGTTGCAAGTAAGAGCTTGAGCGATTATGACTAATGGGGGCACATGTGTGCCACTCTCTTTTCATGTCACCAATGGCCAATCAGTTGTGGGGGAAGGTATGGTCATAGACATGGGAGAAAGGAAATCATTGCTTACAAATTTAATATTACTATATATTCACCCAAAACTTCGATGCACAAATGATGTGAGACTAAACTTGCATCACATCTTCCTTGATAGGCTTCAAAAATTTTAATACCAAAAATACTCTTTATTTATAATAGAGATATACTATGATGATGTCACTTGATAAGGGCATTAGAGTACTTATTTCAATCTCTCTCATGTAGGCAGACAATTGGCACAGGTTCAAATCCTTTCATAACCAAAACTCATATTTTTATCTGATTATTGTGACTTTCTTATAGACCATCAATGAAGGTTTAAGCTGCCAGAATCACTAGATCATCGGCAAAAATCTCGTCAATAAAATTTGTGGAGTATTATTACTAAAATTATTGAGCGATTCACGATAAAAGGATCGCAAATCCATTGGGAAGAGAACGATTCGTTGGGAGATGAGTTGTCACCTCCTAAAAGCATATCGGATACGATGAAGAGCCTCCTCTTGCTACATGAACTTAAGGATGAAGTTCCCTAACACACGTCCAATCTTCATCTAGCTTCTCTTTATTAGGTGACAGCCGTCAAAGAGTCGTAAAGTTGCTTGATATAAGACGGAGTGAGAACACCCTATACCTGATCAATGAAACTTGAGTCCCAAGATCGGGCAGTCGGATTGATCTGATAAGAATGTTTGGACCCTAGACTCTAAGTTTGAGCACGTAACCTAAGCACAGACAGGCGTACCAATATACATGATCAACCCATGACAACTCGGGAAAACACTCGACAATGGTAAGTGAGAGGCCCTCTCGGTCCATATCCGAACAGACGACAGAACTATTGTCGTGAAGTAGCCTAGGGTTGCAGCTCACAAACTGTGATGAGTTTGGTACAGCGTCAGAAGTCCGGCAGGTTGTGACGGAGCAGAGATCTGACGAAGGCAAGGACGTCCGGTGAAGAGCGATGCTCAACGTCGATGGTTGGTCCTGGTCGAGAGTCGCTGTAGCCATCGTCGTAAGGTGTGGCATAGTCAGCGGGGGTTTGGGCCCGCTGGTGGGTCGAAGGGCACGCTAGCGAGCGTGGGTCCGCTGGTGGGCCGAAGGGCACGGTAGCAGGCGCGGGAGGCAAGCCGCGCGGAGCCTTAGGGCACGCAGGAGCCGGCGCACGGGGCGTGCGCGGCGGCAGTTGCTTCGGCGGGAAGGCCGAGCGTCTGTGGCGCTTCGGCGGGAATGCCGAGCGTCGGCGGCGCTTCGGCGGGAAGGCCGAGCGTCGGCGGCGCTTCGGCGGGAAGGCCGAGCGTCGGCGGCGCTTCGGCGGGAAGGCCGAGCGTCGGCGGTTGGGGCAGAAACCCAACCATCACCGGAAGGATTGGCCTCTCTAGCGGCGCTGAGAAGCGGAGCAGAGCGAAGACGATCCGGCCGACGATACCAGGGAGGGTTGAACTCTCCTGGTCTAAGCGGCACTGGAAATGGCGCGACGGCGGCGGAGCGTCAGGAAACTCCGGTGGGGGGCTGCGAGGAGCTGGGACTGGTTCTGGCTCGTCAGCATGACTGCAGGGTCTCTTCCGACGTCGGCGGCAGGTCGGCGTTCGTCAGCGAATGGCCAGCGACTGGGCGGAGCGGCGGAGGGCGGCTTCGGTGAGTTTATGGTGGAGTTCCGGAGGAAGAGCCGGCAGTCGAACCAAGAGTCAAGAGACTCTGGTGGAGTGCTCGGCGACGGCTTGTAGGGAGGCGAAGTGAGCCCCTTTCATCACGACAGCATGACGTGGTTCCAGCAGAGGCGGTGGCAGCTGCAGTGGGAACCGCGACCATTTCGTCAGGTGACGGCGGCAAGCTCCCGGGCGGCAATGAGATGGCCGGCGGCGGCAGTGGTCTCAGGCGGCAGCAAGACTTCTCGGGCAGCAGCGTCACAAGGAACGAAGTCCTCGAAGGGGGTATCGATGGCCTTCCTCTTCCTCCTTCCCTCCCTATTCTAGGTCACGAGGAAGATAACTCACAACGATAATATGGCGCGCCTTTGAGGGGGGGTCCTACCTCCCCTTATATGGGGGCCCACAAGTGGGCTAAGGGGAGGTGGGCCCACTTGAGACCCTCAAGCCCATAAGCCACAAAGGCTACAAAAGGGACTTATTGGGCCTCTTAAAGAGAGACCCAATAAGCTCCCCTAAAAGGAGAAAGAGGAGGGCCCTCTTATGGTGCTTAAGTGGGCCTCAAATGAAGACCCAAATAAGCCCCAAAAGAGGCCCAAAAAAAGAAAGACACATAGGTCCCCCCCCTTAGGGTTTTAATTGGGCCTCAAAGAAAGACCCAATAAAACCCTAAAGAAAGGAAGACAAACAACAACACACATAGAATTGGGCCCACTAACACACAAATGTGAGGCCCAACAAGTCAACGTGAAAATACAAAGAAAGATAAGGGTGAGCTCGAGTTTGTTGTCATCGCGAAGGTGGAATGTCGTCATCCCGAAGGGCTAGGCCATGTAGCAAAAGCTAGACTCCTTTGTCTTCACGTGTCGATTGGGCTGAACTCAAATTGCTAGTGTCTCTTGAGCTGATGGAGACGGGTCCTTCTTGCCATCATTGTTGTTTTTTAACTTCGTCAGGTGACAGCCATCGGAAATGATTCGACAACCCATTTCATTGATCTCTAGACTTTGTAAAGAGATCTAGAGATTACCCATGTTGTTTTTGTCCAAGGAGAGTCTTTAAGACCTTGGACACTATATGACGATCTTTCCAAACATTCAAGATTCCAATACATCACTGACACATCACCGTTGTGATGTCGAAACTTTGTTTTCCCGCTTTCAACTTAATTTTCACTTCATTTAGTAATATTTTCTGTGATTTAAATTTACCAAGCTATATTTCATTCAATTAAGATTATTTTAGATTTTACAGATCTTAATTTGATCAATTAAATCATATGTAATCACTTACGTAAGAATCTATGGGTAGAACTCTATTTTCTCCTGATTTGTGTTCATTAGGTGCTGACATCATCTTGACATTTGCACCCATATTTCCCTTTTTTGTGAATTTTAAATATATTTTATTTTTATTTCCTAATATAAAATTTATAAAAACTCATATTCTTTGAGAAAAATTTTGAAAAATTATTCGATATTATATTACATTCCTATGATTGACTTGGAAAATTATCACTATTTTTTGGAATTTAATTTAATTATAATTGATATATTTATTCAAAAATACTTATAAATATCCAAAAATTAGTATTTTCTAGTTTTATAAATTTTAAATTTACGTGATTTACTATATAACCACTAAGTCACGTCAAGCATCAATCAAGACACATGAAACATAGAAAGGCTGTCTAGTCTTGCATGGAACTTCATTATCATGTCCATGTTTTCAAGAGGTCCTTCAAATGGACAACCTATTTTTTATTTGAGGTATCATGGTACATTATTCTCTATCCACTCATAACAATATGAGAATATGCTAGTGGATAGTTTCCAAATGGATGCATCAGACACACAAATGTCTATATAATACATTAATGATAGGAATCATGAATATGTTTATATTATAATTCATATAATTCTTTCTCATACTTTACTACACTAGTGTTACTCAACATTGATGGAAAATTAGAACTTTGTTGTACATATTCTTCAACCATTTTATTGACTCACTATTGTATAGAGATTTGATTTATTGATATGGTCACAACATTCCATAGAAATTTTGCCCATGTATGGCCTTGAATAGTGACAAGAAGATAATTCAGCTTACCCATTGGAAGAGGATAACTTCAATGTATGCCAAAGGACCTCATTTATTATACATCATAGCTGGTTGAAAAAATTCTGATTCTTGTGAGAGTTGTCATTGATAAGTCTTCATTATCATGAGTTAATAATCAGTAAATAATATAGTTTTAGCCTTAACTCATGATAAATAGACTTATATTTGTGTTAAAGCATGAAAAGTGGTTTTCAGTTGATTAACGTGAATTTTTGGGTAATTATGTGATTTTATACGATTTTTACAGTCTTAGTTTTGAGATAAATGAAGAACAAGAAATAAAAATAAAAATATTGCAAAATCGGGGGATCCGCCGGCCAGCCGGGCCCGCAAGCGGGTCGGAAGCGCAATCGGGGAGTAGCCGCGAGCAGGGGCTCGAGCGGATTGGTTGGATCGGTAGGGGCACGTGTGCGCCACTCCCCTTCCACGTCACCGGTGATCAGCCGGCTGTGGGGCAAGGAGTGGTCGTACACGCGAGAGGACTTTGCCTAGAAAGCTAACTTTACTCTATATTCGCCCGAATAATCCGCCCACAACCGATGTGGGACTAAATCCACCTTGTAAGGGGCGGGCGACCGCCGCGGGTTCGAATCCTCCTAGAGTCAAAATTCATATATTTTTAACTGATTATCGCGACTTTCCTGCAGATCGCCGGTGAAGGATTAAGCAACCGGAATCGCTGGATCATCGGCGAAAATCTCGTCAACGCGATTCGCGGAGCATTGCTACTAAAATTTCTGAACGATTCGCGATAAAAGGATCGCAATCCATCGAGTAAATCATCTCCGATTGATCGACGAACAAGCCGTCGTCGGGAAGAGGACGATCCGCCGGGAGACCAGTCGCCACCTCCTGAGAGCGTACCAGATGCGATGAAGAGCCTCCTCTTGCTGCGCGGACCTGAGGATGAAGCTCCCTAACACGCGCCTCACCTCCATCCAGCCCCTCTCCGTCGGGTGACAGCCGCCGGAGAGCCGCAAAGTCGCCGTTTTTCCGCTCCGCCGGGTGACAGCCGCCGGAGACGATTCGACGACCCACTTCATTGGTCTCTAGACTTCGCGAGAAGATCTAGAGATTGCCCACGTCGTCTTTGTCCAAGGAGAGCCTTCGAGGCCGTGGACACTGCACGACGACCCTCCCGAACGCTCAGGATTCCGGTGCATCGCCGACGCGTCGCCGTCGCGACGCCGGAACTCTGTTTTCCTGCTTTATCTAGAGATTGCCCACGTCGTCTTTGTCCAAGGAGAGCCTTCGAGGCCGTGGACACTGCACGACGATCCTCCCGAACGCTCAGGATTCCGGTGCATCGCCGACGCATCGCCGTCGCGACGCCGGAACTCTGTTTTCCTGCTTTCAATTTAATTTACGCTTCATTTAGTGATACTTTGTTGATTTTTATTTACCAAACTATACTTCGTTCAACTACGATTCTTCCGGCTTTTACAGATCTTAATTTGATTAATTGAGTCGTCTGTAATCGCCTACGTAAGAATCGCCGGGCGGAACTGTGTTTCCGCCTGATTCGCGTTCGCCGGGCGCTGACGTCATCCTGACGTCCGCACCCTTATTTCCTTTTTTTTTGTGAATTTTAAATATATTTCCTTTTTATTTCCTAGTATAAAATTCGTAAGAAAATCGTACTCATTGAGAAAAATTCTGAATAATTACCAGATATTATATTACATCCCTGTGATCGACTTGGAAAATTACTACTATTTTTGGAATTTTTATTGAATTATAATTGATATATTTATTTAGAAATACTTCTAAATATCCGAAAATTCGTATTTTCTAGTTTTATAAATTTTATATTTGCGTGATTTAACATACAACGACTGAGTCACGTCAGTCATCATCATATCTTTCCACTTTTTCATAATTTTTTTTGTGAGTGTGTATTTGGAAACCTATGTACTAGATCATTACCCTTTGACTCACAAGCAAGATTATTACCAAAGTAGTCAAATTACATACGCCTGCCTTCTTCTGTTGTCTGATCTTTGTTTTTTTTTTTTTTTTTTTTTAAGAAGAAGAAATTTGATTGAGTGATAAAAGTTTGACCTCATTCCGAGGTTACATAAGTGGGATCTCATTCGCACAGGGGGCGAGGATGACATGAAGAATGAAAGACCTCTTTTGAAGAGGGGATGTGATGATACTGGAGATAGACTCCAAGGCGTTCATCATATTTGAGGAAGGTGATTGATTTGCATTGGGTTGAAAAAGCCTTTGAGTGCATGAAAGTTGGAAGATCTGCTCAACAGGAGTAGGACGAGAGCTCCATGTTGTGCACCATGCAATGTTCCTGCAAGACAAGAGTTTGCTGCAGTAAGTGGTTCTAAGAGATAAATAAATTGATATAAAGTGGTGAGAAAAGAGTGATTAGGGCAGTGAGAGGATAGAACTATGCTGAAGCATGACAATAAGCCCAAATATGAACTTGCCTTGCTAGTGTTGCACGCGCCTAATCCCTCTGGCCAAGATCTTGTTAGTATCATCAGTTGCCGTACTTCCTCTAAGTAGGTAAGGGACCTTTCACCCCACGAGGAATGACTTGGTCTCTAGTTCTAACTCTTTTCTTTTCTCTTATTCTCTCTCTCTTCTTTCTCTCTCCTTGAGGGCCTCTTCTTTTACCCTCCACTAATGCCCATTATTTGGTGTACATTAGGCTAGTGATTAAGGGAAGGGAAAAAGGTTGCCCTTTTTTTTTTTTTTTTTTTTGGTTTTAGGGCCCTTTCCCTCACCCTCCACTAATTGTCTATGATGGGCTAGTGATTTCGGGAAAAGAAGTAGGCTGTCTCTTTTTTTCTTTTTTTTTCTTTTTTTTTTCTTTTTTTTTTTTTCTGGAGAGAGAGAGGGAGGGAGAAAGAAATAGAGAATTGAGAGAGAGAGAGAGGAGAGAGGGTCAATCCTATGGATATAGATCTTTACCTTCTCATGGGTTCAAGCTGGCTGATGGTACTAATAAGATCTTGAGAGAGGTGCTAGGTTGCCGATTCACAACTAGTTTGGCAGGTCTGATGTGCTATAGACCTATAGTTCAAAAGTGGGCCGATGCCAACATATGCTGATAGTTCTATGTCCTCACTACTTGAGCATGATAGATAGTAGATGTGATGTGATTATGAGGAGAGTAATGATTGGAAGTAATGTACCCGAGTGGATTACGATGTGCTTTGTTGTCTGTGTTGTGCTGATAGGCAAAGTGCATTCCACATCGGTGGCATGGGATGAGCGCCATGGTGATGTCATGGTTGTGGCTTGTGATAGACCTGAAAATAGAGACAAAGGAAACACGCACCTGTATCTCCATTGTGGTCTTCAGCGGCCAATAGTAACCACCCCTGATCTCCTCCAAGCAATACGCCACTGTCGTGGAGGTGCCGGTAGTGGAGTGCGGTGTATGCGTAAAGAGGGTATGCCGAGTCGCTCAAGTCTATGAGCACCTCGGGCTTCCAGGGGCATGTCCTACCAAAAAGAGAAGACTGTCCTCCGACGCGATCTGACTCCATGCGTAGCAAGGGCGTCAGCTGTCTGATTCCCTTCTCGGAATTGATGCGTAATAGTTGTGATGCGTCTTCGACATCGCATGATGTCTGCCCAGATATTGTTGAGCCTCCAATGAGGACAAGAGTCTGCACGTAACATGTCCACTAACACTTTGGAATCAGATTCTAAGACAATGTTAGTAATATTTTGCTCCTCACAAAGAAACAAACCATCCCGTATTGCCATAGCCTCTGCCACAGTATTAGTTTGTATATTCAATGTTTGATCTTTGTTTACTCTAACAGAACCAGATTCAATGTTTTCTCACCTAGGTCTAACCCATAGGTACAACGTCACCCTCCCTAGTTTATTGGATCCTAGTTTTGGAGTTGATCTGAACAATCAAAACAAGAGTGGGTGGTGGTCTGCAAGAGTGCATGCAGTGTGCACTCACTTGGTGTAATGCCACATGAGATGGTATGTACAAAGAATGTTGTATGTGCAGAGATATATGGCACTGCAGCATATGCACATAGAGGTGATAGGGGGAAGCAAAGGGTTGATAGTGACATGTGCTAGTATGAATTGGCACAGTGTGACATGGTAGTCGCATGGTAGTAACATGAGTGTGATGTGTGACGTGACTCAATCATTGTATAGTAAATCATGCAAATTTTTAGATATTTAGAAGTATTTTTGAACAAATATATCAATTATAATTTAATAAAACTTTCAAAAATAGTAGTAATTTTCTAAGTTGATCATAGGGATGTAATATAATATCTGGTAATTATTCAAAATTTTCTTCAAAGAATACCATTTTTTATAAATTTTATACTAAGAAATGAAAAAGAAATATATTTAAAATTCACAAAAAAGGGAAATAAGGGTGTAGGCGTCAAGATGATGTCAGCACCTAGTGAACATGAATCAGGTGAAAATAGAGTTTTGCCTGACGATTCTTACATAAGCGATTACATATGATTTAATTGATCAAATTAAGATCTGTAAAAGCTGGAAGAATCATAATGGAACGAAGTATATCTTGGTAAATTTAAAATTAACAAATTATCACTAAATGAAGTGGAAACTAAGTTGAAACCAGAAAAATAGAGTCTAGTGTCACAACGTCGATGCATCAGCGATGCACCAGAATCTTGAGTGTTCGGGAGAATAGTCATGCAGTGTCCACAGCCTCAAAGGCTCTCCTTAGACAAAGACGATGTGGGCAATCTTTAGATCTCCTTGCAAAGTCTAGAGATCAATGAAATGGGTCGTCAACTCATCTCTGACAGTTGTCACCTGGTGGAGTGGAAAAATGGCAACTTTGCGGCTCTCTAGCGGTTGTCACTAATAGAGAGGAGCCAGATGGAGGTGGGGCGCATGCTAGGGAGCTTCATCCTTAGGTCCGCATAGCAAGAGGAGGCTCTTCATCGCATCTGGTATGCTCTCAAGAGGTGGTGACTTGTCTCCCAATGGATCGTCCTTTTCCCGATGATGGCTTGTTCGTCGATCAATTGGAGATGCTTTACTCGATGAATTTGCGATCCTTTTATCGCGAATCGTTCAGTAATTTTAGTAATAATACTCCACGAATCACATTAATGAGATTTTCGTTGATGATTTAGTGATTTTGGTTGCTTAATCCTTCACCGGTGATCTACATAAAAGTCACGATAATCAGATTAAAAAAAAAATGAGTTTTGGCTTTAGAAAGATTCAAACCTATGCTGATTGCCCTACTCTTTTTCGAGAAGGTGATGAGGGTTTAGTCCCACATTGGTTGTGCGTTGAAGTTTCTGGTGAATATAAAGTAATATTACATTCTCGATCAAGTCCTTTTCTTGTGCGTGTACGACCCCTCCTTGCCCCACAGTTGGTTGGCCACTAGTGACATAGAAGGGGAGTGGCACACACGTGCCCCCATTGGTTCAAGTCGCTCAAGCTCCTACTCACGGCTCCTGCTCAATTGCACTTTTGACCCGCTTGTGGGCCCGACTGGTCAGCAGGTTCCCCCCATTTTATTATATTTTTATTTTAATTTCTTTTCCTTTATTTATCTCAAAAGTAAGATTGTAAAAATCATATAAAATCACATAATTATCCAAAAATTCACGTTAATCAACTAAAAACCACTTTTCACACTTTAACACAAATATAAGTCTATTTATCATGAGTTAAGGCTAAAACTATATTATTTAATAATTATTAACTCATGATAATGAAGACTTACCAATGTGCACTTGTTGTTATGTTTAAATACCCATTATTTAATAATATTTATAACTAAAACTTAATAAAATATTAGTATAGAAGTAAGTCTCAAGTTGAATATTGGGAGATTAATTAATCCATCATGAGAATCAATTTAGTTTATATATAAAGTGATTTTAATATTTTATCAATATTTAATGGAAATAATAAAATAGAAGGGTGAGGTGAAAAGAATAAAGGATGGAAAGTAGAGAAAGGAAGGAGGAAAAGAGAGAGAGAAGAAAGAGCTCTCATGAAGGATGAGATAAGAGATCTCTTGCGAAAGGGAGGGAATGAGAGAGAAAGAGAGAAAAAGAGAAGAGAGAAATCTCATGTGAGATGGATAGACAGAAAGGTCTCAGGAGAGGGAGAGGGAGAGAGAAGGAGATCAATCAAGAGAGAGAAAGAGAAGGAGAATGATTGAGAGAGAGGGAGAGAAAGTGAGAGATCTCATGAGAGATAGAGAGAGAGGGAGAGAAAGTGAGAGATCTCATGAGAGATAGAGAGAGAAGAAGTGGTCTCATGAGAGAAGGAGAGAGAGAAATAAGATAATAATAAAGAAAGAGAGAAATATAGTCAACTCATTTTCATGGTGACTATCATTCTTGGATGATTGTGTGCTTGAGAATTCACATGCATGATATAAGGTCAGTCATGAATATCTCCAATTTATTTTGATTGTTAAACATTCATTAATCAGTCTTTAATCTTAGTGATTTTCTTTCAAAGATAGAAAGTATTTGTTATTCATGGAACATTAGTGGTGTGCACTTGTCGTTGTGTTAAATACACATTATCTATATTTATAACTAAAACTTAATAAAATATTAGTATAGAAGTAAGTCTCAGGTCAAACACAAAAAGATTAACTAATATGTTGTGAAAACTAACTTAGTTTATATGTATATAGTGATTTTAATATTTTATTAATATTTAACAAAAATAATAAAATAGAAGGGTCAGATGAGAAGAATAAAGGAAAGAAAATGGAGAAAAGGAAAGAGGAAAATGAAGAAAGAGAGAAATATGGTCAACCTATTTTCTTGGATGAATGTGTGCTTGAGGATTCACACACATTACATAAGGTCAGCCGTGAATGTCTATAACTTGTTTTAACCATTGAATGCTCATTAATCAGCCCTTAATCTTAGTGATTTCACATTCAACAATAGAAATATACTCATTATTTGCGGAATGCCGAGAACATGAATATGTTGAGATTCAACAATGAAAATTAATAGAAAATAAGTTTGAAACAATCTTAACTTAATTTCAGACAAGTTTTAGAGGATTCAAAAGAAGAATGAAGATCATTCATTAAGTTTTGAATTAGTTCTACTCATTTCATTGAAACATGCATGTAACAAAAATAACTTGCTATAAAATGTAAATAAATGATAAAAGCAGGTAAGTAAATGCTAAAAGTAGGAAATAAATCATTACTGAAGTTGTCACCCTCTTGGGCAACTAGAGACACTAGTGTGGTGGCTTGGTTTTGTCCGAACATGCCACACCACATTAGAAGTCATAGAAATATCATCTAGAAGTGCTACACTACTTGCTAGAGAGATCTACTAGAAGAGGGGTCAACTGTGCTGTCACCATCGTCTAATGGGAGAAGGGAAGAGTTGACTACTGACGTGACTCAGTCATTGTATATTAAATCATGTAAATATAAAATTTATAAAACTAGAAAATATGAATTTTTAGATATTTAGAAGTATTTTTGAATAAATATATCAATTATAATTCAATAAAACTTCTAAAAATAGTGGTAATTTTCTAGGTCAACCACAAGGATGTAATATAATATCTGGTAATTATTCAGAATTTTCCTCAGAGAATACTATTTTATATAAATTTTATACTAAGAAATAAAAAGGAAATATATTTAAAATTCATGAAAAAAGGAAATAAGGGTGCAGGCATCAAGATGACATCAACGCTCGGTGAACGTGAATCAAGCGGAAACAGAGTTCCGCCCGGCGATTCTTACCTAAGCAATTACATACAATTTAATTGATTAAATTAAGATCTATAAAAGTTAGAAGAATCGTAATTGAACGAAGTATATTTTGGTAAATTAAAATCACACAAAGTATCACTAAATGAAGCATAAATTAAGTTGAAAGTAGGAAAATAGAGTTCCAACGTCGTGATGGTGATGCGTCGGCAATGCACCGGAATCCTGAGCATTCGAGAGGATTGTTATATAGTGTCCACGGCCTCAAAGGCTCTCTTGGACAAAGATGACGTGGGCAATCTCTAGATCTTATCGTGAAGTCTAGAGATCACTGAAATGGGTCGTCGAGTCGTCTCTGGTGGCTGTCACCCGACAGAGTGGAAAAACGGTGACTTTGCGGCTCTCTGGTGGCTGTCACCCGACGGAGAGGAGTTGGATGGAGGTGGGGCGCATGTTAGGGAGCTTCATCCTCAAGTCCGCGCAGCAAGAGGAGGCTCTTCATTACATCTGGTATGCTCTTAGGAGGTGGCAACTCGTCTCCCAGCGGATCGTCCTCTTCTCAACGATGGCTTGTTTGTCGATCAATCGGAGATGATTTACTCGATGGATTTGTGATCCTTTTATCGCGAATCCTTCAGCAATTTTAGTAGCAATGCTCCGTGAATCGCATTGACAAGATCCAACAATTCTTGTTGCTTAATCCTTCACCTGTGATTTGTAGGAAAGTCACGATAATCAAATACAAATATATGACTTTTGACTCTAAAAGGACTCGAACCCATGCCAGTCGTCCCCCTCTTCTGAGGAAGGTGTGACGGGGGTTTAGTTCCACATCAGTTGTGCGCTGATTTTTTGGGTGAATATATACTAATGTTAGCTTTGTAAGCAAAGTCCCTTCTCTCACATGTACGACCACTCCTTGCCCCACAATTGGCTGGCCACCGGTGACGTGGAAGGGGAGTGGTGCACACGTGCCTCTATTGGTTCAAGCCGCTTGAGCCCCTACTCACGGCTACTCCCTAACTGAGCTTCCGACCCGCTTGCAGGCTCGGTTGGCCGGCAGGTCCCCCCATTTTACAATATTTTTATTTCTATTTCTTGTTCTTCATTTATCTAAAAAGTAAGACTATAAACATCGTATAAAATCACATAATTACCCAAAAATTCATGTTAATCAACTAAAAACCACTTTTCACACTTTAACAATAATATAAGTCTATTTACCATGAGTTAAGACTAAAACTATATTATTTACTAATTATTAACTCATAATAATGAAGACTTATCAACTACTCACTAGAGGCCTTTAGTGCAGTTGGGGAGGAAGGAATGAGCTTGTTGATCGTCGAAGACATTGATTGCATGAAAAGAGGGAAGAATGAATTGTTGTCTTTGCAACTACTGTCAAGATTTTAAAGATAATCAATAATGTCTAGTTTATTAAATAATAATTGATAATTGTCTTTATATCCATAGTGATGATATGTGTGAGAAAAGTCCCTAGTAATGTGGCGCCGCCTTAGCTGTGAGATCATCATTTAAGGCCACATGTATGCTGAGCGGCATCAAATTTGCAAAGTGCTGATGGATTGCTTAATGCTTTTGGGATCGTGACAGTTCACTAGCTGCAGGATTTGACTTATTTGATGACGTGGCTTGCTGAACACTATTGGATCAAACTGCATTCCAAATGGCTACCTTGAAACACACGAGAAGGTTTAGTCCCACATTGAAAGTTTTTCATCATTTAAGCTGAATATAAATCAAGTTACTCTCTCTTAGTAGAGATCCCTTTTCCCAAAATAAAATAATGCCTAGAACCATCTTGGGAGAAGGTAAAAAGGTGGTCCACCCTCATGCACACACATATGTACGACACTCCTTGCTCTATGATCAGCTTGGCCACCAGGCAACTTGCTAACACATATGGTAGGGGGAATGACACACAAGTGCACGAAGCAAGTCTCTCGCCACTCGAGCCCAACTTGTGACTCCCCTAGTTTTGGTCTACCCACTCAACTATAGTGCTGCCCCTCTAGGTCAGCTCCCGAGTGCTGGCTTGCTAGTGGGTAGTGATATTTTTCTATTTTAGTCTTTTATTTTTCTAAATAATCAAAAAATATGCTAAATATTTAACTTCAGATTTCTAAATTGACAATTTATCTCTATATTTATTATGTAAGTTAAAAAACTAAAATAAAATAATTTAAATAATGAAAATAGAAAATCTTGCTTTAATAGAGTGGCACATGTATGTGTATGTTGCTGCATGCAACGTGATGCCAATGCACAAGGGAATATGGCATGGAGTGGAAAGGCTTGAACAGCAAGTGCAACTAGGGGAAGGTGGGGGGGACATACTTTGCTTTGTGAAAGTGTCTAGAGATAGATAGTGATGGCGAGCGGGACCTGTCTCCATCAGCTCAAGAGACACTGACAGTCTGAGTTCAGCCCGATCGATGCATGAAGACGAAGGAGCCTAGCTTTCGCTACACAGCCTACCCCTTTGGGACAATGACATTCCACCTTCGCAACGAAGATGAGCTCAAGCTCACCCGTATCTTTCTTTGTACTTTCAAGTTGACTTGTTGGGCCTCGCATTTGTGAGTTAGTGGGCCTAATTTTATGTGTGTGTTGTTGTTTGTGTCTCCCTTTCTTTAGGGTTTTATCGAGTCTCTCTTTTGAGGCCCAATTAAAACCCTAAGGGGGAGGGGACCTATGTGTCTTTCCTTTGGGGCCTTTTTTGGGGCTTATTTGGGTCTTCATTTGAGGCCCACTTAAGCACCATAAGAGGGCCCTCCTCTTTCCCCTTTTAGGGGAGCTTATTGGGTCTCTCTTTAAGAGGCCCAAGAAGCCCCTTTTGTAGCCTTTTGTGGCTTATGGGCTTGAGGGCCTCAAGTGGGCCCACCTCCCCTTAGCCCACTTTTGGGCCCCTGATGTGACTCAGTCATTGTATTTTAAATCACGCAAATATAAAATTTATAAAACTAGAAAATATGAATTTTTGGATATTTAGAAGTATTTCCAAATAAATATATCAATTATAATTCAATAAAAATTCCAAAAATAGCGATAATTTTCTGGGTCGATCACAGGGATGTAATATAGTATCTGGTAATTATTCAGAATTTTTCTCAATGAATACGATTTTCTTACGAATTTTATACTAGGAAATAAAAAGGAAATATATTTAAAATTCACGAAAAAAAGGAAATAAGGGTGCGGATGTCAAGATGATGTCAGCACTCGACAAACGCAAATCAGGTGGAAATAGAGTTCCGCCTGACGATTCTTACGTAAGCAATTATAGATGACTTAATTAATCAAATTAAGATCTGTAAAAGCCGGAAGAATCGTAATTGAACGAAGTATAGTTTGGTAAATTAAAATCACACAAAGTATCACTAAATGAAGCGTAAATTAAATTGAAAGCAGGAAAATAGAGTTCTAATGTCGCGATGGTGATGCGTTGGCGATGCACCGGAATCCTAAGTGTTCGGGAGGATCGTCATGTAGTGTCCACGGCCTCGAAGGCTCTCCTTGGACAAAGATGACGTGGGCAATCTCTAGATCTTCTCGCGAAGTCTAGAGATCAATGAAGTGGGTCGTCGAATCGTCTCCAGCGGCTGTCACCCGGCAAAGCGGAAAAATGGCGACTTTACGGCTCTCCGGCAGCTGTCACCCGACAGAGAGGAGCTGGATGGAGGTGGGGTGCGTGTCAGGGAGCTTCATCCTCAGGTCCACGCAGCAAGAAGAGGCTCTTCATCGTATCTGGTACGCTCTCAAGAGGTGGTGACTCGTCTCCTGGCTGATCATCCTCTTCTCGATGACGGCTTGTTTGTCGATCAATCGGAGATGATTTACTCGATGGATTTGCGATCCTTTAATCGCGAATCGTTCAATAATTTTAGTAGCAATACTCCGCGAATCGCGTTGACGAGATTTTTGCCGATGATCTAGCGATTCTCGTTGTTTAATCCTTCACTAGCGATCTGCAGGAAAGTCGCGATAATTAGATAAAAATATATGAATTTTGACTATGGAAGGATTCAAACCCGCGTCGGTCGCTCGCTTGTGAGGAAGGTGTAATGCGGGTTTAGTCCCACATTAGTTGTGCGCCGATTTTTCAGGCGAATATATAGTAATGTTAACTTTGTAAGCAAAGTCCCTTCTCTCGCATGTACGACCACTCCTTGCCCCACAGCCGGCTGGCCACCGGCGACGTGGAAGGGGAGTGGCGCACACGTGCCCCTATCGGTCTAAGCTAAGCCGCTTGAGCCCCTACTCACGGCTACTCCCCGAAAGCACTTCCGACCTGCTTGCGGGCCCAATTGGCCAGTGGGTCCCCCCATTTTGCAATATTTTTTATTTTTATTTCTTGTTCTTCATTTATCTCAAAGGTAAGACTATAAAAATTATATAAAATCACATAATTACTCAAAAATTCACGTTAATCAATTGAAAAATAAAAATCATTCTTTAACACAAATATAAGTCTATTTATCATGAGTTAAGGCTAAAACTATATTATTTACTAATTACTAACTCATGATAATGAAGACTTATCAGCCCCATATAAAGGGGAGGTAGGACCCCCCCTCAAGAGGGTGCCATATTTTTGAGAGAGATTATCATTTTGTGAGTACCTTCTCTGTGATCTAGGATAGGGAGGGAAGGAGGAAGAAGAAGACCGTCGATACCCCCCTTGAAGGACTTCGTTCCTCATGACATTGCTGCATGATAAGTCCCGCTGCCCCCTAAGATCACTGCCGCTGCCGGCCATCTCAGTGCCGCACAGGAGTTCGTCGCCGTCACCGAACAAAATGGTCGCAGTTGCCACTGCAATTGCCGTTGCCTCTGCTAGAACCTCGTCACGCCATCGTGACGAAAGGGGCTCGCTTTGCCTCCCTACGAACCGTCATCGAGCACTCCGCCGGAGTCTCTCGAGTCTTGGTTTGTCTGCCACCTCTTCCTCCAGAACTCCACCATAAACTTGCCGAAGCTGCCCTCCGCTGCTCCGCCCTATCGCTGGCCGTTCACCGATGAACGCCTACCTGCTGCCGATGTCAAGAGAGACCTTGCAGCCATGCCAATGAGCCAGAACTAGTCTCAGCTCCTCACAAGCCCCCACCGGAGTTTCCCGACACTTTGCCGCTGTTGCACCATTTCTTGCGCCGCTTAGACCATGAGAGCTCAACCTTCCGTGGTATCGTCGGCCAGATCATCTCCTCTCTGCTCTACTTCCCAGCACTGCTAGAGAGGCTGATCCTTCTAGCGACGGTTGGGTTTCCGCCCCAACCGCTGATGTGACTCAGTCGTTGTATATTAAATCACGCAAATATAAAATTTATAAAACTAGAAAATATGAATTTTCAGATATTTAGAAGTATTTCTAAATAAATATATCAATTATAATTCAATACAAATTCCAAAAATAGCGGTAATTTTCCAAGTCGATCATAGAGATGTAATATAATATCTGGTAATTATTCAGAATTTTTCTCAATGAATACAATTTTCTTACGAATTTTATACTAGGAAATAAAAAGGAAATATATTTAAAATTCACGAAAAAAAAGGAAATAAGGGTGCGGGTGTCAAGATGATGTCAGCGCCTGGCGAACGCGAATCAGGCAGAAATAGAGTTCCGCCCGATGATTCTTACGTAAGCGATTACATACGACTTACTTAATCAAATTAAGATCTGTAAAAGCTGAAAGAATCGTAATTGAACGAAGTATAGTTTGGTAAATTAAAATCACACAAAGTATCACTAAATGAAGCATAAATTAAATTGAAAGTAGGAAAACAGAGTTCCGGCGTCGCGATGGCGATGCATCGGCAATGCATCGGAATCCTGAGCGTTCGGGAGGATCGTCGTGTAGTGTCCACGGCCTCAAAGGCTCTCCTTGGACAAAGACGACGTGGGCAATCTCTAGATCTTCTCGCGAAGTCTAGAGATCAATGAAGTGGGTCGTCGAATCGTCTCCAGCGGCTGTCACCCGACGGAGCGGAAAAACGGCGACTTTGCGGCTCTCCGGCGGCTGTCACCCTACGGAGAGGCACTAGATGGAGGTGGGGTGTGTCTTAGGGAGCTTCATCCTCAAGTCCGCACAGCAAGAGGAGGCTCTTCATCGCATCTGGTACGCTCTCAGGAGGTGGCGACTGGTCTCTCGGCGGATCGTCCTCTTCCCGATGATGGCTTGTTCGTCGATCAATTGGAGATGATTTTCTCGATGGATTCGCGATCCTTTTATCGCGAATCGTTCAGCAATTTTAGTAGCAATGCTCCGCGAATCGCGTTGACGAGGTTTTTGCCGATGATCCAGCAATTCTCATTGCTTAATCCTTCACCGGCGATGACGTGACTCAGTCGTTGTATATTAAATCACGCAAATATAAAATTTATAAAACTAGAAAATACGAATTTTTGGATATTTAGAAGTATTTCTAAATAAATATATCAATTATAATTCAATAAAATCCAAAAATAGCGGTAATTTTCCAGGTCGATCACAGGGATGTAATATAATATCTGGTAATTATTCAGAATTTTTCTCAATGAGTACGATTTTCTTACGAATTTTATACTAGGAAATAAAAAGGAAATATATTTAAAATTCACGAAAAAAAGGAAATAAGGGTGCGGGCGTCAGGATGACGTCAGCGCCAGGCGAACGCGAATCAGGCGGAAACAGAGTTCCGCCCGGTGATTCTTACGTAAGCGATTACAGACGACTTAATTAATCAAATTAAGATCTGTAAAAGCCGGAAGAATCGTAATTTAACGAAGTATAGTTTGGTAAATTAAAAATCACACAAAGTATCACTAAATAAAGCGTAAATTAAATTGAAAGCAGGAAAACAGAGTTCCGGCGTCGCGACGGCGATGCGTCGGCGATGCACCGGAATCCTGAGCGTTCGGGAGGATCGTCATGTAGTGTCCACGGCCTCGAAGGCTCTCCTTGGACAAAGACGACGTGGGCAATCTCTAGATAAAGCAGGAAAACAAAGTTCCGGCGTCGCGACGGCGACGCGTCGGCGATGCACCGGAATCCTGAGCGTTCGGGAGGATCGTCGTGCAGTGTCCACGGCCTCGAAGGCTCTCCTTGGACAAAGACGACGTGGGAAATCTCTAGATAAAGCAGGAAAACAGAGTTCCGGCGTCGCGACGGCGACGCGTCGGCGATGCACCGGAATCCTGAGCGTTCGGGAGGGTCGTCGTGCAGTGTCCACGGCCTCGAAGGCTCTCCTTGGACAAAGACGACGTGGGCAATCTCTAGATCTTCTCGCGAAGTCTAGAGACCAATGAAGTGGGTCGTCGAATCGTCTCCGGCGGCTGTCACCCGGCGGAGCGGAAAAACGGCGACTTTGCGGCTCTCCGGCGGCTGTCACCCGACGGAGAGGAGCTGGATGGAGGTGGGGCGCGTGTTAGGGAGCTTCATCCTCAGGTCCGCGCAGCAAGAGGAGGCTCTTCATCGCATCTGGTACGCTCTCAGGAGGTGGCGACTGGTCTCCCGGCGGATCGTCCTCTTCCCGACGACGGCTTGTTCGTCGATCAATCGGAGATGATTTACTCGATGGATTGCGATCCTTTTATCGCGAATCGTTCAGAAATTTTAGTAGCAATGCTCCGCGAATCGCGTTGACGAGATTTTCGCCGATGATCCAGCGATTCCGGTTGCTTAATCCTTCACCGGCGATCTGCAGGAAAGTCGCGATAATCAGTTAAAAATATATGAATTTTGACTCTGGGAGGATTCGAACCTGCGGCGGTCGCCCGCCCCTGAAGGTTTAGTCCCACATCGGTTGTGCGCGGATTATTCGGGCAAATATATAGTAAAGTTAGCTTTGTAGGCAAAGTCCTCTCGCGTGTACGACCACTCCTTGCCCCACAGCCGGCTGACCACCGGTGACGTGGAAGGGGAGTGGCGCACACGTGCCCCTATCGATCCAAGCAAGCCGCTCGAGCCCCTGCTCGCGGCTACTCCCCGACTGCGCTTCCGACCCGCTTGCGGGCCCGGCTGGCCGGCGGATCCCCCCATTTTGCAATATTTTTATTTTTATTTCTTGTTCTTCGTTTTATCTCAAAACTAAGACTGTAAAAATCGTATAAAATCACATAATTACCCAAAAATTCACGTTAATCAACTGAAAACCACTTTTCATGCTTTAACACAAATATAAGTCTATTTATCATGAGTTAAGGCTAAAACTATATTATTTACTGATTATTAACTCATGATAATGAAGACTTATCACACCCCCCAACTTAAATCATTGCTAGTCCCTTAGCAATGGAATTACGAAAATAAAAATTTACAAATCTCAAACATCATATTTCAATACAGAAAAGAAATACAATTAGAAATGATGCACCTTTAAACACTTTGGATTCTTATATCAAGTATTTAAGAATGATGTGAAGCACTTAAATGTTTAAACACTCCTTGGAATAACAATCTAGACTTCACTTCTTCTATTCACATCTTTATCACTTCTTCACTCATAGATGTATTTACAAGATGTTCCAATTATCAATACTCATCCAAGAATAATATTGATCTTACATTTCCCTTTTTCTATGACTTGATTTTTGAAGTTTGCACTATATTTCTTCCTTCTTTTTTTTTTTTATATATATAGTGGATAAGTAGCTTTTCCTGTAGACAAACTTCGACAATAAGAATGATGTCTCACACCCTCCATGTGTACTCTTCATTTTCAGGGCTTTCACTTTATCCACTTATTTTTCAGCAAGTGTTTTTCTATGCACGATTTTCGACAATGAGAATGATGTCTCACACCCTCCATGTGTACTCTTCGTTTCTAGATTTTTCACATTGCTCTCTCTTTTTTTTTCTTTTTTTTTTTTGAAATAAGTGATTTCTCCTCACAAGTCCTATAGATCAGGGTGCAAAAATCTCCATTAAACTCAAATGATCAATCAAATTTTCACATCAAGTAAATATTATCCATCAAGATCATGAAGTGAAAATCTATAAAATCAAATCCATGTTATCTATCATGTATTCAAGGAGTATTCCAACATTTCATGCTACTAGATCATTCTTTTGACTCAATAATAATCTTCCTAGTATCTTTTGGTATCAATCAATCTAATTGATTTAATTTTTCATGCATGCAATATGATGTAAGGAATTTGTAAATTAGATAGTTCTGACAGTTCTGTTTTCTGTTTTCAGTTCTATTTTAGCAGCAATAAATTTGTCAAAAATAAATCAAAACTATCTTCTTTATAGCTGTAATTTCGAATTTCAGTAATATATGTCTACGGGATTGAAATGTGAGAAAAGGGTCTCTAGAATTTCAAATTTCGGGTTGTTTTTTCATCTGCTGTTTTTGACAGTCTGTTGTTCCTGACAGAAAACCAGAAAATAGATGTTGCAGTTTTTCCGAATTTTATTTTATTTTTATTTTTTTAGTTGCTGTTCTAAGTTGAATAAAATGCAAACACATGTTCTTAATCGTCCTACAGCATAAATTAATAATGAATACTTCACCCCCCAACTTAAAAATGACATTGTCCTCAATGACACAGAAAACTCGAAACAGAATATGCAGAAAATATAATTTTCAAGTGAAGCATGCATATCTGCAAAGTTAAGCATTAAAAATATTTTCATAAATGATGAAGCTCAGAAAGACATCACCTCAACCTCGTTTTTAATTTTCCACTTCATCTTACACTCCTCCTGCACTTTTTCGACAGAAAAACAAATACAGAAACAAGTACTGCGAAATTCTAAGAAAAACAGAGCTTAAAAAATCAAACAGAATGAAATAAAAACCATGGGTTGCCTCCCATGCAGCGCTGAATTTAATGTCTCCAGCTGGACAGCTCTTATATCATATAAGCTGATCTATGGCCATCAAAATATATTTGTATCCCAAGGTAAGTTTTATGATATTCTTTTTCAGATTTAGCATAAATTCATATACTTCATATATATACCTTGACATACTTTCAGCCAAAACAAAATGGAAATTAACAAAATTTTCCCAAAAATAATATTTCCATTTTGAAAAGAATCTTTCCTTATTTCTATCTTGTTTTGTTAGGCTCTCATTCATTAATAAATACTTTCTATTAATAAACCATAAAATGTGATCAGGCCATATAATTTTCAGATTAGCTCTTGCCCAATCTAAAATTTTTTCATCTAAATTGGTATCTCTAATTCTTCCACTCACCCATTTCTTAATGTCTTCTTTTATCTGCATAATCTTTCCCTGCTCCATTTTATCTTCCATACATATTTGTTCAATTTGTGAGGAGTGAAATATTTCAAGCTTAGAAATAATTCTAATGGGCTGTGGGTTTTGAAGGATGGAAGGATTGTCTTCTTTAATCTCAGATCTAATGAATTCAGTAAAATTCAAATTTTCTCCTCCAAAATTATTTCTATATTCACATCTATTATTTTCGCTTGTTCCCATTAGTTGAATCAATTCTTTTTCTAGCTTTTCGTTTCTCAACTCATCAAATTCTTCATCTTCCCAAGAGCTATCTTTTAATTTTGGTATATGATATACATCATCATCCTCACAATCAACATCCATGGCTGCAAAATTATGATTAGATTCATTAATTTCGTCTCCTACATCTCCCAAATCAATTGATTTTTCCTCACCTGAAATATATTTTTCTTCATTTCTGTCCTTACTCCCTTCTACTAAAATTTGGATGATTTTTCTATGATCAGTTGCTGTTTCTTCATCTAAGGGTTCTTTCTCCTCATCATCCTCGCTATATTCATTCATCAATTGTGAGCAATAAATGATTTTATTCAAATTTTCTGCTACTACATTTTTGGCCTTAATATTCTCATTTACTTCTAATGGATCATCAATTTCTTCTAATAATTGAAAATAAGGTTCAGGTAAAATATTCTCACTCAATATATTCACTGTCCTAACATTTTCATTTCGTGGGTTTTTTTCTAAATTTATCCAGCTAGACTCTTCTTGCTGAAATCTTACTGTTGGATAGTTTTCTGAATTTTCTATGGGCTGACGAGGTAGCTGTCCCTCTTCTCTCTTATTCTCAAGAGCCTCTATAATTTGTTTCTGATGAAGCATCATTTGATTCATAGTTTGTTGCATCATTTGGCTCATTTGCTGCATCATTTCCATAGCATCAGGTTGGGTTTGAGAGGGCTGATTTTTCTGAAATCTATTTTCTTGTTTTGGACGAAATTCAGAGTTTGAATTGGGTCTAAGTGCTTCTGGATTTTGAATATTATTTGGGTCTCTCCATGAAAAATTATTCCTCTAATTAGGATTATAAGAATTTGAAAAATTTTCCCTATTTCTATTAAAACCGTGAGCTACTTGCACTTGTTCTTGCATAGGGTGAAATGATTGATCTAAATTATAACATTGAAGTTCAGAATAATCATTTTCACCATACATAGGACATGTACTATTCGAATTAAGTTGAGGGTTAAAAGGCTTTCTAATATTATCAATAAGTAAATCATTTTTTTCTAATCTTTGATTAATCTGATTAACCTCATTTCTAAGTTTAGAATCATCATCATGATGCAATTCATAAATTCCTCTCTTCTTATCCCTGTCATATAATTCAAAAGAGGCTTGATCTCTAGAATTTTCACTTAAATTCTCATAAAGATTGTAAATCTCATCAAGAGTTTTCTCCATAAAAGCTCCTCCACATATAGAATCAATCATATTTCTATGTTGTTCTAATAATCCATCATAAAAAATTCTATTGAGCTGCCACTTGGGTATAGCATGATGAGGACACTTTCTAAGTAAATCTTTGAATTTTTCCCATGTCTCATGCAAAGTTTCTCCTAGTCTTTGAGAAAAACTCCATATATGTTTTCTCATATTTTGAGTTTTTCCTAAGGGATAAAATTTTCGAAGAAAGGCCTGTTCTATATCTTTCCAGCTAGTTAATTCTCTATCTAATGTGGATAGCTAATGACTAGCTTTGTCCCTAAGTGTATGAGGGAATAATTTCATCTTAATAATTTCCGGTGTAACTTGAGGGAGATTAACTAAATCACAGACCATATGAAATTTTTCTAAGTGCTGATGAGGTTCCTCTAAAGCCAATCCATGAAAATTAGGGAGCATTTGAAAAATTCTTGGATTTATTTCGAATTTAACAGTGGGTGCTAATGGGACTCTAATATTAGATGCTCTTTGAAATGAATCAGGGATATAATGATTTTTCATGGCCATAGGATTGTTCTCAGTTTGACCTGTACTTCCTTCAGGATCCATCAAAATTAATTTTTCTTTCGGATTTTTATTTTTGAATGAAATAATAAAAGGATTTTCTAGCCTTGGATGCAAGGATCTTCTACCATGCATAAAAATCAATAAATTCGAGGGAAAAAGTTAGTAACTGTTACCCTCCTTCAGGATGCTCCAGTCCTTGCCGTGCTTCTTTTCGTTCCCTTTTTCTAATAAAAATTGGCAAAAAGAAAATAAAATAAGAGTTAAGTTCTTTTTTTTTTTTGTACTCTAAGAGAAAAACAGAAAAATACTAAATATTATGCAATACATCCCCGGCAACGGTGCCAAAATTTGACGTGACTCAGTCGTTGTATATTAAATCACGCAAATATAAAATTTATAAAACTAGAAAATACGAATTTTCGGATATTTAGAAGTATTTCTAAATAAATATATCAATTATAATTCAATAAAAATTCCAAAAATAGCGGTAATTTTCCAAGTCGATCACAGGGATGTAATATAATATCTGGTAATTATTCAGAATTTTTCTCAATGAATACAATTTTCTATGAATTTTATACTAGGAAATAAGAAGGAAATATATTTAAAATTCACGAAAAAAAAAGGAAATAAGGATGCGGACGTCAAGATGACGTCAGCGCCCGGCAAACGCGAATCGGGCGGAAATAGAGTTCCGCCCGGCGATTCTTGCGTAAACGATTACAGACGATTTAATTAATCAAATTAAGATCTGTAAAAGTCAGAAGAATCGTAATTGAACAAAGTATATTTTGGTAACTTAAAAACACAAAAATTATCACTAAATGAAGCGTAAAGTAAATTGAAAGCAGGAAAATAGAGTTCCAGCGTCGCGACGGCGATGCGTCGGCGATGCACCGGAATCCTGAGCGTTCGGGAGGATCGTCGTGCAGTGTCCACGGCCTCGAAGGCTCTCCTTGGACAAAGACGACGTGGGCAATCTCTAGATAAAGAAGGAAAACAGAGTTCCGGCGTCGCGACGGCGACGCGTCGGCGATGCACCGGAATCCTGAGCGTTCGGGAGGGTCGTCGTGCAGTGTCCACGGCCTCAAAGGCTCTCCTTGGACAAAGACGACGTGGGCAATCTCTAGATAAAGCAGGAAAACAGAGTTCCGGCGTCGCGACGGCGACGCGTCGGCGATGCACCGGAATCCTGAGCGTTCGGGAGGGGCGTCGTGCAGTGTCCACGGCCTCGAAGGCTCTCCTTGGACAAAGACGACGTGGGCAATCTCTAGATCTTCTCGCGAAGTCTAGAGACCAATGAAGTGGGTCATCGAATCGTCTCCGGCGGCTGTCACCCGGCGGAGCGGAAAAACGGCGACTTTGCGGCTCTCCGGCGGCTGTCACCCGAGGGAGAGGAGCTAGATGGAGGTGGGGCGCGTGTTAGGGAGCTTCATCCTCAGGTCCGCGCAGCAAGAGGAGGCTCTTCATCGCATCTGGTACGCTCTCAGGAGGTGGCGACTGGTCTCCCGGCGGATCGTCCTCTTCCCGACGACGGCTTGTTCGTCGATCAATCGGAGATGATTTACTCGATGGATTGCGATCCTTTTATCGCGAATCGTTCAGAAATTTTAGTAGCACTGCTCCGCGAATCGCGTTGACGAGATTTTCGCCGATGATCCAGCGATTCCGGTTGCTTAATCCTTCACCGGCGATCTGCAGGAAAGTCGCGATAATCAGTTAAAAATATATGAATTTTGACTCTGGGAGGATTCGAACCTGCGGCGGTCGCCCGCCCCTGAAGGTTTAGTCCCACATCGGTTGTGCGCGGATTATTCGGGCAAATATATAGTAAAGTTAGCTTTCTAGGCGAAGTCCTCTCGCGTGTGCGACCACTCCTTGCCCCACAGCCGGCTGACCACCGGTGACGTGGAAGGGGAGTGGCGCACACGTGCCCCTATTGATCCAAGCAAGCCGCTCGAGCCCCTGCTCGCGGCTACTCCCCGACTGCGCTTCCGACCCGCTTGCGGGCCCGGCTGGCCGGCGGATCTCCCCATTTTGCAATATTTTTATTTTTATTTCTTGTTCTTCGTTTATCTCAAAACTAAGACTGTAAAAATCGTATAAAATCACATAATTACCCAAAAATTCACGTTAGTCAACTGAAAACCACTTTTCATGCTTTAACACAAATATAAGTCTATTTATCATGAGTTAAGGCTAAAACTATATTATTTACTAATTATTAACTCATGATAATGAAGACTTATCAGGCGATCTGCAAGAAAGTCACGATAATTAGATAAAAATATATGAATTTTGACTTTGGGAGGATTCGAACCCACGCCGGTCGCCCGCCTCTTCTGAGGAAGGTGTGACGGGGGTTAAGTCCCACATCAGTTGTACGCCGATTTTTCAGGCGAATATATAGTAATGTTAGGTTTGTCAAGAAAGCCTCTTCTCTCGCATGTATGACCACTCCTTGCCCCACAGCCGGCTGGCCACCAGTGACGTGGAATGGGGGTGTGGCGTACGCGTGCCCTGTCGGTCCACAAGCCAAGCCACTCGAGCCCCTGCTCGCGGCTTACTCCCTGACTGCCCTTCCGACCCGCTTGCTGGCCCGGCTGGCCGATGATTCTCCCCATTTTTGCAATTTTTTTATTTTTATTTCTTCTTCTTCATTTATCTCAAAAGTAAGACTGTAAAAATCGTATAAAATCACATAATTACTCAAAATTTCACGTTAATCAATTGAAAACCAAAAGTCATTCTTTAACACAAATATAAGTCTATTTATCATGAGTTAAGGCTAAAACTATATTATTTACTAATTATTAACTCATGATAATGAAGACTTATCAACAAAATTTGACGTGACTTAGTCGTTGTATATTAAATCACACAAATATAAAATTTATAAAACTAGAAAATACGAATTTTCAGATATTTAGAAGTATTTCTAAATAAATATATCAATTATAATTCAATACAAATTCCAAAAATAGCGGTAATTTTCCAAGTCGATCATAAGGATGTAATATAATATTTGGTAATTATTCAGAATTTTTCTCAATGAATACGATTTTCTTACGAATTTTATACTAGGAAATAAAAAGGAAATATATTTAAAATTCACAAAAAAAGGAAATAAGGGTGCGGACATTAGGATGACGTCAGCGCCAGGCGAACGCGAACTAGGTGGAAACAAAGTTCCGCCCGACGATTCTTACGTAGGCGATTACAGACGACTCAATTAATCAAATTAAGATCTGTAGAAGCCGGAAGAATCGTAATTGGACGAAGTATAGTTTGGTAAATTAAAATCAATAAAGTATCACTAAATGAAGTGTAAATTAAATTGAAGGCAGGAAAATAGAGTTCCGACGTCGTGACGGCGATGCGTCGGCGATGCACCGGAATCCTAAGCATTCGAGAGGATCGTCGTGCAGTGTCCATGGCCTCGAAGGCTCTCCTTGGACAAAGACGACGTGGGCAATCTCTAGATCTTCTCGCGAAGTCTAGAGATCAATGAAGTGGGTCGTCGAATCGTCTCCGGTGGCTGTCACCCGGCGGAGCGGAAAAATGACGACTTTGCGGCTCTCCGGCAGCTGTCACCCGACAGAGAGGTGCTGGATGGAGGTGGGGCACGTGTTAGGGAGCTTCATCCTTAGGTCCACGCAGCAAGAGGAGGCTCTTCATCATATCTGGTACGCTCTCAGGAGGTGGCGACTGGTCTCCCGGCGGATCGTCCTCTTCCCGACGGCGACTTGTTCGTCGATCAATTGAAGATGATTTACTCGATGGATTTGTGATCCTTTTATCGCGAATCATTCAGCAATTTTAGTAGCAATGCTCCGCGAATTGGGTTGACGAGATTTTTGTCAATGATCCAGCGATTCTCATTGCTTAATCCTTCACCGGCGATCTGCAGGAAAGTCATGATAATCAAATAAAAATATATGAATTTTGACTCTAGAAGGATTTGAACTTGCGCCGGTCACCCGCCTCTTCTGAGGAAGGTGTAACGGGTGTTTAGTCCCACATCGGTTGTACGCCGATTTTTCGGGTGAATATATAGTAATGTTAGCTTTTTTAGCAAAGTCCCTTCTCTCGTGTGTATGACCACTCCTTGCCCCACAGCCGGCTGGCCACTGTTGACATGGAACGGGGGTGTGGCGTACGCGTGCCCTGTCGGTCCCCAAGCTAAGCCGCTCGAGCCCCTGCTCGCAGCTTACTCCTCGACTGCGGTTCCGACCCGCTTGCGGGCACGGCTAGCCGGCGGGTCCCCCCATTTTTGCAATTTTTTTATTTTTATTTCTTCTTCTTCATTTATCTCAAAAGTAAGACTGTAAAAATCGTATAAAATCACATAATTACCCAAAAATTCACGTTAATCAATTGAAAACCAAAAATCATTCTTTAACACAAATATAAGTCTATTTATCATGAGTTAAGGCTAAAACTATATTATTTACTAATTATTAACTCATGATAATGAAGACTTATCACACCCCCCAACTTAAATCATTGCTAGTCCCTTAGCAATGAAATTATGAAAATAAAAATTTACAAATCTCAAACATCATATTTCAATACAGAAAAAAATATAATTAAAAATGATGCACCATTAAACACTTTGGATTCTTATATCAAGTATTTAAGAATGATGCCAAGCACTTAAATGTTTAAACACTCCTTGGAATAACAATCTAGACTTCACTTCTTCTATTCACATCTTTATCACTTCTTCACTCATAGATGTATTTACAAGATGTTCCAATTATCAATACTCATCCAAGAATAATATTGATCTTAGATTTCCCTTTTTCTATGACTTGATTTTTGAAGTTTGCACTATATTTCTTCCTTTTTTTTTTTTTATAAATAATGGATAAGTAGCTTTTCCTGTAGACAAATTTCGACAACAAGAATGATGTCTCACACCCTCCATGTGTACTCTTCATTTTCAAGGCTTTCACTTTATCCACTTATTTTTCAGCAAGTGTTTTTCTATGCACGATTTTCGACAATGAGAATGATGTCTCACACCCTCCATGTGTACTCTTCGTTTTTAGATTTTTCACATTGCTCTCTCTTTTTTTTTTTTTCGAAATAAGTGATTTCTCCTCACAAGTCCTATAGATCAGAGTGCAAAAATCTCCATTAAACTCAAATGATCAATAAAATTTTCACATCAAGTAAATACTATCCATCAAGATCATGAAGTGAAAATCTACAAAATCAAATCCATGTTATCTATCATGTATCCAAGGAGTATTCCAACATTTTATGCTACTAGATCATTCTTTTGACTCAATAATAATCTTCCTAGTATCTTTTGATATCAATCAATCTAATTGATTTAATTTTTCATGCATGTAATATGATGTAAGGAATTTGTAAATTAGATAGTTCTGACAATTCTGTTTTCTATTTTCAGTTCTATTTTTAGCAGCAATAAATTTGTCAAAAATAAATCAAAACTATCTTCTTTATAGCTGTAATTTCGAATTTCAGTAATATATGTCTAAGGGATTGAAATGTGAGAAAAGGGTCTTCTAGAATTTTAAATTTCGGGCTGTTTTTTGTCTGCTGTTTTTGACAGTCTGTTGTTTCTGACAGAAAACCAGAAAATAGATGTTGCAATTTTTCCGAATTTTATTTTATTTTTATTTTTTTAGTTGCTGTTCTAAGTTGAATAAACTGCAAACACATGTTCTTAATCGTCCTACAGCATAAATTAATAATGAATACTTCACCCCCCAACTTAAAAATGACATTGTCCTCAATGACACAGAAAACTCGAAACAGAATATGCAGAAAATATAATTTTCAAGTGAAGCATGTATATCTACAAAGTTAAGCATTAAAAATATTTTCATAAATGATGAAGCTCTGAAAGACATCACCTCAACCTCGTTTTTAATTTTCCACTTCATCTTACACTCCTCCTGCATTTTTTCGAAAGAAAAACAAATACAGAAACAAGTACTGCAAAATTCTAAGAAAAGCAGAGCTTAAAAAAAATCAAACAGAATGAAATAAAAACCATGGGTTGCCTCCCATGCAGTGCTGAATTTAATGTCTCCAGCTGGACAGCTCTTACATCATATAAGATGATCAATGGCCATCAAAATATATTTGTATCCCAAGGTAAGTTTCATGATATTCTTTTTCAGATTTAGCATAAATTCATATACTTCATATATATATACCTTGACATACTTTCAGCCAAAACAAAATGGAAATTAAATTTTTTTTTCCAAAAATAATATTTCCATTTTGAAAAGAATCTTTCCTTATTTCTATCTTGTTTTGTTAGGCTCTCATTCATTAATAAATACTTTCTATTAATAAACCATAAAATGCGATCAGGCCATATAATTTTCAGATTAGCTCTTGCCCAATCTAAATTTTTTTCATCTAAATTGGTATCTCTAATTCTTCCACTCACCCATTTCTTAATGTCTTCTTTTATCTACATAATCTTCCCCTACTCCATTTTATCTTCCATACATATTTATTCAATTTGCGAGGAGTGAAATATTTCAAGCTTAGAAATAATTCTAATGGGCTGTGGGTTTTGAAGGATGGAAGGATTGTCTTCTTTAATCTCAGATCTAATGAATTCAGTAAAATTCAAATTTTCTCCTCCAAAATTATCTCTATATTCACATCTATTATTTTCGCTTGTTCCCATTAGTTGAATCAATTCTTTTTCTAGCTTTTCGTTTCTCAACTCATCAAATTCTTCATCTTCCCAAGAGCTATCTTTTAATTTTGGTATATGATATACATCATCATCCTCACAATCAACATCCATGGCTGCAAAATTATGATTAGATTCATTAATTTCATCTCCTACATCTCCCAAATCAATTGATTTTTCCTCACCTAAAATATATTTTTCTTCATTTCTGTCCTTACTCCCTTCTACTAAAATTTGGATGATTTTTCTATGATCAGTTGCTGTTTCTTCATCTAAGGGTTCTTTCTCCTCATCATCCTCACTATATTCATTCATCAATTGTGAGCAATAAATGATTTTATTCAAACTTTCTGCTACTACATTTTTGGCCTTAATATTCTCATTTACTTCTAATGGATCATCAATTTCTTCTAATAATTGGAAATAAGGTTCAGGTAAAATATTCTCACTCAATATATTCACTGTCCTAACATTTTCATTTCGTGGGTTTTTTTCTAAATTTATCCAGCTAGACTCTTCTTGCTGAAATCTTACTGTTGGACAGTTTTCTGAATTTTCTATGGGCTGACTAGGTAGCTGTCCCTCTTTTCTCTTATTCTCAAGAGCCTCTATAATTTGTTTCTGGTGCTGCATCATTTGTTGCATCATTTGATTCATAGTTTGTTGCATCATTTGGCTCATTTGCTGCATCATTTCCATAGCATCAGGTTGGGTTTGAGAGGGCTGATTTTTCTGAAATCTATTTTCTTGTTTTGGACGAAATTCAGAGTTTGAATTGGGTCTAAGTGCTTCTGGATTTTGAATATTATTTGGGTCTCTCCATGAAAAATTATTCCTCCAATTAGGATTATAAGAATTTGAAAAATGTTCCTTATTTCTATTAAAACTGTGAGCTACTTACACTTGTTCTTGCGTAGGGTGAAATGATTGATCTAAATTATAACATTGAAATTCAGAATAATTATTTTCACCATACATAGGACATGTACTATTCGAATTAAGTTGAGGGTTAAAAAGCTTTCTAATATTATCAATAAGTAAATCAATTTTTTCTAATCTTTGATTAATCTGATTAACCTCATTTCTAAGTTTAGAATCATCATCATGATGCAATTCATAAATTCTTCTCTTCTTATCCCTATCATATAATTCAAAAGAGGCTTGATCTCTAGAATTTTCACTTAAATTCTCATAAAGATTGTAAATTTCATCAAGAGTTTTCTCCATAAAAGCTCCTCCACATATAGAATCAACCATATTTCTATGTTGTTCTAATAATCCATCATAAAAAATTCTATAGAGCTGCCACTTGGGTATAGCATGATGAGGACACTTTCTAAGTAAATCCTTGAATTTTTCCCATGTCTCATGCAAAGTTTCTCCTGGTCTTTGAGAAAAACTCCATATATGTTTTCTCATATTTTGAGTTTTTCCTAAGGGATAAAATTTTCGAAGAAAGGCCTATTCTATATCTTTCCAGCTAGTTAATTCTCTATCTAATGTGGATAGCCAATGACTAGCTTTGTCCCTAAGTGTATGCGGGAATAATTTCATCTTAATAATTTCCAGTGTAACTTGAGGGAGATTAACTAAATCACAGACCATATGAAATTTTTCTAAGTGATGATGAGGTTCCTCTAAAGGCAATCCATGAAAATTAAGGAGCATTTGAAAAATTCCTGGATTTATTTCGAATTTAACAGTGGGTGCTAATGGGACTCTAATATTAGATGCTATTTGAAATGAATCAGGGATATAATGATTTTTCATGGCCATAGGATTGTTCTCAGTTTGACCTGTAGTTCCTTCAGGATCCATCAAAATTAATTTTTCTTTCGGATTTTTATTTTTGAATGAAATAATGAAAAGATTTTCTAGCCTTGGATGCAAGGATCTTCTACCATGCATAAAAACCAATAAATTCGAGAGAAAAAGTTAGTAACTGTTACCCTCCTTCAGGATGCTCCAGTCCTTGTCGTGCTTCTTTTTGTTCCCTTTTTCTAATAAAAATCGGCAAAAAGAAAATAAAATAAGAGTTAAGTTTTTTTTTGTGTACTCTAAGAGAAAAACAGAAAAATACTAAATATTATACAATATATCCCCGGCAACGGCACCAAAATTTGACGTGACTCAGTCATTGTATATTAAATCACGCAAATATAAAATTTATAAAAGTAGAAAATATGAATTTTTGGATATTTAGAAGTATTTCAAAATAAATATATCAATTATAATTCAATACAAATTCCAAAAATAGCGGTAATTTTTCAGGTCGATCACAAGGATGTAATATAATATCTGGTAATTATTCAGAATTTTTCTCAATGAATACGATTTTCTTACGAATTTTATACTAAGAAATAAAAAGGAAATATATTTAAAATTCACAAAAAAAAGGAAATAAGGGTGCGGATGTCAGGATGACATCAGCGCCCGGCGAACATGAACCAGGTAGAAACAAAGTTCTGCCGGGCGATTCTTACGTAGGCGATTATAGATGATTCAATTAATGAAATTAAGATCTGTAGAAGCTAGAAGAATCGTAATTGAACGAAATATAGTTTGGTAAATTAAAATCAACAAAGTATCACTAAATGAAGCGTAAATTAAATTGAAAGTAGGAAAACAGAGTTCCGGTGTCGCGACGGCGATGCGTCGGCGATGCATTAGAATTCTGAGCGTTCAGGAGGATCATTGTGCAGTGTCCATGGCCTCGAAGGCTCTCCTTGGACAAAGACGGCATGGGCAATCTCTAGATCTTCTCGCAAAGTCTAGAGATCAATGAAGTGGGTTGTCGAATCGTCTCTGGCGGCTGTCACCCGACAGAGTGGAAAAACGGTGACTTTGCGGCTCTCCGGCGGCTGTCACCCGACGGAGAGGCGCTGGATGGAGGTGGGGCGCGTGTCAGGGAGCTTCATCCTCAGGTCTGCGCAGCAAGAGGAGGCTCTTCATTGCATCTGGTACGCTCTCAGGAGGTGGCCACTGGTCTCCTGGCAGATCGTCCTCTTCCCGACGACGGCTTGTTCGTCGATCAATCGGAGATGATTTACTTGATGGATTTGCGATCCTTTTATCGCGAATCATTCAGCAATTTTAGTAGCAATGCTCCGTGAATTGCATTGACGAGATTTTCGCCGATGATCTAGCGATTCTCGTTGCTTAATCCTTCACTGGCGATTTACAGGAAAGTCGTGATAATCAAATAAAAATATATGAATTTTGACTCTAGAAGGATTCGAACCCGCGCCGGTTGCCCGCCTCTTCTTAGGAAGGTGTGATGGGTGTTTAGTCCCACATCGGTTGTACGCCGATTTTTCGGGCGAATATATAGCAATATTAGGTTTGTCAAGAAAGTTCTTTCTCTCGTGTGTATGACCACTCCTTGCCCCACAGCCGGCTGGCCACCAGTGACGTGGAACGGGGGTGTGGCGTATGCGTGCCCTGTCGGTCCCGAAGCCAAGCCGCTCGAGCCCCTGCTCGCAGCTTACTCCCCGACTGCGCTTCCGACCTGCTTGCGGGCATGGCTGGCCGGCGGCTCCCCCCATTTTTGCAATATTTTTATTTTTATTTCTTCTTCTTCATTTATCTCAAAGGTAAGACTGTAAAAATCATATAAAATCACATAATTACCCAAAAATTCACATTAATTAATTGAAAACCAAAAATCATTCTTTAACACAAATATAAGTCTATTTATCATGAGTTAAGGCTAAAACTATATTATTTACTAATTATTAACTCATGATAATGAAGACTCGGCCTTCCCTCCGAAGTGCCACTGATGCTCGGCCTTCTTACCAAAGCGCCGTAGATGCTTGGCCTTCCTGCCGAAGTGCTGCTGCCGCATGTGCCCCACGCGCCGGCTCTTGCATGCCCTAAGGTCACCGCACGGCTTGCCTCCTACGCCCACTAGTGTGCCCTTCAGCCCGCTAGTGGACCCACGCTCGCTAGTGTGCCCTTTGGCCCACTAGCGGGCCCATGCCCACACCGACTGTGTCACGCCTTATGACGACGGCTACAACAACTCTCGACCAGGAGCAACCGTCGATGCTGAGCATCGCTCTTCACCGGACGTCCTTGCCTTCGTCGGATCTCCACTCCGTCACAACCCGCCGGGCTACATAGCTCTGAAGGTTAGCTCCGTACCCCTTCTTACTTAAGTTTAGTTATCTTTTGAAGGGTTTTCTCGGCTCGTTTCTATCGCCATCAGGGGCACGTAGACAAGATAGGACAGGTTATTGGATCGTGACCTCTGATGCTGCACCAGACTCGTCACAGTTCATGAGCTGCAGCCATAGGCTACTTCACGACGATAGTTCTACTGTCTATCTAGACATGGACCGAGAGGGCCTCACACTTACTATCGTCGAGTGTTTCTCCAGGTTGTCCTAGGTTGATCGTGCATATTGGTACGCCTGTTTGTACATAGAGTACGTGGTCAGACTTAGAGTCTAGGGTCCCTACATTCTAATCGGATTAGTTCAACTACCCCATCTCGGGTCATGAGTTTCATTGATCAGGCACAGGGGGTTCTCGCCTTGTCTTGCATTAGATAGTAGTGTAGGAGTTTGCAATGGTGCATGGTGGCAGAGGTGGCATGGTGGCTGCAGCACAGCAACGAGGTGTGGCTGCAAAGCACACATGTGGATGTACAAAATGGGGGTTCAGCATGCAGCCATGTATCTTATGCATCCATGTCTATGGTAGAGACATAGACTAGCACAGGCACACAACATTCGTCACATGGATAGGACCAATGGGTATGTGTGGAGAGCCAATGGTTGTGGGCTGGCTGGTAGAGCTCTAGTGGATATGGTACATAAAATGGCAATGGGCACATGCACAGGCATCCAAGCAATAGAAGGTGGATAAACTAATTGTTTGAAGTCAAAGTGTTATGAGATGCTCTATCTGCTCCTTCTTCCCATATAAATAGAGGAATCCAAATCATTTGAGGCATTGAGCAATAAATGCTTGGGCCTCCACTCTTGTACTTCTTTCTTGGTGTAAAGTTAGAGTGCCATCCTTTGATACTTGTGGGCATTCACAAAGTGCCTATCGAGTTTAAGATTTCTTATTGTTGAGGGAATGTCAAGAGTTGCATTATATTATTTTAGAGGTGATAAGTCTTCATTATCATGAGTTAATAATTAGTAAATAATATAGTTTTAGCCTTAACTCATGATAAATAGACTTATATTTGTGCTAAAGTGTGAAAAGTGGTTTTCAGTTGATTAATGTGAATTTTTGGTTAATTATGTAATTTTATACAAATTTATATGATTTTTACAGTCTTACTTTTGAGATAAATGAAGAAAAAGAAATAAAAATAAAAATAAAACAAAATAGGGGGGACCTGCCAGCCAGCTAGGCCTACAAACGGGTACGTGTGCACCACTCCCTTTCCACATCACCGGTGGCCAGCCGGCTGTAGAGCAAGGAGTGGTTGTATATGCATAAGAAAGGGACTTGATTGGAAATATAATATTACTATATATTCGCTAGAAACTTCAGCGCACAAGTGATGTGGGACTAAACTCACGTCACACCTTGCTTAGAAAGGGCAAGCAACTAGCATGGGTTCGAATCCTCTTAGAGTCAAAGCTTATATTTTTTCTTTAATTATTGTGACTTTCCTGCAGATTGTCGGTGAAAGATTAAGCAACTAGAATCGCTAGATGATTAGTGAAAATCTCGTCAATGTGATTCATGAAGCATTGTTACTAAAATTACTAAACGATTTGCGATAAAAGGATTACGAATCCATTGAGCAAAGTATCTCCAATTGATCGATGAACAAGTCATCACTGGGAAGAGGATGATATGTCGGGAGATAAGTCATCACCTCCTGAGAACGCATTGGATGCGATGAAGAGCCTCCACTTGCTATGTGGACTTGAGGATGAAGCTCCCTAACACGTGCCCTACCTCCATCCAACTCCTCTCCGTCGGGTGACAGCCGTCAGAGAGCTGCAAAGTCGCCGTTTTTCTATTTTACTGGGTGATAGCGGCCAGAGATGATTCGACAACCCATTTCATTGATCTCTAGACTTCGCAAAGAGATCTAGAGATCGCCCACATTGTCCTTATCTAAGGAGAGTCTTCAAGGCCGTGGACACTATACGATAATCTTACTAAATGCTCAAGATCCTAGTGCATCGTTGACGCATTGTCGCTACGACGTTGGAACTCTATTTTATTACTTTCAATTTAATTTCCACTTCATTTAGTGACAATTTGTGTGATTTAAATTTACCAATATATACTTCATTCTATTATGATTCTTCTGGTTTTTACATATCTTAATTTGATCAATTAAATCATCTGTAATCACTTATATAAGAATCATCAGGCAGAATTCTGTTTTCATCTGATTTGCATTCATTGGGGAGTGACATCATCTTGACGTTCGCACCCTTATTTCCCTTTTTCATGAATTTTAAATATATTTTATTTTCATTTACTAGTATAAAATATATAGATAATAGTATTCTTTGAGAAAAATTCTGAATAATTACTTGATATTATATTACATCTTTATGATTGACCTGAAAAATTACTATTATTTTTGAAAGTTTTATTGAATTATATTTAATATATTTCTTCAGAAATACTTATAAATATTTGAAAATTTATTTTTTCTAGTTTTATAAATTTTAAATTTGCATGATTTACTATACAATGACTAAGTCACATCAGGAGGTATGCCCCCATTGACCATGTTGTTGATTTTATGCCACACATAGGTCAAAAAGAGTGTGACTAAATTGATTGGATATAGTTTTGACTTTTGGTCAACTCTTTTGAAATATATAATCTACTCTTCTAATCTTAGATCATAAGGCAAGTCTACATCTAAGAAAATCAAGCATTTTTATAGTGCTTCAGCCCCCTAATTATGTTCACTTTCCAAAAAATATGATCCTTAAGTTCAACAAAATTAACTATTCACCAATCACAACTGTTGACTTGGGCTCCACTCTAGGAGGTCAACACCTGGTTATAGGGCTCAGTTTCCTTAATGATTAAATATTAATTTGCTCACAAGTTCTTCTCACAAAGGTAAGAAATTATTTTACTGGAGGTAATTTCCAAAAGATAGTAGTGACTTGTTGTTCAAAACTTTGATGAAGAGGATTATGAACTGCTACTTGATTTTTCTGTCCTCTACTAGTTAGGATGCTGGGCCATTGAAGATGTTCTTGCTTGAACTTGGTTGAGAAGAATCACGTGGAACTTGAAATTTGTTCCTCAATAGGCTTCCTTTTTATTGTTCGACCAAGAAAAGAAGACTATTGAAATTAGTTTGTAAATCTCATTAGAAAATGTCACCAAGCCTCTCAAGATGAGAAAGTGGTAAGGTGTGGCCATTTAGAACAAATTAACCTTTAGAGAGGTGCTTAATTTGTAGACAAATCAGATTAAAAAACATATTTTTTTCTCTCTCAATGTTAAAGTATAAAATTAGTTCAAAATTCAAATGGCTGAATTTATACCACATGACTTTTTACACATTCCATAAGAGTAGCTGATATGTATTTCTATTAATATTAACTCATATATTTAAAATTTTTGGCTCAAAAGGTCTACTAATATACTAATATTATTGAAGCAAACTGATAATACATTTTGAATTATCTTAATTTATTACTCATAATTTATCTAAATTACCTCAAGTAAACTATGACTATCAAAAAAATGTATTGAATCATGATCTCAATATCTAGAGTCATAATTTATGTGCACTTGTTGTGTTTAAATATCTATTATCTAATAATATTTATACCTAAGACTTAATAAAATATTAGTATAGATGTAAGTCTCAAGTCAAATATAGGGAGATTGAATAATGTGTCATGAAAAATTAATTTAGTTTATATATAGAGTGATTTTAAAATATTATCACTATTTAATGGAAATAATAAAATAGAAGAGTGAGGAGAGAAGAATAAAGGAATAGAAGTAGAGAAAGGAAAGAGGAAAAGAGAGAACTCTTACGAAAGGGAGATAAGAGACCTCTCATAAAAGAAAGAGAAAGAGAGAGGAAGAGAGAAATCTCATCATGACTCTAAGAGATAAAAGGGTCTCACGAGAGAGAGAGAGAGAGAGAGAGAGAGAGAGAGAGAGAGAGAGAGAGAGAGAGAGAGATCTCATGAGAGGCAAAGAGAGAAGAAGAGGTCTCATAAGAGAAAGGAAGAGAAAAATAAGATGATAATATAGATAGAGAGAAACATAGTTATGATGATGATTCTCAAATGAATGTGTGCTCATGATCACCCATTTTTACGGTGATCATGATTCTCAAACAAATGTGTGCTAAAAAATTCACACACATGACATGATGTCAATTGTGAATGTCTCCACCTTATTTCAAGAGTTCAACACTCATTGATCAACTTTTAACCTTACTGATTTTGTGTTCAAAAATAGAAAAATACTTGTTATTTGTGGAACACTTAGAATATGAATACTTCAAGATTTGACTGAAAAAATTAATAAAAATTAAGTTGTGATCTTAGCTTGATCTCAAATGAGTTTTGGAGGATTAAGAAAAAGTATGAAGATCATTCATTAGGATTTGAATTAGTTCTACTTATTTCAATTGAAACAGATATGAAATAAAATAATTTGTCCTAAATGTAAATAAATACTGAAAACATGTAAATAAATGATAAAAGTAAGAAAGAAATCATTGCCCAAGTTTAGTCTGCCTTCTAGGCAACTAGAGACACCAATGTGGCAACTTAGTTTCATCTAGATGTGCCACACCACACCGAAAGTCACAAAAGTATTGTCCAAAAATGTTGTGTCACTTGCCAAAGAGATATGCCGAAAAGAAGGGTCAACCATGCTATCACCACTATCTAGGGGAAGACGGAAAGAATTGACCACTTGTTAGAGGTCTTGAGTGCAAGTGGGGGAGGAAGGAATGAGCTTGTTGAACACCAAAGGCATTGATTGCATAAAAGAGAGAAGAAACGAGTGTCGTATCCGCGATTAAAGATAATTGATAATATCTATTCTACAAGATAAATAATCAATTATTATCTTTATATCCATAATAGTGATATGTGCGAGAACTTAAGTTCTTAGTATTGTGGTACTTCATGTGCCACTAGATCAAATATGCTTAGTCATATGGCACACTAAGTGATGCAGGATTAATCCATCACAAATCACTACTAACAAAAAACTTAAGTCTCTAGTACTATGGCACTTCACTCACCATTGGATCATCATTTTTGGTCACGTGTGTTGAGTGATGTCAAATTCACAAGCCGCTGATGAACTACTTTAGGCTTCAGGTACCATGATAGTTCGCCAACTACAAGATGTGCTTTATCTAGTAATGTGGCCCACTAAGCACTACTAGATCACACCACACTCCAAACCATTGCCCTGAAACATAATATAACTTTTAGTCTCACATCTGAAGTTTTTCATCAATTGAACTGAATATATATCAAAGTTATGGTCTATTAGTAAAAATCCCTTCTCTCGAAATCATATAATGTCCAAGACCATCTTGGGAGAAGGTAAAAGGTAGTCTGCCCTAGCTCACACACGTGTGTACAACAATCCTTACTCCATCACCGATTGGTGACCAAGATGTGGTAGGGAAGTGAGGCACACATGGGTGAAGTGAATCCATCCTTCACCACTTGAGCCCGACTCATGGCTCCCCCCCAATCTAGGTCTACCCACTTGAGTGTAGTCCCCCTTTGGGTCAATTGTTGAGCATTGGCTCACCAAAGGGTGACAATATTTTTATTTTTTATTCTTATATTTTTTTAATAATAAAAAGTTACCTAACTCATTTAACTTCAAACTTCCTAATTCAAAAATGTATTATTATATTTATTTTTCAAGTTAACATATGAAACTAAAATAATAAAACTAATTAAAATACAAAAATTTAGCTTTAACAATAACTCAATGACATACAATGATGAACATCATTTTTAGATACTATTTGTTAACATTGAAAAACCCTTGAGCAACAATATAATTTGTTCAAATTTGATTAATTAATTTAATATCAAGAATGATTGAAAATAATGATTTAGTATTATGAGCATATTGTAAATTGAGTTAGATTAATTCTTTTGTGTTAATCATTACTTTCCCTCCAGGATGGTTTTAACTTATATTAATAATTTTCATAGAAATCTGTAAAATAATAATTTTGAACGATAAAATTTGGAAAAACAGTTTAATTCAATATTATTTGTCACAAATACATTCTATAATTTCTATTTAGATATTTAAAACTATTAATTTAAATAAATGAATTTATATTTAATTAATTGTATATTCATGTAAAATAATATATTCTTAAATAAATTTCATGATCAATAAGCATAGTTTGTTCTTTACCTTTATGTTATGATTATTTGTCATCATCAAAATAATATTCATTTAATGTTCAAACATGTGTGACACAGACCTATACAAGTTTATATTTAACTTATAGTAGACAATGATGGAAGTAGATTGAATAAACTTCTTTGACTATCCTCTATTCCAATAAGTGTGTGTGTGTGTGAGAGAGAGAGAGATCTAAGTTATCAAGAAAGACTAAATCTTGTATGCATACAAATGTATGTGGTTAGGGCATATGGATGGGTAGATGTAAAATGAAACTAAATAATGAACCTTTGAGATCACACATGAAGAGAAGAGAGCTAATGTTTTCCAAATGCTGAATTAGGTTTTATTTTTTGCTAATAAGTGGAGATTTACCATAGAAGGGTACATGTCAAAAGAAAAATACACATGCCTAAAATACCTTAACCAATAATCTTATGCATGAGTCTACTGGTTGAAAGAGTAGAAGGGTTCAGAACTACCCATTCAATCAATAACATGGTTGATCCTTTAGGTTCTCTCCATCTGATAATATTCTCAAATCTGAAATCTTAAAGAATGGACTGTGATGGAGCACATGAATGCTCATGGAATCTAGCCATCAATAATATTTTGTTACATCCAGCAGTCTATTAAATCCCTAGCTCAATCTCCCGGTAAAATCTTCCTTGTAGCCTATCCATGTGGGAGAAAGATATAAGCAAAGTGGAGTCGTTGGACATCTGAGTAGGCCTTGTAGCAAGAGCATTCGATGGAGTTCATTGATTCACCTATTCTAGTGTTCCTAGTTCTAAGCTCACCGAGAAGCCCTGATATACTAATTTAACTCACTGATAGAAGCTGTAGTCTTTAGCTGGTCGTCCATTGCTGAAGATTTCTCTACACACCTCTTAACGACTAAAATGAGTTTTGATCTGATCTCGTTGTCCCTAGGAATCCCCGATAATAGATAAAGATATAGGGAGGAAGATAAATTGAACAATGCCCGAGAGCTAGAGGATCTCCTCAGTCATCATGGCTATGGTTTTGGCTTCTTGAGAGGCATTTTCTGTTGCCGTCAGCTATTATATGTGTGAATACTTGTAACCTGGTGGATTTGCATTCACGTATGCATCTATAAAGGTAAGTAAATGTAAGAAGCTCTTTATAGAGGATGAATGGAAAAAAATGATCTGAAAGTTTCAACGACGTAAATGAAATACACCAAATATTTCAGCTGACTTTTGGTTTTTAATTGTCTTCTAGAACAAGCCAAAAGCCTCAGCTTTGGACGAGAATTTTACATGCATGAAAAAACAGTTAGAAATTAAGGTCTTTCCAATCAGACGATGAAGTGCCTTGACTTCTATATTGAACAGGAGCCTCAGGATGTTACCTCGTTCACCTTGAGTCATAGAAAACTTTTTAATACTGAATTAAAACACGAAAATTTTAATCAAATTCTCTTCTATGTTACAAAAATCAGTATTGGAAGAATTTCTCCTAAAACATCGGGATAATTGAAATCAATTAAACCCCTAGTCATTAAAGTGTAAGAACTGTGGAATTATAAAGTTGATGGATGATGACGTTTGATGAGCAATGTGGGCCTTCATTTTTCGGGAAACACTAAAGGTTTCAAAGAAAATAGGACGGGACCACGAAAAGCCCCCGCGCCCAAAACCACTGCATCCGCCGCAAGGATCCAGAGAAACGGCGGAATCATACGACAGACGAGAACGGACCACGCCGCAAACGACGAAAGTTTCCCACCGTCGCCGTACCCAACTCGCCTTCCATTTCGTTGGCTATCTGATGGTGATCGAAGGTAAACCAGAGGCATCACCGAGGGATCCAGGGAAGCTGGGGCAGATTCACTGCAGTCCCTCTTCAGAAGAGGATTGTGAAAGAGCTCTAGAGGCCCCCGGAAAAGTCGTCGCCAACTTCCTCCCAATCATAGAATATGCCAAATGACATCAGACACCAGAATTATATTACTTTGGCAACTACAATCTTCTGTCAAAAAGATCATACGGAGCTGGTGTCTCAAACGTGACATCGTGCTCTCTCTCTCTCTCTCTCTCTCCCTCCTGTTATCATATAATACATAAAACGTCATACGTAAAGTCAATGATATTTAAATTAGCATGCACAGAAGACAATATTGAAAGATATGGATATGGAGCTATCACAAATTCCTGTAGTAATGGATATGATCCTAAATTTCCTGATTTTAATTTAGATAAGTCAAACAGTCGTAAAATATTTGGGACCTACGACTTTGAAACCGTATTCGGTTCATACTTCGATCGGCGCCCACAGATTCAATACTTTCTAAGCCTGAATTCAATCTAGTCAAAGCAGTGTTGTTCGTCCCCACGAGAAGAGCAACTTCACAAGGGTCAGAAGGTGGTTATGGAATTCCAGGCGATCAGAGGCACACAGAATCTATGCCACGGGTAGCGCTAAAAATATGAAATAGATAAGCGATTTATCCAAATATTAAATTACACTAATATTAATTCATTTAAATATTTAAACATTATTCGTCGTCATGGATCACGTACCTTGAAAGACGAAACTGAGACTTTATAATTTGTCTGCAGTCAATTCATTCGAGTAAGATAATTTATGCTTAAGGGTATTTAGGGAGAAAACAAGTTACAATTATATGGATATGGTATTTAGAAAATATTAGGAAATATTGGTTAAAAAAGAGCGGCATGCGGAAGAATATTTAATCACCATGGTGTTGGATGACGTTGAATGAGGAAAGCCTTTTGGGTCAAGCATGCTTAGAAGATAAAAAGACATGAGGTTAAATAAAGACGGCGCGAACTCGATATAAAGTCAGAGGACAGAAGAAGAATATGCCGAGAGGGAAGATGGAGGCCACGGATAGAGAGGTAGCCTCCTCGCCGGGGTGGGCCCATTCCCGTTGGTTCGTTGTGAAGTCCTACGTCCGCTTCCTCACTTTCTGTCCCCTAGGCGACGACTCCACGAAGGAAGAGACAGTGGAGACCAAAGCCGGACGGTGTCTCGTTGTTACGGTACGGCCGACCTCATCCTCTTCGAGAGCTAGTATTTACTCTTATCCTCTTTATCCCTGATTGCAACCTTCCTTCTCATTAGGAAGAGATCTCATTAGTGGACAAGATCTTTCCATTTCCACGGATGAAGAGGCCCCAGAGGGAGAAGCCTGATCCAGGGAATCCTGGGCAGATCCACTAGAGCTTTTATCTGCGAGAGGTGTCGCTAGCAGCTCGTCCCCGAGGTGTCTTAGTGTTATTCAGGCAGTCAAATCTATGAAAAGCTATACTAGAACGGAGCAAGCTCCATAGGCTTTAACCCGTTGTACGTTGTCGATGTAAAGACCTGATTTTGCTCCTTCTGAAGTCCGTAGAAGACGTTACACTCGACAACTTATGCACGATCATTCCTCTCATCTCTTTCTGTGAGCTTCTCCCAAGGAATTCATCTCTTATTGTCTTGTTTTTTCACAGAGAGTCAGATTTAGTATTTGGTGTGCATTTTTGATCGTATGATTCAATCAACGGAACTCAAATATGTGCCAATTTGATCTCAATGAAATCCAAGTCCCACGCAGTTGTGTTGATATGTCAGATTGTTTTGTACATCTGTGGGAGTTGTCAATTCCTCTCTCAGGATGGCCCTGCAGTATCGGCACATGCGAACGCGCTCGAACACATCTCTCGTTATTCCTATATCGTGGCAAGGCCCTAGAGGAGGAATCAAAGATTCAAAGATTGCCTTGAAACTTTTCTACTAGATTTCTCTTTAACTCGAATCTCGTAAATAACTAAATATAATATATATTATTTCGGGGTCTAATACTCTTTAATAGCTATGCTTACCTGATTGCTGACGAACGTCTCTCAGGTTGGTTTCCTTCCAGATTTCTTTCTTGTACGCGGGAAGTCCTGGATTACCTTGTCAAGTTAATGGAACCCAATTCTCAAAGTTAATCTTGAGATAGCAAGAAAATAATCTTATGTTCCTTCCTAGAGGGATATTCGCTTCATCTATTATCCATTTAGTGCAAAATAGGAAATAAAATTTCAAGTATTGGATTTCAAGTTACACTATAATTCCAAATTAGTAGGTGTTTTCCAATAAAAGTTGATTTTTACTTCAGACACTTTAGTTTGAGAAACCGGTCAACATTTGGATTCATTGCTTCTCTAGATGTCGAGTTGTGCCCGACTCCCTCCTGGTGAAATGAAATGACAGGGAAAAACTCTGGTCAAAGTATCCAGAACCTGAATCCGACCTGGTCAGATGACACTATCCAGAATTCCCAAGTGTCGTGAGATTTTAGCGCAGGTCAGACGATATACTAGAACTTCAGACGGTGACAAAAGCCTACAGTATATGTATGTATATATTCGCTGTGGTTTTCTTCGAAACAAATACCGCCTGTAGTTTTACAATAGACTGCCTGTTGGCTAAAAAAGCTAATTTCGGTCAACTTGTTTCGGAAATAAAAGATCGTCAAGGGAGGCAGAGGCGGCGCCAAAGCCAGAAACCTCCCCCCATCACCCGGAAAGCCACTGCTACGGCCGGAGAATAGAGAAAAGCAGACCAACCCGCTGTGAAGGGAGATGGAGGGCAGGGTTACGGAGGAAGCCTCCACACCCTGGTGGGCACCCCACCGTCTCATCGCAAAGGCGTACTTTGGATTAATCGGTTTCTATTCAGCAAGCGATTACTCTATAAGGGAGAAGAAGACGATGGAGGAGACACCTGAGAGGAGTCTCGACGTTGTGGTATCGTGATATTTGTGACACATAGTTTTCCTTCCTTCTCTTCTTCTCACTAATTGCATCCGTTTTCCTAGATGGAAGAAACTTCGTCGAGGGACCATATCCTCAAACTTTGCGGGAGCAGTGCGCCGGCCAGAGACGGACCTGATACAGGGATAGGTGGCCAGATCCACTAGAGTCCGCTGGAAGCTTCCGTTCAGCATGTTGTGGTGATTTCCAGACGATCATGGTTGGGTATACGATAAATAGAGTGGGGAGGCATCACTCCCGACTTTCTCTTTTCTTTCTGCCGTCCAAATGCCTCATTGAAGGTCTGTTGGAAACCTAGAGCCCAGAAACAGTATTACTAGCTTATGTTTTGAACTCTCTTGCACCCGTTCTTTAGTACCAAGATTGTAATACGGAGAACGCTCGCAGATATTGTGGTTACGAGTCTGATTATCTACGCGCCCATAAATAATACCACAAGACTGAGTTGACTTCTTTTGTTTCGGAGTCATATAAATCCGATTTATATGATCATAAGTTCAATTCGATAGTAGCAGCAGTAGAGCCTCCTCATTTAGCACTATGCCATCTCACCCTAGTACATCAACCAGCCCATCTCTAGTTTGCTCATGTTTGCCTATTTGATGACTACCTTGACAAGCCATCTGCATCAATCGACCTTTGCATCTCACGATAAGAATAGACTATCTTAGCATAAAGGTTAAGTATTACGTGTAGTGCTCTTGATATTGACCAATGAAAGCAACATGGGTTTTAGGAAAGACGTTCTCCAAGTGATCACAACCAATACTTCCAAAGGCAGACGGATGTGTCATTTTGACATGCATCATTTAAAATCATGTAGATAGGCTGATGATATTTCTTTTCCAGTCATTGCGAAAATCTGAACATACATAGTTCCTTTGTTAAAATATTGTTATTTGATCTCTTATGATAGTTTGATGAGATGGAGAAATCTCCATCTGCCCTAACACAAATGGGCTTAACAGCAGACAAACAAATTCTTCTCAATTGTGTGAGCTACCATCTCAAATCGAGGAAAATGAAAAATTCAAATTTTGGTGATTATGTGTGGTTTATCTTCATTCAATGAAGTCTCCAAAATATCTACATATATACATTCATATGATCACAATTTTTTTATAAGTTTTCATTATCATGAGATAATAATTAATTAATAATATATTTTAAGTCTTAACTCATAATAAATAGGTTTATATTTATGTTAAATTATGAAAAATAGTTTTTAGTTAGTTAACATAAATTTTTGACTAATTATATAATTTAATGTGAGTTTATATAATTTTTATAAAATACTTTTTAAAGGTAAATAAAAGGAAATAAATAAATTACAAATAATATAAAAAAAGGGGGGACCCGTCAACTAACTAAGCCTACATGCAGGTCAAAAGCATAGTCAAGTAGAGCTGCAAGTAGGGGGCTTAAGTGGCTAAGAATTGGTAGAGGGCAGGTGTGTGTCACTCTCCTTCTATGTCATTGGTGGTAAGCCACACATGAGGCGAGGAGTGGTCATACACATATGAGAGAGAGTATATTAAGGATAGAAATACGTATTACTATATATGCATCTCGAATCATCAGAAATAGCTGATCTGGAACTAAACCCATGCCAACACTCCTAAGTATGTTTTCATATTTTTATACTTATAATACCTTTGCTCTATGAGAATCAAGTGACTTCATGATGTCAGTAGATAAGGGTATAAGTATAATTAATGATTACTTCTCTTTCATACAAGTAGATAATTGACAAAGATTCGAATCTCACCAAAGTCAAAACTCATATTTTTATCTAATTAAATTGTGATTTTCTTATAAATGACTGATCAATGATTAAGCCACCATATCATTAGTGAAAATATCTTCAACATTTCACAAAGTATGAGCATCATTACTAACTATTGAACAATTTTAGATAAAAAGATCACAAATTCATAAAATAAATTATCTCTAATTAATTGAAAAAAACGTGACTTAGTCGTTTTATAGTAAATTATAAAATTTTAAAATTTATAAAACTAAAAAATACTAATTTTCAGATATTTAGAAGTATTTCTGAACAAATCTATCAACTATAATTCAATAAAACTTTCAAAAATAGTGGTAATTTTTCAGGTCAATCACAGGGATGTAATAAAATATCAAGTAATTTTTCAGAATTTTACTCAAAGAATACAAGTTTTTATGAATTTTATACTACAAAATGAAATTAAAATATATTTAAAATTTATGAAAAAGGGAAATAAGGATATGGATGTAAGGATGATGCCAGTGCTTGATGAATGTGAATCGAGTAAAAACAGAGTTCTGCCAAATAATTCTTATGTAAACGATTATAGACGATTTAATTGATCAAATTAAGATTTGTAAAAGCTAGAAGAATCATAATTAAATGAAGTTTTATTTTGATAAAAAATAAATACAAAAACTAAAGTTTTCTCCTTTCCATATATGTCACCTAAGAAAATGAGATAGAATGAAATACTCAAATTAAATGAATTCGAAAATAAGGTCTATCTAATTAATGTCTATTAGCCAAAGAATAGGAAAAAAATTAAAATTAAAACTAAAAATGTAAATAACCTTGTTGATATGCAGCTAGCTAGTTCCCTTGCCTTTTTATGCCTTTTGGCCTCCTAACTTCCAGCCCACAATTTGTCCCCCCTTTCAAAAGAGTGAGCCTCCAACTCATCTGGTCTAAAATCTCTCATTTCATTTTGATTTAAATACTTTTTCCTTCTTTTCCCTTTGAAATCTTTGATTCTCATTTTCTTCTCTGAATCTTGTCAAAAATTACATTTTTAGTATATATAATCATTCATTAATAATGCTTCATTTCAAATTTTAGATCAATTGGACATGTCAAGACATTTTAAATCAAATTCTAGATCAACTATGGGAAACACTTGGAAAACACCAAAAATGCTAAAAAATGACAGGAACTAAATGAATATTGATCTAAAAATCATGTTTTCTCTATGAATTAGTCTGATTGATCTGAAATTTAAATTGAAGCTCTACTTTTGGTTGAATAAATCCATATACTAAAATTGTAATTTTTGGCATGAAATGGAGTGGAAAATAGAAGTTAAAAACTGAAGATGGAAAAGAAGAAAAAATGGTTGAATCAAAAGCAAATACAAGATTTTCGGATCTGAGGAAGAATAGAGGAGGTTCCTCAATCATCTTGAGGGAAAGACGAATGGTTTGCTAGAGGGCAGGAGGCTATAAGGCAAAGGAGGAGGTTGCAAAGCAAGGAAACAAAGAGAGGGATCTCAAAATAAGTTGACAATGAATCATTAGAGTCTTTGTGATTTAAATTGTAATTATTGTCTTATTTAATTTTTCTTTCTATTATTTGGGTGACTAAAATTGATCAAAAAGACTCTTTTGAAATTTATTTAATTTTAGCGTTTTTTTCTACTCATTTTCCTAGGTGACAAACAAGGAAAAGGGAGAGCTTTAATATTTATTCTTAGTCTTCATCATTATGAATTTAGTAAAATTCTGATTATAATTACTTACAATCTCTTTTCTTATCCTTAGGTGACAGATAAGGAAAGGAAAATATTTCTATTTGAGGTTATAAGATTTCATTGAGATTTAATACATTAATTAAAAGTTTTCGAAGTCTTGTAGGACTTTGTCGTGTGACAAACAACAAAGTCTATTAGTTTTAGAATTTATCTCTGATGAAAAATATAATTATTTTAATTTATCTTTGATTGACAACCAAGTATATTTCTATAATTTAAATATTTAAATTATATTTCTATATTTATTTTAAATATTTTAAACTAATCTTCATATCAGTAGAAGTCATTCCATTGATTACCCTTCTCACCTTTCTACTCCACAATTTCTCAACTATTTTCCTCTAATCATGATTTAATCATCTCATTGTGAAAACTTTCATTCATATTATCTGGAGCTAACAAGAGGAATAAATATATTTGATTAATTAGAGGAGGATATTAAGTATTGAAGATAATATTTTATTACTTATCTTATCCCATTTTATTTTATTTTCTTTTGAGTTAGTTTTGTATTAAAAAAATAGAAATGTAATTAAACTAGTTCTCACCATCCTTGAGGATTGATCTGACCTTAGAGTAATACTAGAATTCATTTAGAAGGTTCAATTATAAAAATTGTTAAATTTGCATGTATTAAGCCAATGACAAATGCATGATCAGCATGAATAAAACTTTTTTAATAGAATAGAGAATGGTTGAATTTCATGAAATAAGAGACATATGAAGCAATTCACATAGAGCATTACATGGAATTTCTTAATTAATCAAATTAAGATCTATTAAAGTGGGAAGAATTGTAATTGAACAAAATATATTTTGGTAAATTAAACTCACACAAATTATCACTAAATGAAGAGTAAAGTAAGTTGAAAGCAAGAAAACAGAGTTTCGGCGTTGCAACGGTGATGCATCGGCGATGCATCAGAATCTTGAGTGTTTGAGAGGATCGATGACATGACTCAGTCATTGTATCTTAAATCACGCAAATGTAAAATTTATAAAACTAGAAAATACAATTTTTCAGATATTTAGAAGTATTTATCAATAAATATAACAATTATAATTCAATAAAAATTTTAAAAATAGTGGTAATTTTTTTGGTCAATCACAGGGATGTAATATAATATCTGGTAATTATTCAGAATTTTTCTCAATGAATACGATTTTCTATGAATTTTATATTAGAAAATAAAAAGGAAATATATTTAAAATTCACGAAAAAAAGGGAAATAAGGGTGCGGATGTCGAGATGATGTCAGTGCTCGGCGGATGCGAATCGGGCAGAAACAAAGTTCCGCCTGATGATTCTTGCGTAAGCGATTACAGATGATTTAATTAATCAAATTAAGATCTGTAAAAGCTAGAAGAATCGTAATTGAACAAAGTATATTTTGGTAACTTAAAAACATAAAAACTATCACTAAATGAAGCATAACGTAAATTGAAAGCAAGAAAATAGAGTTTCGGCGTTGCGACGGCGATGTGTCAGTGATGCACTAGAATCTTGAACGTTTGGGAGGATCGTCATGCAATGTCTACAGTCTCGAAGGCTCTCCATAGACAAAGACGATGTGGGCAATCTCTAGATCTTCTCACGAAGTCTAGAGATTAATGAAGTGGGTCATCGAATCGTCTCCGGCAGCTGTCACCTAGTGGAGCGGAAAAACGGTGACTTTGCGGCTCTCCGGTAGTTGTCACCCGACGAAGAGGAGCTGGATGGAGGTGGGGCGCATGTCAGGGAGCTTCATCTTCAGGTCCATGCAGCAAGAGGAGGCTCTTCATCGCATTTGGTACGCTCTTAGAAGGTGGCAACTCGTCTTCCGATGGATCATCCTCTTCCCGACAACGGCTTGTTCGTCGATCAATCGAAGATGATTTACTCGATGGATTGCAATCCTTTTATTGCGAATCATTCAGCAATTTTAGTAGCAATGCTCTGTGAATCGCATTGATGAGATTTTCGTCGATGATCCAACAATTCTCGTTGCTTAATCCTTCACCAGCGATCCACAAGAAAGTCACGATAATCCGATAAAAATATATGAATTTTGACTTTGGGAGGATTCAAACCCTCGCCGGTTGCCTACCTATGAGGAAGGTGTGACGTGGGTTTAGTCCCACATCGGTTGTGCGCTGATTTTTCGAGCGAATATATAGTAATGTTAGCTTTATAAGCAAAGTCAGTACTCTCGCGTGTACGACCACTCCTTGCCCCACAGTCGGCTGGCCACCGGTGACGTGGAAGGGGAGTGGCGCACACATGCCCCTATCGGTCCAAGCCAAGCCGCTCAAACCCCTACTCGCGGTTACTCCCCGACTACGCTTCCGACTCACTTGCGGGCCCGACTGGTAGGCAGGTCTCCCTATTTTGCAATATTTTTATTTCTTATTCTTCATTTTTCTCAAAATTATGACTATACAAATTGTATAAAATCACATAATTACCCAAAAATTCACATTAATTAATTAAAAATGACATATCATACTTTAACACAAATATAAGTCTATTTATCATGAGTTAAGGCTAAACCTATATTATTTACTAATTATTAACTCATGATAATGAAGACTTATTAATCGTCATATAGTGTCCACAGCCTCAAAGGCTCTCTTTGTACAAGGATGATGTGGGCAATTTCTAGATCTCCTTGCGAAGTCTAGAGATCAATGAAGTGGGCCATCGAATCGTCTCTAGCGGCTGTCACCTAGCAGAGTGGAAAAATGACAACTTTGCAGCTCCCTGGCGGCTGTCACCTGACGGATAGGAGTTGGATGGAGGTGGGATGTGTGTTAGGGAGCTTCATCCTCAGGTTTGTGCAGCAAGAAGAGGCTCTTCATTGCATCTGGTACGCTCTTAAGAGGTGGTAACTCATCTCCCGGCGGATCGTCCTCTTCTCAACGACGGCTTGTTTGTCGATCAATCTAAGAGATTTACTCAATGGATTAGCAATCCTTTTATCGCGAATCATTCAGCAATTTTTGTAATAATGCTCCATGAATTGTGTTGACGAAATTTTCACCAATGATCCAACAATTCTAGTTGCTTAATCCTTCACTAGCGATCTGTAGGAAAGTCACGATAATTAGATAAAAATATATGATTTTTGGCTCTAGGAGGATTCGAACCTGCACCAATTGCCCTGCCCTTTCTAGGGAAAGTGATGCATGTTTAGTCCCACATTAGTTGTGCATCGATTTTTCAGATGAATATTGATAAGTCTTCATTATCATGAGTTAATAATTAGTAAATAATATAGTTTTAACCTTAACTCATGATAAATAGACTTATATTTATGTTAAAGTGTGAAAAGTAGTTTTTAATTGATTAATGTGAATTTTTGGATAATTATGTGATTTTACATGAATTGATATGATTTTTATAGTCTTGCTTTTGAGATAAATGAAGAATAAGAAATAGAAAAATAAAAAAAAGACAAATGAGTTGAACCCGCCGACCAGCCGGGCCTGCAAGCGGGTCGAAAGCTTAGTTGGGGAGTAGCCGCGAGTAGGGGTTCGAGTGGCTTGGACCAATATGGGCAAGTGTGTGCCACTCCCCTTCCACGTCACTAGTGGCCAGTCGGCTATGGGGCAAGGAGTGGTGATACACGCGAGAGAAGGGACTTGCTTAGGAATGAAACATTAGTATATATTCACCCAAAAAATCAGTGCACAACTGATGTGGGCCTAAACTTGCGTCACCTTCCCTAGAAAGGGCAGGCAACCGGCATGAGTTCGAATCCTCCTAGAGTCAAAAATCATATATTTTTATTTGATTATCAAAACTTTCTTATAGATCGTCAGTGAAGGATTAAGCAACTAGAATCGTCAAATCATCGGTAAAAATCTCATCAATGCAATTCGTGGAGTATTGCTGCTAAAATTGCTAAATGATTTTTGATAAAAGGAATGCGAATCCATCGAGTAAATTATCTCCGACTGATTGACGAACAAGCCATCGTCGAGAAGAGGACAATTCGCCAGGAGACGAGTTGCCACTTCCTGAGAGCATACTAGATGCGATGAAGAGCCTCCTTGATAAGTCTTCATTATCATGAGTTAATAATTAGTAAATAATATAGTTTTAACCTTAACTCATGATAAATAGACTTATATTTGTGTTAAAGAATGATTTTTGGTTTTCAATTGATTAACGTGAATTTTTGGGTAATTATGTGATTTTATACGATTTTTACAGTCTTACTTTTGAGATAAATGAAGAAGAAGAAATAAAAATAAAAATATTGCAAAAATGGGGGAGGACCCGCCAGCCAGCCGTGCCCGCAAGTGGGTCGGAAGCACAGTCGGGGAGTAAGCCGCGAGCAGGGGCTCGAGCGGCTTGGCTTGGGGACTGACAGGCACGCGTACGCCACTCCCCTTCCACGTCACCGGTGGCCAGCCGGCTGTGGGGCAAGGAGTGGTCGTACACGCGAGAGAAGGGACTTTGCTCACAAATCTAACATTACTATATATTCGCCTGAAAACTCGGCGTACAACCGATGTGGGACTAAACCCACACCTTCCTCAGAAGAGGCGGGGGCGACCGGCGCGGGTTCGAATCCTCCCAGAGTCAAAATTCATATATTTTTATCTGATTATCGCGACTTTCCTGCAGATCGCCGGTGAAGGATTAAGCAATGAAAATCGTTGGATCATCGGCGAAAATCTCGTCAACGCGATTCGCAGAGCATTGCTACTAAAATTGCTGAACGATTTGCGATAAAAGGATCGTGAATCCATCGAGTAAATCATCTCCGATTGATCGACAAACAAGCCGTCGTCGGGAAGAGGACGATCCGCCGGGAGACCAGTCGCCACCTCTTGAGAGCGTACCAGATGTGATGAAGAGCCTCCTCTTGCTGCGCGGACCTGAGGATGAAGCTCCCTGACATGCGCCCCACCTCCATCCAGCTCCTCTCCGTCGGGTGACAGCCACCGGAGAGCCACAAAGTCGTCGTTTTTCCGCTCCGCCGGGTGACAGCCGCCGGAGACGATTCGACGACCCACTTCATTGATCTCTAGACTTCGCGAGAAGATCTAGAGATTGCCCACGTCGTCTTTGTCCAAGCAGAGCCTTCGAGGCCGTGGACATTGCACGACGATCCTCCCGAACGCTTAGGATTCCGGTGCATCAATTTAATTTATGCTTTATTTAGTGATACTTTGTGTGATTTTAATTTACCAAACTATACTTCGTTAAATTATGATTCTTCCGGCTTTTACAAATCTTAATTTGATTAATTAAGTCGTCTGTAATCGCTTACGTAAGAATCATCGGGTGGAACTCTGTTTCTGCCTGATTCGCGTTCGCCGGGCGCTGACGTCATCCTAACGCCCGCACCCTTATTTCCTTTTTTTTTTGAGAATTTTAAATATATTTCTTTTTTATTTCCTAGTATAAAATTCGTAAGAAAATCGTATTCATTGAGAAAAATTCTGAATAATTACTAGATATTATATTACATCCTTGTGATTGACCTAGAAAATTACTGCTATTTTTGGAATTTGTATTGAATTATAATTGATATATTTATTTTGAAATACTTCTAAATATCCAAAAATTCATATTTTCTAGTTTTATAAATTTTATATTTGCGTGATTTAACATACAACGACTGAGTCACGTCACTCCTCTTACTGCACAGACGTGAGGATGAAGCTCCTTGACATGCGCCCCACCTCCATCCAGTTTCTCTCTGTCAGGTGATAGTTGCTTGATAAGTCTTCATTATCATGAGTTAATAATTAGTAAATAATATAGTTTTAGCCTTAACTCATGATAAATAGACTTATATTTGTGTTAAAGAATGATTTTTTGTTTTCAATTGATTAACGTGAATTTTTGGGTAATTATGTGATTTTATATGATTTTTACAGTCTTACTTTGAGATAAATGAAGAACAAGAAATAAAAATAAAAATATTGCAAAAATGGGGGGACTTGTCGGCCAGCCGGGCGCGCAAGCAGGTCGGAAGTGCAGTCGGTGAGTAAGCCGCAAGTAGGGGCTCGAGTAGCTTGGCTTGGGGACTGACAGGGCACACGTATGCCACTCCCCTTCCACGTCACTAGTGGCCAGCCGGCTGTGGGGCAAGGAGTGGTCGTACATGTGAGAGAAGAGACTTTGCTTACAAAGCTAACATTACTATATATTCGTCCAAAAAATTGGCATACAACCAATGTGGGACTAAACCCCCGTCACACCTTCCTCAAAAGAGGCACCTCTCCGTCAGGTGACAGCTGCCGGAGAGCCATAAAGTCGCTGCTTTTTCGCTCCACCGAGTTACAGCTGCCAGAGACAATTCGACAACCCACTTCATTGATCTCTAGACTTCGCGAGAAGATCTAGAGATTGCCCACATTGTCTTTGTCCAAGGAGAGCCTTCGAGGCCGTGGACACTGCACGACGATCCTCTCGAACGCTCAAGATTCCGGTGCATCACCGACGCATCGCCGTCGCGATGCCAGAACTCTATTTTTCTGCTTTCAATTTAATTTACGCTTCATTTAGTGATACTCTGTGTGATTTTAATTTACCAAACTATGCTTCGTTCAATTATGATTCTTCCGGCTTTTACAAATCTTAATTTGATTAATTAAGTTGTATGTAATCGCTTACGTAAGAATTGTCGGGTAGAACTCTATTTTTGCCTGATTCGCGTTCACCAGGCGCTGACATCATCCTGACATCCGCACCCTTATTTCCTTTTTTTTTGTGAATTTTAAATATATTTCCTTTTTATTTCCTAGTATTAAATTCGTAAGAAAATCATATTCATTGAGAAAATTTCTGAATAATTACCAGATATTATATTACATCCCTATGATAAACTTGGAAAATTATTGTTATTTTTGGAATTTTGATTGAATTATAATTGATATATTTATTTATAAATACTTCTAAATATCTAAAAATTCGTATTTTCTAGTTTTATAAATTTTATATTTGCGTGATTTAATATACAACGACTGAGTCACGTCAAATTTTGGTGCCGTTGCCGGGGATGTATTGCATAATATTTAGTGTTTTTCTATTTTTCTCTTAATATACACAAAAAAAAACTTAACTCTTGTTTTATTTTCTTTTTGTCAATTTTTATTAGAAAAAGGGAACGAAAAGAAGCACGACAAGGACTGGAGCATCCTGAAGGTGGGTAACAGTTACTAAATTTTTCCCTTTAATTTATTGATTTTTATGCATGGTAGAAGATCCTTGCATCCAAGGCTAGAAAATCCTTTCATTATTTCATTCAAAAATAAAAATCCGAAAGAAAAATTAATTTTGATGGATCTTGAAGGAACTACAGGTCAAACTGAGAACAATCCTATGGCCATGAAAAATCATTATATCCCTAATTCATTTCAAAGAGCATCTAATATTAGAGTCTCATTAGCACCCACTATTAAATTCAAAATAAATCCAGGAATTTTTCAAATGTTCCCTAATTTTCATGGATTGCCTTTAGAGGAACCTCATCAGCACTTAGAAAAATTTCATATGGTCTATGATTTAGTTAATCTTCCTCAAGTTACATCAAAAATTATTAAGATGAAATTATTCCCTCATACACTTAGGGACAAAGCTAGTCATTGGCTATCCACATTAGATAGAGAATTAACTAGCTAGAAAGATATAGAACAGGCCTTTCTTCGAAAATTTTATCCCTTAAGAAAAACTCAAAATATGAGAAAACATATATGGAGTTTTTCTCAAAGACCAAGAGAAACTTTGCATGAGACATGGGAAAAATTCAAGGATTTACTTAGAAAGTGTCCTCATCATGCTATACCCAAGTGGCAGCTCAATAGAATTTTTTATGATAGATTATTAGAACAACATAGAAATATGGTTGATTCTATATGTGGAGGAGCTTTTATGGAGAAAATGCCTGATGAGATTTACAATCTTTATGAGAATTTAAGTGAAAATTCTAGAGATTAAGCCTCTTTTGAATTATATGACAGGGATAAGAAGAGAAGAATTTATGAATTGCATCATGATGATGATTCTAAACTTAGAAATGAGGTTAATCAGATTAATCAAAGATTAGAAAAAATTAATTTACTTATTGACAATATTAGAAAGCCTTTTAACCCTCAATTTAATTCGAATAGTACATGTCCTATGTATGGTGAAAATGATTATTTTGAATTTCAATGTTATAATTTAGATCAATCATTTCACCCTATGCAAGAACAAGTGCAAGTAGTTCACGGTTTTAATAGAAATAGGGAACATTTTTCAAATTCTTATAATCCTAATTGGAGGAATAATTTTTCATGGAGAGACCCAAATAATATTCAAAATCCAGAAGCACTTAGACCCAATTCAAACTCTGAATTTCGTCCAAAACAAGAAAATAGATTTCAGAAAAATCAGCCCTCTCAAACCCAACCTGATGCTATGGAAATGATGTAGTAAATGAGCCAAATGAAGCAACAAACTATGAATCAAATGATGCAGCACTAGAAACAAATTATAGAGGCCCTTGGGAATAAGAGAGAAGAGGAACAACTACCTAGTCAGCCCATAGAAAATCCAGGGAACCGCCCAACAATAGGATTTCAGCATGGGGAGTCTACTAGCATGAATCTAGGAAAAAACCCACGAAATGAAAATGTTAGGATAGTGAATGCATTAAGGAGTGGTAAGATCTTACCTGATCCTTATCCCCAAACATTAGAAGAAAAAGAAAACGTGGACAACCCAAAACAAAATCAAATAGGAGTAGAAGAGGATTTTATAGATTCTACCAAAGAAATTTCGAAAGAGAGGACAACCATTCCATTTCCTAAAGCTCTAGAGCCTAGACAAAGAAAGAAAAAGGAACACAATCAAGAAATAAAGAAAATTTTACAAGATATGCAAATTAGTCTTCCTTTACTCACTGCCATTGAACATATTCCTGAATATGCTAGAGTTTTGAAAGAAATGTGTATACCAAAATGGACACCTAGAGTAGAAAAATTATCTATGCATGCTAGTGCATTATTATTAAATCAATTACCATTTAAATTGAGAGATACAGGTGCCCCTTTAACTTTGTGTGATATTGGTGGATTCATTTTTCAGAATGCATTACTTGACACCAGTGCTAGTATTAATTTATTACCTGCAAGTATTTGTGATAAATTTAATATTTCTGATCTTAAACCTTCTACTGTTACCTTACAATTTGCTGATAGATCCATAAAACATCCAAAAGGTATTTTAGAAAATGTGATAGTGACAGTTAAAGGGTATAAATTTCTAGCTGATTTTGTAGTGCTGGAAATGGATTTTAATGGACAATTTTATGATACACCAATCATCCTAAGGAGACCATTTTTGCATACAGCAAAGATGAATATTGATTTTCCCACAGGTATTGTGAAAATTTCATGTGGAGATCAATCAATAGAAATTAAAATTTTTGAGGTATCAAATGATCTTAAGAAATCCTAAGTATATGATTGTCATACCATAGATCTTCTAGATGATTTTGATGATCTAGATGTTATTGATGACTATGTGCTGGAAGAATTAGAGGAAAAAGAGAATATAAATTTAGAAGAAAAGAAAGAAGAAGATCATCTGAATTTAGAGTTGAAACCTCTTCCCTCTAGTTTAAAATATATGTTTTTGGAGGAAAGTAATTCATTTCCTATTATTATTGCAGTTGATTTGAGTAATGAATAGGAAGAAGAATTATTAGATATACTTCGAAAAAGTAAGAAGGCTATGGGCCAGAAAATGAGCGATCTAAGGGGCATTGATATGAGAGTATGCATGCATAATATATATTTAGAGGAGGGGGCTAGAACTAGTAGGGAACCACAACGAAGATTAAATCCTAACATGATGGAAATTGTAAAAAAAGAAATTTTAAAGTGGCTGGCTGCTGATATTATTTACCCTATTTCAGATAGCAAATGGGTTAGTCCTACACAAGTAGTGCCAAAAAAAATAGGGATCACGATTATAAAAAACGAAAATGGGGATGAAATACAAACAAGACTAACTATTGGTTGGAGAGTTTGCATTGATTATAGAAAATTAAATTCAATTACTAGAAAAGATCATTTTCCCCTATCATTTACTAATCAAATTCTAGAAAAATTAGCTGGAAAAAACTTTTTTTGTTTTCTGGATGGATACTCTGGTTATAATCAAATTTATATAAACCCTTTAGATCAAGGAAAAACAACTTTCACTTGTCCATTTGGTACTTTTGCTTTTAAACGCATGCCTTTTGGTCTGTGTAATGCTCCAGCCACATTTCAAAGATGTATGCTGTCTATTTTTTCTGATATGATTGGAAAATACATGGAAATTTTTATGGACGATTTTTTTGTTTTCGGTGAATCATTTGATGAATGCTTAAATCATTTACAGCATGTACTTGAGAAATGCATAGAGAAAAAATTAGTTTTGAGTTGGGAGAAATCACATTTTATGGTTAAAGAGGGAGTTGTGTTGGGTTATATTGTGAGTGAAAAGGGTTTAGAGGTGGATAGAGCAAAAATTGCTATTATATCTAAATGAAACCTCCGAATTTAGTAAAACAGATTATATCTTTCTTAGGTCATGCAGGTTATTACAGAAAATTTATTCAAGATTTTTCAAAAATTTTTAAACCTCTCACCATGCTATTATCTAAAGATGTGCCTTTTAATTTTGATGAAAAATGTTTTGAGTCTTTTTCTGAAATAAAAAGATTACTTACTAAGGCACCCATTTTACAAGCTCCTGATTGGTCCCTTCCCTTTGAAATAATGTGTGATGCATCGAATTATGCAGTGGGGGCCGTTCTAGGACAAACAAAAGAGTCAAAACCCATAGTAATTTCATATGCTAGTAAAACTATATTCGATGCTCAATTAAATTATACCATGACTGAAAAGGAGTTGTTAGTTGTAGTATTTTCGTTAGAAAAGTTTAGATCATATATTTTGAGAGCTAAAATTATTATTTATACTGATCATGCAGCATTAAAATATCTGTTAAATAAGAAAGATGCAAAGCCACATTTATTAAGATGGATTTTATTGTTACAAAAATTTGACTTAGAAATAAAAGATAAAAAAGGTTTCAAGAATGTTTTTGCTGACCATCTTTCTAGATTAAGTGATACAGGAATAAATGCAGCACCTTTACAAGATGCATTTCTAGATGAACAATTGATGGCAGCTCAACATCAACCATCACCATGGTATGCACATATTGTTAATTTTCTGGTTTCTGGAAAAACTCTAGAACAGTGGGATAAGAACATAAAAAATCATTTCTTTTCTAAGATTAGAAATTATTTTTGGCATGATCCTGATTTATATTACTTGGGCAATGATCAAATTTTAAGGAGATGTGTTCTTGAAGAAGAATATCATAGCATTATTAACATGTGCCATTCATCTAACTGTGGAGGACATTTCTCTGGACGAAAAACAATTGCAAAAATTTTTCAGTGTGGTTTTTATTGGCCTACAATCATTAGAGATTCTATAGAATTTAGTAGAACATGTATTTCATGCCAATCTATAGGTAACATGAGTAAAAAATATGAAATGCCCATGAGTAACATGTCAGTAGTCGAAATTTTTGATGTATGGGGAATAGATTTCATGGGTCCTTTCCCATCAGCTGAAAAATATGAATATATTTTGCTTGCTGTTGATTATGTGTCGAAGTGGGTGGAAGCTATTCCTACTAGAACTAATGATCATAAAATCGTGATGAAATTTTTGTAGGAAAATATTTTTTCGAGATTTGGATGTCCTAGAGTGATTATTAGTGATGGAGGAACACATTTTACAAATAAACATTTCAGGGAACTGTTAAAAAAGAATGGAGTACACCACAAAGTAGCCACTCCATATCATCCCCAAACAAATGGGCAAGCTGAAGTAGCAAATAGAGAAATTCAGAGAATTTTGAGAAAAATAGTTAGACCAGATAGGAAAGATTGGCCCACGAAATTACAAGATGCATTATGGGCTTATAGAATAGCTTATAAAAATCCCATAGGTATGTCCCCATTTCGTCTCATTTTTGGAAAGCCATGTCATCTTGCTGTGGAAATAGAGCATAAAGCATTATTGGCTATAAAAAATTTATGTATGGATGAAAAATCAGCTGGTGGGCATAGAATTTTTCAGTTACATGAATTAGAGGAGTTGAGGAATGAAGCTTATGAAAATCATAGAATATATAAAGAAAAAACTAAAACTTTCCATGATAAATACATTAGCAAGAAAAAATTTGATGTTGGACAAAAAGTGTGGTTATATGATTCTAGGCTGAAATTATTCCCAAGAAAGTTAAAATCAAAATGGAAAGGGCCTTATGTGGTGGAAGAGACATATGATCATGGGACTGTAATGATTAAAGAACCTAAAAGTGATCATAACTTTAAGGTAAATAGATAGCGGCTTAAACATTACATAGAAAATGAACGCCTTGTAGAAAAAGAAATTTTATTATGAAAAGAAATTTGAGAGTAAGACCAAGGAGTCCAGCTGGAGACATTAAATTTAGCACTGCATGGGAGGCAACCCATGGTTTTTATTTCATTCTGTTTGATTTTTTTTTAAGCTCTGTTTTTCTTAGAATTTCGCAGTACTTGTTTCTGTATTTGTTTTTTTTCGAAAAAGTGCAGGAGGAGGAGTGTAAGATGAAGTGGAAAATTAAAAACGAGGTTGAGGTGATGTCTTTCTGAGCTTAAACATTTATGAAAATATTTTTAATGCTTAACTTTGCAAATATGCATACTTCACTTGAAAATTATATTTTCTGCATATTCTATTTCGAGTTTTCTGTGTCATTGAGGACAATGTCATTTTTAATTTGGGGGGTGAAGTATTCATTATTAATTTATGCTGTAGGACGATAAAGACCATGTGTTTGCATTTTATTCAACTTAAAACAGCAACTAAAAAAATAAAAATAAAAGAAAATTCGGAAAAATTGCAACATCTATTTTCTAGTTTTCTGCTAGAAACAACAGACTGTCAAAAATAGTAGACAAAAAATAGCCCAAAATTTGAAATCACAGAAGACCCTTTTCTCACATTTCAATCCCCTAGATATATATTACTGAAATTCGAAATTACAACAATAAAGAAGACAGCTTTGATTTATTTTTGACAAATTTATTGCTGCTAAAAATAGAACTAAAAACAAAAAATGGAATTGTCAGAACTATCTAATTTACAAATTTCTTACATCATATTACATGCATGAAAAATTAAATCAATTAGATTGATTGATACCAAGAGATACTAGGAAGATTATTATTGAGTCAAAAGAATGATCTAGTAGCATAAAATGTTGGAATACTCTTTGGATACATGATAGATAACATGAATTTGATTTTACAGATTTTCACTTCATGATCTTGATGGATAGTATTTACCTGATGTGAAAATTTGATTGATCATTTGAGTTTAATGGAGATTTTTGCACCCTGATTTATAGGACTTGTGAGGAGAAATCACTTATTTCAAAAAAAAAAAAAAGAGAGAGCAATGTGAAAAATCTAGAAACGAAGAGTACACATGGAGGGTGTGAGACATCATTCTCATTGTCGAAAATCTAAAAAAATGCATAGAAAAATACTTGCTGAAAAATAAGTGGATAAAGTGAAAGCCCTGAAAATGAAGAGTACACATGGAGGGTGTGAGACATCATTCTTATTGTCGAAATTTGTCTACAAGAAAAGCTACTTATCCACTATTTATAAAAAAAAAAGGAAGAAATATAGTGCAAACTTCAAAAATCAAGTCATAGAAAAAGGGAAATGTAAGATCAATATTATTCTTGGATGAGTATTAATAGTTGGAACATCTTGTAAATACATCTATGAGTGAAGAAGTGATAAAGATGTGAATAGAAGAAGTGAAGTCTAGATTGTTATTCCAAGGAGTGTTTAAACATTTAAGTGCTTGGCATCATTCTTAAATACTTGATATAAGAATCCAAAGTGTTTAACGGTGCATCATTTCTAATTATATATTTTTTTCTGTATTGAAATATGATGTTTGAGATTTGTAAAATTTTATTTTCGTAATTCCATTGCTAAGGGACTAGCAATGATTTAAGTTGGGGGGTGTGATAAGTCTTCATTATCATGAGTTAATAATTAGTAAATAATATAGTTTTAGCCTTAACTCAAGAGAAATAGACTTATATTTGTGTTAAAGAATGATTTTTGGTTTTCAATTAATTAATGTGAAATTTTGGGTAATTATGTGATTTTATATGATTTTTATAGTCTTACTTTTGAGATAAATGAAGAACAAGAAATAAAAATAAAAATATTACAAAAATGAGGGGACCCGCCAGCCAGCCGGGCCCGCAAGTAGGTCGGAAGCGTAGTTAGGGAGTAAGCTGCGAGCAGGGGCTCGAGCGGCTTGGCTTGGGGACCAACAGGGCACGCGTACGCCACTCCCCTTCCATGTCACTGGTGGCCAGCCGGCTGTGGGGCAAGGAGTGGTCGTACATGTGAGAGAAGAGACTTTGCTTACAAAGCTAACATTACTATATATTCGCCCAAAAAATCGGCATACAACTAATGTGGGACTAAACCCCCGTCACACCTTCCTCAAAAGAGGCAGGCAACTGGCGCGAGTTCGAATCCTCCTAGAGTCAAAATTCATATATTTTTATTTGATTATTACAACTTTCCTGCAGATCGCCAGTGAAGGATTAAGCAACGAGAATCGCTGGATCATCAGCGAAAATCTCGTCAATGCGATTCGCGGAGCATTGCTACTAAAATTGCTGAACGATTCACGATAAAAGGATCACGAATCTATCGAGTAAATCATCTCTGATTGATCGACGAACAAGCCGTCATCGAGAAGAGGACAATCTGCTGGGAGACTAGTCGCCACCTCCTGAGAGCATACCAGATGCGATGAAAAGCCTCCTCTTGCTGCGCGAACTTGAGGATGAAGCTCCCTGACACGCATCCCACCTCCATCTAGCTCCTCTCCGTCGGGTGACAACTGTCGGAGAGCCGTAAAGTCACCGTTTTTCCGCTCCGCCGGGTGATAGCCGTCGGAAACGATTTGACGACCCACTTCATTGATCTCTAGACTTCGCGAGAAGATCTAGAGATTGCCCACAACGTCTTTGTCCAAGGAGAGCCTTCGAGGCCGTGGACACTACACGACGATCCTCCCGAACGCTTAGGATTCCGATGCATCGCCAACGCATTGCCGTCGCGATGCCAGAACTCTGTTTTCCTGCTTTCAATTTAATTTACACTTCATTTAGTGATACTCTATGTGATTTTAATTTACCAAACTATACTTCGTTCAATTACGATTCTTTCAGCTTTTATAGATTTTAATTTGATTAATTAAGTTGTCTATAATCACTTATGTAAGAATCGCTAGGCAGAGCTCTGTTTCTGCCTGATTCGCGTTCGCTGGGCGTTGACATCATCCTGACGTCCGCACCCTTATTTCCTTTTTTTTCGTAAATTTTAAATATATTTCCTTTTTATTTCCTAGTATTAAATTCGTAAGAAAATCGTATTCATTGAAAAAATTTCTGAATAATTACCAGATATTATATTACATCCTTGTGATAGACCTGGAAAATTATCGCTATTTTTGGAATTTTTATTGAATTATAATTGATATATTTATTTAGAAATACTTCTAAATATCTGAAAATTCATATTTTCTAGTTTTATAAATTTTATATTTGCATGATTTAATATACAACGACTAAGTCACGTCACTGGCAGAGAGCCACAAAGTCATCGTTTTTCCGCTCCGCTGGGTGACAACCGCTGGAGATGACTCGATGACTCATTTCATTAATCTCTAGACTTCCCGAGAAGATTTAGAAATTGCCCACGTCGTCTTTGTCCAAGAGGAGCCTTCAAGGCTGTGGACACTACATGACAATCCTTCCGAACGCTTAGGATTTTAGTGCATCGTCGACGCATCGCCGTCGCAACGTTAGAACCCTATTTTCCTACTTTCAACTTACTTTACACTTCATTTAGTGATAATTTTTGTGATTTTAATTTACCAAAATATACTTTGTTCAATTATGATTCTTCTGACTTTTATAGACATTAGTTTCATTAGTTAAATCATCTGTAATCACTTACGTAAATAATCGTCAAGCAGAACTCTATTTCTGCCCAATTTCCATTCGCCAGGCACTGATGTTATCTTGACATCCGCACCCTTATTTCCCTTTTTTATGAATTTTAAATATATTTCCTTAGTATAAATTCTTAGAAAATCGTATTCATTGAGAAAAATTCTAAATAATTACCAGATATTATATGACATCCCCGTGATCAAACTGGAAAATTACTACTATTTTTTGTAAGTTTAATTAAATTATAATTGATATATTTGTTTAAAAATACTTCTAAATATCCAAAAATTCGTATTTTCTAGTTTTATAAATTTTAAATTTGCGTGATTTACTATACAATGATTGAGTCACATCAAATATATACTAATATTATATTTGTTAGCAAGTCCCTTCTCTTGTGTGTATGACCACTCCTTGCCCCACAGTTGGTTGACCATTGGTGACGTGAAAGGGGAGTGGCGGCACATGTCCCTATTAGTCTAAGCCACTCGAGCCCCTACTCATAGGTACTCCTTGACTGAGCTTCCGACCCGCTTGCGGGCCCAGCTGGCTGGCAGATCCCCCTTGTTTTGTCTTATTTTTTTTTTATTTCTTTTTTTTATTTATCTCAAAAGTAAGATTGTAAAAATCATATAATTTCATATAAAATCACATAATTACCTAAAAATTTATATTAATCAATTGAAAACCATTTTTCACACTTTAACACAAATATAAGTCTATTTATCATGAGTTAAGGCTAAAAGTATATTATTTACTAATTATTAACTCGATAATGAAGACTTATCACACCTCCCAACTTAAATCATTGCTAGTCACTTAGCAATGGAATTACAAAAATAAAATTTTACAAATCTCAAACATCATATTTCAATACAGAAAAAAAAATACAATTAGAAATGATGTACCTTTAGACAGTTTGAATTTTTATATCAAGTATTAAGAATGATGTCAAGCACTTAAATATTTAAACACTCCTTGGAATAACAATCTAGACTTCACTTCTTCTATTCACATCTTTATCACTTGTTCACTCATAGATACATTCACAAGATGTTCCAATTATCAATACTCTTCCAAGAATAATATTTCCCTTTTTCTATGACTTGACTTTTGAAGTTTGCACTATATTTCTTCCTTCTTTTTTTTTATATATATAGTGCATAAGTAACTTTTTTTGTAGATAAATTTCAACAATAAGAATGATGTCTCACACCCTCCATGTGTACTGTTCATTTTCAGGGATTTCATTTTATCTACTTATTTTACAGCAAGTGTTTTTCTATACACGATTTCCGACAATGAGAATGATGTCTCACACCCTCCATGTGTACTCTTCATTTCTAGATTTTTCACATTACTCTTTTTTTTTTTGAAATAAATGATTTCTTCTCACAAGTCCTATAGATCATGGTGTAAAAATCTCCATTAAACTCAAATGATCAATCAAATTTTCACATCAAGTAAATACTATCCATCAAGATCATGAAGTGAAAATCTGTAAAATCAAATCCATATTATCTATTATGTATCCAAGGAGTATTCCAACATTTCATGCTACTAGATCATTCTTTTAACTCAATAATAATCTTCCAAGTATCTTTTTGTATCAATCAATCTAATTGATTTCATTTTTCATGCATGCAATATGATGTAAGAAATTTGTAAATTAGATAGTTCTGACAGTTTTGTTTTCTATTTTCAATTCTATTTTTAGTAACAATAAATTTGTCAAAAATAAATCAAAACTATCCTCTTTATAGTTGTAATTTTGAATTTCAGTAATATATATCTAGGGGATTGAAATGTAAGAAAAGGGTCTGTAGAATTTCAAATTTCTGGCTGTTTTTTTGTCTACTATTTTTGATAGTCTGTTGTTCCTAACATAAAACCAAAAAATAGATGTTGTAGTCTTTCTGAATTTTATTTTATTTTTATTTTTTCAGTTGTTGTTCTAAGTTGAATAAAATGCAAACACATGTTCTTAATCGTCCTACAGTATAAATTAATAATGAATACTTCACCCCCCAACTTAAAAATGACATTGTCCTCAATGACACAGAAAAATCAAAACATAATATGCAGAAAATATAATTTTTACATGAAGCATGCATATGTGAAAAGTTAAGCATTAAAAATATTTTCATAGATGATAAAGCTCAGAAAGATATCACTTCAACCTCATTTTTAATTTTTCACTTTATCTTACACTCCTCCTCTTGCACTTTTTGAAAAAAACAAATACAAAAATAAGTATTGTGAAATTCTAAGAAAAATAGAGCTTAAAAAAAATCAAACAAAATAAAATAAAAATCATGGGTTGCCTCCCATACAACGCTGAATTTAATGTCTTCAGTTGGACAGCTCTTAGATCATATAAGATGATCTATGGCCATCAAAATATATTTGTATCCCAAGGTAAGTTTCATGATATTCCTTTTTAGATTTAGCATAAATTCATATACTTCATATATATACCTTGACATACTTTCAACAAAAAAAAGTGGAAATTAATAAAATTTTCTCAAAAATAATATTTCCATTTTAAAAAGAATCTTTCATTATTTCTATGTTGTTTTGTAAGTATCTCCTTCATTAATAAATACTTTCTATTAATAAACTATAAAATGTGATTAGGCCATATAATTTTTAAATTAACTCTTGCCCAATCTAGAATTTTTTCATCTAAATTGATATCTCTAATTCTTCCACTCACCCATTTCTTAATGTGTTCTTTATCTACATAATCTTCCCCTCTTCCATTTTATCTTCTATACATATTTATTCAATTTACGAGGAGTGAAATATTTCAAGCTTAGAAATAATTCTAATGGGCTGTGGGTTTCGAAGGATGGAAGGATTGTCTTCTTTAATATCAGATCTAATGAATTCAGTAAAATTCAAATTTTCTCCTCTAAAATTATCTCTATATTCATATTCATTATTTTCGTTTCTCCCCATTAGTTGAATCAACTCTTTTTCTAGCTTTTTGTTTCTCAACTCATCAAATTCTTCATCTTCCCAAGAGCTATCTTTTAATTTCAGTATATGATATATATCATCATCTTGACTATCAACATCCATGGTGCAAAATTATGATTATATTTATTAATTTCATCTCCTACATCTCCCAAATCAATTGATTTTTCTTCACCTGAACTATGTTTTTCTTCATTTCTGTCCTTACTCCCTTCTACTAAAATTTGGATGATTCTTCCATGATCAACTGCTATTTCTTCATCTAAGGGCTCTTTCTCCTCATCATCCTCACTATATTCATTTATCAATTGTGAGCAATAAATGATTTTATTTAAATTTTCTGCTACTATATTTTCGGTCTTAATATTCTCATTTACTTCTAATGGATCATTGATTTCTTCTAATAATTAGAAATAATAATCAAGTAAAATATTCTCACTCAATATATTTATTGTCCTAACATTTTCATTTCGTGGGTTTTTTTCTAATTTTATCTAGCTAGACTCTCCTTGTTGAAATCCTACTGTTAGATAGTTTTCTGAATTTTTTATAGGCTAACTAGGTGGCTGTCCCTCTTCTCTCCTATTCTCAAAAGTCTCTATAATTTGTTTTTAGTACAACATCATGTGATCATAGTTTGTTGCATCATTTGGCTCATAGCTTGTTGCATTCTTTGGCTCATAGTTTATTACATCATTTGGCTCATTTGTTGTATCATTTCTATAGTATCAAGTTGGGTTTGAGAGGGCTGATTTTTCTGAAATCTATTTTCTTATTTTGGACAAAATGCAGAGTTTAAATTAGATCTAAGTGTTTCTGAATTTTGAATATTATTTGGGTTTCTCTACGAAAAATTATTCCCCCAATTAGGATTATTAGAATTAGAAAAATATTTCCTATTTTTACTAAAATCGTGGGGTACCTACACTTGTTCTTGCCTAAGATGATATTGAATTTAGAAATGATCATTTTCACCATAAATAGGACATGTACTATTTGAATTAAATTGAGGGTTAAGAGGCTTTCTAATACTGTCAATAAGTAAATCAAGTTTTTCTAATCTTTGATTAATCTAATTAACCTTATTTCTAAATTTAGAATCATCATCATGATGTAATTCATAAATTTCTCTCTTTTTATCCTTGTCATATGATTCAAAAGAGACTTGATCTCTAGAATTTTCACTTAAATTCTGATAAAGACTATAAATCTCATCAAGAGTTTTCTCTATAAAAGCTCTTCTACATATAGAATCAACCATATTTCTATGTTGTTCTAATAATTCATCATAAAAAAATTTATTGAGCTGCCACTTGGGTATAGCATGATGAGGACACTTTCTAAGTAAATCTTTGAATGTTTCCCATGTCTCATGTAAAGTTTCTCCTAGTCTTTGAGAAAACTCCATATATGTTTTCTCATATTTTGAGTTTTTCCTAAGGGATAAATTTTTTGAAGAAAGGCTTGTTCTATATCTTTCCAGCTAGTTAATTCTCTATCTAATGTGGATAGCCAATGACTAGCTTTGTCCCTAAGTGTATGAGGGAATAATTTCATCTTAATAATTTTCGGTGTAACTTGAGAGAGATTAACTAAATCACAGACCACATGAAATTTTTCTAAGTGTTGATGAGGTTCCTCTAAAAGCAATCCATGAAAATTAGGGAGTAGTTGAAAAATTCCTGGATTTATTTCGAATTTAATAGTGGGTGCTAATGGGACTCTAATATTAGATGCTCTTTGAAATGAATTAAGGATAAAATGATTTTTCATGGCCATAGGATTGTTCTCCGTTTGACCTGTACTTCCTTCAGGATCCATCAAAATTAAATTTTCTTTCGGATTTTTATTTTTGAATGAAATAATGAAAGGATTTTCTAGCCTTGGATGCAAGGATCTTCTACCATGCATAAAAAATCAATAAAATTGAGGAAAAAAATTAGTAATTCTTACCCTCCTTCAATATGCTCCATTCCTTGCTTGCTTCTTTTTGTTCTCTTTTTCTAAAAAACTAATTTGGTAAAAAATAAAAATAAAATAAGAGTTAGTTTTATTTTATTTTGTGTACTCTAAAAGAAAAATAGAAAAATACTAAATGTTATGCAATACATCCCCGGCAATGGCACCAAAATTTGACGTGACTCAGTCATTGTATAGTAATTCATGTAAATTTAAAATTTATAAAACTAAAAAATATGATTTTTTAAATATTTAGAAGTATTTCTAAACAAATATATCAATTATAATTCAATAAAACTTTTCAAAAATAATAGTAATTTTCCAAGTCAATCACAAGGATGTAGCATAATATTTGGTAATTATTCAGAATTTTTCTTACTAAATACGATTTTCTATGAATTTTATACTAAGAAATAAAAAGAAAATATATTTAAAATTCATGAAAAAGGAAAATAAGGGTGCAGATGTCAGGATGACATCAGTGCTCAGCGAATGCGAATCAAGCAAAAACAGAGTTCTACCTGACGATTCTTACATAAGTGATTACAGATAATTTAATTAATCAAATTAAGATCTATAAAAGTCAGAAGAATTGTAATTGAATAAAGTATATTTTGGTAAATTAAAATCACAAAAATTATCACTAAATGAAGTGTAAAGTAAGTTGAAAGTAGGAAAATAGAGTTCTAGCATCATGACGGCGATGCCTCGGCGATGCACTGGAATCCTAAGCGTTCGGGAGGATCGTCATGTAGTATTCACGGCCTTTAAGGCTCTCTTTGGACAAAGATGACGTGAGCAATCTCTAGATCTCCTTGTGAAGTCTAGAGATCAATGAAATGGGTCGTCAAATCGTCTTCGGCGGTTGTCACCTGGCGAAGTAGAAAAATGGTGACTTTGTGGCTATCCGGCGGCTGCCACTTGACGAAGAGGAGTTGGATGGAGGTGGGGCGCGTGTCAGGGAGCTTCATCCTTAGGTCCACGCAGCAAGAGGAGACTTTTCATCGCATCTAGTACGCTCTCAGGAGGTGGTGACTTGTCTCCCGATAAATTATCCTCTTCCTGACGATGGCTTATTTGTTGATCAATCGAAGATAATTTACTCGATGGATCTGCGATCCTTTTATCATGAATCATTCAACAATTTTAGTAACAATGCTCTACGAATCGCATTGACAAGATTTTTGATGATGATCCAATGATTCTCGTTGCTTAATCCTTCATCAGCAATCTGTAAGAAAGTTGCAATAATCAAATAATAATATATGATTTTTGACTTTAGGAGGATTCAAACCCATGCTGGTTGCCTGCCCTTTCTAGGGAAGGTGATGCAGGTTTAGTCCTACATCAGTTGTGCACTGATTTTTTAGGCGAATATATATTAATGTTTCATTCCTAGGCAAGTCCCTTCTCTCAAATGTAAGACCACTCGTTGCCCCACAGCCAACTAGCCACTAGTGATGTGGAAGGGGAGTGGCACACATGTGCCCCTATTAGTCCAAGCTGCTCGAGCCTCTACTCACGGCTACTCCCTAATTGAGCTTCCGATTTTCTTGCAGGCCTGGCTGGTCGGCAGGTCCCCCTCATTTTATCTTATTTTTATTTTTTATTTCTTTTTCTTCATTTATCTCAAAAGTAAGACTGTAAAAATCATATAAATTTGTGTAAGATCACATAATTACCCAAAAATTCACATTAATCAACTGAAAATCACTTTCCATACTTTAACACAAATATGAGTCTATTTATCATGAGTTAAGGCTAAAACTATATTATTTACTAATTATTAACTCATGATAATGAAGACTTATCAGGCCCTCAAGCTTATAAGCCACAAAAAAGGCTACAAAAGTGGCTTATTGGGCCTCTAAAAGAGAGACCCAATAAGCTCCCCTAAAAAGAGAAAGAGAAGGGCCCTCATATGGTGCTTAAGTGGGCCTCAATTGAAGACCCAAATAAGCCCCAAAAGAAGCCCAAAAATAGAAAGAAGCCTAGGTCCCCCCCCTTAGGGTTTTAATTGGGCCTCAAAAGAGAGACCCAATAAAACCCTAAAGAAAGGGAGACACAAACAACAACACATACATAGAATTGGGCCCGCTAACACACAAACGTGAGGTCCAACAAGGCACGTGAAAATACAAAGAAAGATAAGGGTGAGCTCGAGCTCGTCCTTCATGAGTTAATAATTAGTAAATAATATAGTTTTAGCTTTAACTCATGATAAATAGATTTATATTTATGTTAAAATGTCAAAAGTGATTTTCAATTGATTAACATGAAATTTAGGTAATTATATGTTTTTATACAAATTTATATGATTTTTACAGTCTTACTTTTGAGATAAATGAAGAAAAAAAAAAAGAAATAAAAATATAAAAAAATGGAGGGGACCCGCCAGCCAGTCCCCTTCCACATCACCAGTGGCTAGCCAACTATGGGGCAAGGAGTGGTCGTACATGCACGAGAAAGGGACTTGCTTTCAAATGAAACATTATTATATATTCGTCCAAAACTTCAGCACACAAGTGATGTGGGACTAAACCCACATCACAACTTCCCTAGAAATAGGTGGGCAATTGGCACGGGTTTGAATCCTTCTAGAGCCAAAACTCATATTTTTTATCTAATTATCACGACTTTCCTATAAATCGCTAGTGAAGGATTAAGCAATCAAAATCATTAGATCATTGGCAAAAATCTCATCAACGTGATTCACGGAGCATTGTTACTAAAATTACTGAATAATTCGTGATAAAAGGATTGTGAATCCATCGAGTAAAGCATTTTCGATTAATCGACAAATAAGTCATTGTCGGGAAGAGGATAATCTGCTGGGAGATGAGTCGCCACCTCTTGAGAGTGTATCAGATGTGATGAAGAGCCTCCTCTTGCTATGCAAACCTGAGGATGAAGCTTCCTAACATGCGCCTTACCTCCATCTAGCTCTTCTCCGTCGGGTGACAGCCGCCGGAGAGCCACAAAGTTGCCATTTTTCTACTCCGCCAAGTGACAGCCGTCGGAAATGATTCAACGACCCATTTATAACGACTAAGTCACGTCAACTTGCCAACAAAGACCTCACAAATTCTCTCTTTATTTTTTGTGCAAGTACCCAATACGATACTTGAGGTCATAAAGAAGATAAGGATACAATAAAACTTAGCTTAGAATTGTAGAAGAAAATAGGAAAAATGAAGCACTGTGATATCCCCAAATAGCTATTAAGGCTTGTTGTTGAATGGAACAGGTTTCTTGCTTGAGACTATTTTATAATCATTTCACATTTGGAATTACAAGAAATTGATGTTGCACAAAAAAGCTAATGACAACATACTGACAAGACTCATTGTATCAAAATATTCACATACTTTAATGGCATTTAATTTAACTCAATGTGATATTAAAATTTTAAGTTTCATGCTTTCTTTAGCTCACATTCTAGAAAATGGACTTCTAAAAGAAATGATGTAGGATTTGTTCTTCAATTTGTGTTCTAGTAAAGGGTTCCAAGACCTAGTGGGAAACAAATAAACAAGAGTATCAAGCTGGCTTAGCTAGCTGGGCCTATCGTTATTGTACTGCTCTAAATCAACCCTTTTTGGGTATGCCTGAGATATAATGAAGTACAATTCCATACAGTAGACTGTCTTTAATCCGGTGATTCTCAACATTTTACAGATGGTGAGGCTAAGTTTGTCCCGTTATTATCTTTCAAAAGGCCAGGTCACGTGAAGGGAACTGAAAATATGGGCTGGATTCTGCCAGCCCCGGGCCCAAACCAGACGTTGGTAGCCGCTACAGTTGTGCGAAATAAAATTTCAAGATGCAGATAAAATTTTGGTGACGTGCTCACATTAGCGAATAGGAATCATAATCGGGAGAAAAGGGCTTGAGTAGGTTTCATGAGTGGTGGAGGCACACTACAGGAAAAAGACCGCGGCAGGTGGCACGCGCGTGGTGGGTATCAGTTGTCTACAAATCCAAGGCGGGACTGATACGCTTTCTTCGATGAGGTAGGACGGTGGCTGTCGACAACCATGGGGGAAGTTCGAGTCTTGAACGTCACCCGTGTCTCGCTCTCACCACTTGAAGGCCCCTGTCCGGAACCCGTCAAGCTCTCCTTCTTCGACGCCAAATGGATTCGTTTCCCTCCCCTGCAACGGGTGCTGCTGTTCAGCACCGACCGCCCGATCCCCTCCCTCGTCGAAGAGCTCAGGGAGTCCCTCTCCCGGACGCTTTCTCGTTATTATGCCCTCGCCGGGAAGTTCACCGCGGTCGACGGCACCGGCGACCTCATGATAAGTTTCTCCGGCGACGGAGGCGACGGGGTCGATTTCCTTTGGGCAGAGGCGGAGGGGATCGATTTCCAACGGCTCACGGACATGCAGCACTACGACGAGGAGGCGTTCTTGTCTCTTGTGCCGGTCTTAGAGGCGAGTCAGCTTCCGGCTCCGGTGTTCTCCGTGCAGGTCACCGGTTTTCCTGGGAGAGGTGTGGTAATTGGGTTCTCTATGCACCACATGGCCGCCGATGGTAAGGCCATATGGCAGTTCGTTGATGCGTGGGCGGCGGAGTGCCGGATATCGTCCGGCGGAGGGGCATCGAGTCTCCCGCAGCCATTGCATGACCGGTCGGTCATAAGTCACCCCCGAGCGGAAGAGATTGCCAGGAGTATCGTGAGGACCGTCGCTCCTAACCTCCCAAGTGTAAGCTCAATGGCTCTGTCACCGTGTCTCTTTCTCTATCTATCCATTTACCTATATCTAAATAGCTGAAACATGCGTCATGGCTGATTTCAGTTATCCGACTCTTTGATGAAATTCTACGATCCGCGTAAGTTGTCACGGAGAACCTTCATCGTCAAGATGGAGAGCATCGCCTCCCTAAAGGACCGAGGCACCGCTACTCACCGGCCCTCGGCGTTCGCCGCCCTGGCCGCCCACATCTGGCTGAGCATCGTCAGAGCGAAGGGCATTCCACCGGACGACCTTATCTGTCCCTTCCTTTTCGAAGCTGACTGCCGCCGTCGCCTTGACCCTCCCGTCGAGGACCGCTACTTCGGCAACTGCGTCAAGCCCTGCTTGGCCGTGGCCAAGGCGTCGGAGCTGCTGGCCGGTGACGATGAGGGGATTAAGGCGGCCTGCGCAGCGGTGCTGAGAGCGGTCCAGGAGGCCACTAGAGAACCGTTGAGTGACATTGAGCGCTGGACAACTAAGTCGGTTCTTACGGGTTTTCCGATCGAGAGACTAGCGAATGTGTCGGGGTCGCCGAGGTTCCGGGTGTACGATGCGGATTTTGGCTGGGGGGGCCCTAGGAGGGTGGAGATGGTATCAATGAACGGGAACGGGGAGGTGGCACTGTTAGCGGCAAGGGATGAAGAAGGTAGCGTGCAGCTGTCGGTGTCCATCTCACGGTTGTGTATGGATGCTTTCGCCTCCTCCTTTGTGGATGGTCTGCAGGCATGATGGTCCCTGTGTCTTCTCATAGAGGGCTGAGCCTGAGCGGTGTTTTCCTTCATGAATTTCTAGATCTTGCCACCATGATCGTCATACTCTTAACTACCGTTTGCTTGGTGTTCAATATCGTAAACTCCGTATATATATAGATATAGATATAGATATATTGTGCCCTTGCGCCTCAAACAGTAGTCACTTAGGAACTAAAGCTTTCATTGTCCATGAAATCCTTACGTGATGAGTAACTTCCCTGTTATTTCAGGGACATCACCTGAATTTCTAGTGCTCCGGATTCTCCAGATTTGGCATAGACCAAGACCAAATCCCATGTGCAACTGGATGGATGAGCAGAAGCGCCAACAGCAGCAACTTAATGTTGTTATTGACTCAGACAACTAGCTGGTCGTTATAATAGCCCAATAAAATAGGGTCGTTAAAATGGCGAAAGAGTTCTGGGGAGCGTTAGACATGGCCGACTATTTTAAAGGATGCATTTTAACAACACCCACTCCCCTCTCCCCCATATCTTCCCCTGAATCCTTTTCCCCTATATAAGGGGGAGGGATGTGGGGATGGTATTCTATGAGCTGTAAGACTTGGGAAGACAAGGTAGAATCGGGAAAAGCGCGAGAAAAGAAGATTTTGGATTTAGTGATAAAAGAAGAGGAGAGGGTTCAACGTCTATTTTTGGCCTTCGTCTGTTCTTTGATGATGAAGACATCTTTCATGGAGTCGAGAAAAGAGATTAAGTGTCTTATAGGGTTATCTTTCTAGTTCTTCTATCAACGAAACAGCTATAGCTCTCTTCCACACGAAGATTTCTTTGAGCCATATAAATCTTAGTGCATCACTTCTTACTGATTGCCTTTCCATTTGGATACAATCTTATCATTTTTGTTAAATTGACTTTCATATTTTTTTACATATACATATCAAACAGGGTAACACATCTGTGATATGACTTCAATTTTTGGTTTTTGTATCACTTTGGTTCTATTTCACATCAATTGGGGTAATAGCTATATTAGTACTAACTAATTTTGATATTGGTAAATGTCAGCAACAAAATAAGTGGTTGCTTGAGTTGATGGAAGGATTAACTTTGTTTTACGATAGAAGAGAGTGAATTTAATTATTATGCAACAAGGACTTTACAAATACCAGATTTAAGTCATTTTAACTAAAAAAATAGAAAATTTAAAGGTAACTAAAAATTAGAAAATTTAAGTCATTTAAATTGGAATGGATCAGATTTAAAGGTAGTTAATATAATTTAAATATGTTTACTTGATGAGGTAATGTATAACATTGTCAAGGTGGATAATATTGATTTATGGGAGAAAATAGAAATGTTATATATGTTAAAATCTCTAAACAAAATATGATATTTGTAAACACAAGTGAATAACCTGAGTTGTGATGAAGGACATTTGCTAGAGCATATAAATGAATTTAATTAGTTGACCTCATAGTTTTACAATTTGGAGGTTAAGATTAATGAAAGAAATCAATCAGTTCTCCTCTTATTTTTACTTGAGTCATATGGCCACTTGGTGACTATCATATTGTAAAACAAAGATACTTGAAGATGGAAGAGGTTTGTTCTATATTATAATAAAATATTGTTAGAAATAAACCTTCTCAAGGTGTTGAAAGTTAGTAAAAAGTTCAGATCAGAAAAGATGATGTTAGAAGAAGAGAAGTAAACTAGATCAGGATTTCTCCAATGAACTAGTACATTATTCCAATTTATACACCTATATATATACATTTCTAGTTTGGATGTCTTGCTTTTATTAATGCAGGATAATGAGTGTAGAAGGGTGGGCAATAAGTTAAAGAAATTTCGTTAGAATAATATAGATAGAGCTCAACAAAGATGACATTTAATTATAGTTCAAGCAAATTCTATCTAGAACCATACTAGTGGCCTGATTAAGGTGAAGTTGGATGAAGAGAAATAAAGAACTATTAAAAATTTAGAAAAGTTTCAGCACCAGATGGATACTAGCACTATTTCCACCAGAGTTTTTTTCAAAAGGTAAAGGTGTGATTAATTTTTTTTCTAATATGATGGTGATTATGTATTACTCATTAGTTTTAATGCATGTAACTTTAATAATATTTAACTAAACTCTCTAAATAAATTCTAGTATTAGTGCAAGTTCAAGTTGATCCTTGATGTCACTTAATCATTGTATATTAATAACGTAAATTTTAAATTTATAAAACTAGAAAATACTAATTTTTAGATATTCCGAAACATTTCTAAATAAATATATTAATTATAATAAAGTTCAAAAAAATAATGTAAATTTTTCAGGTTGATCATAGGAGTGTAATATAATATCAAGTAATATTTCAGAATTGTTCTCAAAGAATATAAGGTTTTATGAATTTTAGATTAAGAAATAAAAATAAAATATATTTAAAATTTATAAAAAAGGAAAATATGGGTGTAGACATCAAGATGACATCATCACTTGATGAATGCAGATCAAATGAAAATAAAGTTTCACCCGATGATTCTTATGTAAGTGAATATAGATGATTTAATTGGTCAAATTAAGATCTGAAAAGTTGAAAGAATCATAATTGAATGAAAAGTAGTTTAAAAAATTTAAATCACACAAATTATCTCTAAATGAAGTAAAAATTAAGTTGAAAGTGAGAAAGATAGAGTTTTGGTGTCACAGTGACAATGCGTTAGCTATGCATCATCTAGGGACGATGTGAACAGATTGTTGTGTAGTGTCCATAGCTTCAAAGTTTCTCTTTGGACAAGGACAACGTGAACATTCTCTAGATCTTCTTGCAAAGTCTAGAGATCAATGACATGGGTCGTCGAATTATCTTCGATGATTGTCACTTAGTAGAGTGAAAAAACGGTGACATTGTGAGTCTCTAACAACTATCACATGATGAAGAGGAGCTAGATAGAGGTGGGACACGTGTTAGGGAGTTTCATCCTTTGGTCCGCACAACAAGAGGAGGCTCTTCATCGCATCTAGTGTATGCTCTTAAGAGGTGGTGACTCGTCTTCTAGCAGATCATCTTCTTCTTGATGATGGCTTGTTTGTTGATCAATCGGAGATGATTTGCTCGATGAATTCATGATCTTTTTATCACGAATTATTTTGTAATTTTAAAGTTGATGCTTTATGAATCGTGTTAACTAGATTTTTGTTGATGATTGAGTGATTTTGACAACTTAATCCTTCATCGGTGATTTGTAGAAAAATTATGATTTAATCAGATAAAAATGTGAGTTTTAACTTTGATAGGATTCAAACTCTGGCCGGTCACCCATTTGCCTAAGAAAGAGTAAAATAAGTATGCAAATACCTTTATAAAGTGACATCATTAGTTTACCTCCTTTTGATAAATAAGAGGTACTTTAGGTATTAAAATCTTCAAAAATATTCTAGGGAAGGTGTGATTGTTGATTTAGTCCAACATCAATTATACATTGAATGTTGAGACATATATATAGTAATACAAAATTTAGGAAGTAAGAAGTCTTTTTCTTTAGTGTGTACAACCACTCCTTGCCCTACGAGTAGCTAGCCACCAGGGATGTGAAAGGGGAGTGATGGATATGTGTCTCTATTGGTCCATAGCTGCTCGAGCCCTTACTCGTGGTTCCACTTTAACTATGCTTTTGACTCACTTATGAGCCTAGTTGGCCGACAGGTCACTCCTTTTTTCTATTTTATTTTCATTTTCTTAATTTATCTCAAAAAAATATTATAAAATATATAAATTCACATAAAATCACATAATTAGCCAAAAAATCACATTAACCTACTAAAAACTATTTTTCATATTTTAACATATATAAGTCTATTTATCATGAGTTAAGGCTAAAACTATATTATTTATTAATTATTAACTCATGAGAATGAAAACTTATCAATCTTCAAGGATGGTGAGAACTAGTTTTCATGAATTTATAATTTTTCTAATATAAATACTAACTAAAAAGAAAAGAAAAAATAAAATGGGATGAGATAATTTATAAATCTTCTCTTAAATACTTAGTATCCTCCTTCTCCAATTAATTTCATATAGTTAATTCTCTTGTCAACTCTAGATAATAAGAAAGAAGGTTTCAATGATGAGATGATTAAATCATGAATATCGAAAAATAGATTGGAAATTAGAGAATAGAAATATGAGAAGGGTGCTTGACAATAGAATAACTTCAATTGACATGGAGAATTCTTTGAAATACTTAAAATTAAGATATAGAATAAAATTAAAATAAATGGAATGTAGAAATACCTTAGTTGTCAATCAAGAGGAAAGTAAAATAACTCAATTTGTGATCAAAAAGAAATTTGAAAACTAAAATCAAACTTTACTATTTGTCATATACTAAAGGCTTTTAGAACTAAAATAATTTTTGATTAAATAATAAAATATAAATAAAAATTTAAAATTGTGAATAAAAGTATTTTCCTTTCTTGAAAGCATATGAGATGTAATGAAAAACCTCCTCTTGTTGCACAAATCTGAGGATGAAGCTCCTTAACATGTGTCTCACTTCCATTCAACTCATCTTTATTGGGTGATAGTCATTGGAGAGTCACAAAGTTGTTATTTTCTACTCCACAAGATGATAGTCACCAAAGATGTTTTGACGACTTATTTCATTGATCTTTAGACTTTACAAAAAGATCTAGAGATTACCCATGTCATATTTATCTAAGAAAAGCCTTTGAGGTTGTGGACATTACATGACAATTCTTCCGAATGCTCAGAATTTTGACACTATTGATGCATTGTCACCATGCTATTAGAACTTTATTTTACTATTTTTAATTAATTTAATTTCTGCTATCATTTTTTCGACTTTAAAAGAGATCTAATGAATGCCTAGGTCATCTATGTCTAAGGAGAGCCTTTAAGGCCATAAACATCATCCGATGACCCTTCCAAACATAGAATAAATGATGCCTACACCATTTATTTCTTTTTTTTGTGATTTTTAAATATATTTATTTTCATTTTATAGTTTTAAATTTATAAAAAATTATTTTTGAGAAAAAAATTGAAATATTACCAAATATTATAGTACATCCTTATGATTGACTTAGAAAATTATTATAATTTTGAAACTTTTATTGAATTATAATAAATTTATTTACTTAGAAATACTTCTAAATATTTGAAAATTAGTATTTTCTAATTTTATTAATTTTAAATTTACGTGATTTATTATACAATGACTAAGTTAGGTAAGTGGGTGTAGATGATGTTTACACTACATAATAGTAGGGCTCAAGGCTACTCAAGAGATAGCGAATCAATGTTAGATTTAAGACTTTCTTTGGTTTTAATATCTACTTCAAACCTTAGTTGTTGCTCTCTTATTTTCAACATAGATTTTTCATTGGAAGTTATAGATCATAATAAAGAGATAGAAATATGTTATCCTCACTTTATCCATTCATAAACCTTAATATGTATAAGTGAATCATATCTGAAAATCTTTTCTCAATCTTTGAGATCTACTTTTCCTAAAATAAACACAACTTTGAACAACTAGAAATCCAATATAATATGTCCTTTAAATAAGTGAATCTTTCAAATGCATGCCATGAGATTAGTGAATCTTCCAAATTCAGATAATTTCTCCTTATATATATTTAATAATTCTTCAACTAAACTATTAGCCTCATACCATCAAGCTATAATATAAATAGTTTCATGTCTGTTATCATAACATATATGTTTGAAGAAAGGTATAATTTGATCCTTTGAAGACTTCCTATTTAGTTTGTTAGTATCAAAACATCCTTCATACCATTCTCCAACAATCTTGTTCCTTTTCATGATGACAAAATCATGTAAACAAGTCTCAAAGATCAATTAAATATATTTCTAAAGTTAACTTATTTTGATGTAAAGCTTTAGGCATTTATAAGATTTCATATCTATAAGATTTATTATGTGTTTGATATGTACTTACTGTTGTGTTTAAATGTCAATTATCTAATAATATTTATAACTGAGACTTAATAAGATATTACTACAGATGTAAGTGACAGGTCAAACACAAGGATATTGATTAATCTATTGTGAAAAATTAATTTAGTTTATATATATAGTGATTTTAATATTTGATCATTATTTAATAGACAATAAAATAGAAGGGTGAGGTGAGAAGAATAAATGAAGAGAAGTGGAGAAAAGAGGGAAGAAAAGAGAGAGGGAGAGAGAGAGAGATCAATTGAAGAGAGGGAGGGAGGGAGAGAGATCTCAAGAGAGATGAAGAGAGAAGAAGAGGTCTCACGAGAGAGAGGGAGAGAGAAATAAGATGATATAAAGATAGAGAGAAATATGATCAACGTGTTTTCTTAGTGATGATGATTCTTGGATGAATGTGTGTTTGAAAATTTACACATGACATTAGGTCAATTGTAAATGTCTCCACCTTGTTTCAACAATTTAACACTTCTAAATCAGTCTTTAATCTCACTAATTTCATGTTCAAAAATAAAAAAATACTCATTATTTATGGAACATTGGGAACATGAATACATCAAGATTCGACTATGAAAAAACTTAATAGAAAATTAGTTATAAACGATCTTAACTTGATGTCAAATGAGTTTTAGAGGATTTAGAAAAGGAACAAAGATCATTCATCAAGATTTGAATTAGTTTTATTCATTTCAATCGAAACATACATCAAATAGAAATAATTTATTGTAAAATGTAAATAAATATTGAAAGCACATAAATAAATGAGAAAAATAAGAAATATATTATTGCCCAAGTTTAGTTTGTCTCTTGGCCAACTAGAGACACTAGTGTGACAACTTAGTTTCATGACACTACTGCCTGAGAAGTCCTACTGCCACCTGAGACCACTGCTACTATCGGACATCATCATTGTCACGTGAGATTGCCGTTGTCACTAGACAAAACGGTCGCGGTTGCCACTACAACCATTGCCACCCCTGCTGGAACCCCATCACACCGTCGTGACAAAAGGTGCTTGCTTCCCAGTTCGACCGCCACCTCTTCCTTCAGAACTCCGGCGGAGTCTCTTGACTCCCAGTTCGACTGCCACCTCTTCCTTCGGAACTTTAGCATAAACTCGTCGGAGCCACCATCCGCCGCTCTACCCAATCGCTGGCCATTCACCGACGAACACCTACCTACTACTGACGTTGGGAGAGACCCTACAGCTGTGCCAACAAGTTAGATCCAGTCTAAGCTCCTCATAGGCCCCCCCTGGAGTTTCTTGATGATCTGCTACCGTCATGCCATTTCCAACACTGCCTAGACTAGGAGGGCTGATGTGACTCAATCGTTGTATAGTAAATCATGCAAATTTAAAATTTATAAAACTAAAAAATATGATTTTTCAGATAATTAAAAGTATTTCTGAAAAAATATATCAATTATAATTCAATAAAACTTCCAAAAAATATCAATAATTTTCCAAGTCAATCATAGGGATGTAATATAATATCTGGTAATTATTCAGAATTTTTCTCAATAAATACGATTTTCTATGAATTTTATACTAGGAAATAAAAAGGAAATATATTTAAAATTTACAAAAAAGGGAAATAAGGGTGCGGACGTCAGGATGACGTTAGCACCCGGTGAACACGAATTAGGTGGAAATAGAGTTCCACCCGGCAATTCTTACATAAGTGATTACAGATGATTTAATTAATCACATTAAGATCTGTAAAAATCAGAAGAATCATAATTGAATAAAGTATATTTTAGTAAATCAAAATCACAAAAATTATCACTAAATAAAGTGTAAAGTAAGTTGAAAGTAGGAAAATAGAGTTTTAGCATCGCAATGGTGATGCATCGACAATGCACTAGAATCTTGAGCATTTAGGAAGATCGTCATGTAGTGTCCACGGTCTCAAAGGCTCTCCTTGGACAAAGACAATGCGGGCAATCTCTAGATCTTTTCGCGAAGTCTAGAGATTAATGAAATGGGTCATCAAGTTGTCTTCGGCGGCTGTCACCTGGCGGGATAGAAAAACGACGACTTTGCGGCTCTCCCATGGCTGTCACCCGATAGAGAGGAGCTAGATGGAGGTGGGGCATATGTCAAGGAGCTTCATCCTTAGGTCCGTGAGTAAAAGGAGGCTCTTCATTACATCCAGTATGCTCTCAGGATGTTGATATAGTAATGTTACATTTGAAAGCAAGTCTCTTTCTCGCACATGTACGACCACTCGTTGCCCCACAGCTGGCTGGCCACCGGTGATGTGGAAGGGGAGTGGCACACACATGCCCCTATCTATCCAAGTCGCTCGAGCCCCTGCTCGTGGCTACTCCCTGACTACACTTCCGACCCGCTTGTGGGCCTGGCTGGCCAATGGGTCCCCCATTTTGTCTTTTTTTTATTTTTTATTTTTTTCTTCATTTATCTCAAAAGCAATATTATAAAAATCATATAAATTTATGTAAAATCACATAATTATCCAAAAAACCACATTAACTAATTGAAAATCACTTTTCACACTTTAACAATAATATAAGTCTATTTATCATGAGTTAAGGCTAAAACTATATTATTTACTAATTATTAACTCATGATAATGAAGACTTATCAAGGGCTCAACCCTCTCTAGTATTGTCAATCAGATCATCTTCTTCCTCTACTTCGCTTCCTGATGCCGCTAGAGAAGGCTGATCCTTCTGACGATGGTTGGGCGGAAGCCCAACCGCTGACGCTCGGCATTCCCGCCGAAGCGCTACCACTACGCACCCTGTGTGCCGGCTCTTGCAGCCTGCACACCCACTCGGCGCATCGCCCATGTGCTCCGAGGCATGCTGCGCAGCTTGCTGTGCACGCTCGCTAACATGCCCTTCGGCCCACCAGCGAACCCAACTGTTGTGCCAACTATGCCATGCCTTACGATGATGACTACTGCGACTCTTGACCAAGACCGACTGTCGATGCTGAGCATCACTCTTCACTAAACGTCTTCATTATCATGAGTTAATAGTTAGTAAATAATATAGTTTTAGCCTTAACTCATGATAAATAGACTTATATTTATGTTAAAGTGTGAAAAGTGGTTTTTAATTGATTAACGTAAAATTTTGGGTAATTATGTGATTTTACATGAATTTATATAATTTTTACAATCTTACTTTTGAGATAAATAAAATAAAAAATAAAAAATAATAATAAAAAAAAAAGAGGGGGACCCGTCAACCAGTCATAGCCGTGAGCAAGGGCTCAAGCAACTTGGACCGATAGGGGCATGTGTGCGCCACTCCCCTTCCATGTCACTAGTGGCCAACTGGTTGTGGGGCAAGGAGTGGTCGTACATGCAAGAGAAGAGTAATAAGTCTTCATTATCATGAGTTAATAAGTAATAAATAATATAGTTTTAGCCTTAACTCATGATAAATAGACTTATATTTATGTTAAAGTGTGAAAATTAGTTTTCAATTGATTAACATAAATTTTTGGGTAATTATGTGATTTTATATAATTTTTACAGTCTTACTTTTGAGATAAATAAAGGAAAAAAAATAAAAATAAAAATATTACAAAATGGGGGGACCTGCCGGCCAACCAGGCCCACAAGCGGGTTGGAAGCATCATAGTTAGGGAGTAGCCACGAGTAGGGGCTCAAGCAGCTTGAACTGATGGGGGCATGTGTGTGCTAATCCCCTTCCACATCATTGGTGGCCAGCCGGCTGTGGGGCAAGGAGTGGTTGTACACATGCGAGAAAAAGACTTTGCTTACGAATGTAACATTACTATATATTCGCCTAAAAATTTGACGCACAACCGATGTGGGACTAAACCCATCACCTTCCTTAGAAGAGGTGGGGGAAACTAGCATGGGTTTGAATCCTCTCAGAGCAAAAACTCATATTTTTATCTGATTATCACGACTTTTTTACAGATCGTCGGTGAAGGATTAAGCAACCAGAATCACTAGATCATCGACGAAAATCTCATCAACGTGATTCTCAAAGCATTGTTACTCAAATTATTGAAGGATTCACGATAAAAGGATCGCGAATCCATCGAGTAAATTATCTTCGATTGATCGACAAACAAGCTGTCGTCGAAAAGAGGACGATTCACCAGGAGACGAGTTGCCACCTCCTGAGAGCATACTAGATGCGATGAAGAGCCTCCTCTTATTACGCGGATCTGAGAATGAAGCTCCTTAACATGCGCCCCACCTCCATCAAGCTCCTCTCTATTGGGTGACAGCCACTAGAGAGCCACAAAGTCGCTATTTTTCTGCTCCACTAGGTGACAGCCGCCGAAGACAATTCAACGACCCACTTCATTGATCTTTGGACTTTGTAAGGAGATCTAGAGATTGCCCATGTCGTCCTTGTCCAAAGAAAGCCTTCGAGGCCGTGAACACTACACGACAATCCTCCCGAACACTTAGGATTCCAATGCATCACCGACGCATCACTGTCACAACGTCAGAATTTTGTTTTCCTACTTTCAACTTATTTTACGCTTCATTTAATGATAATCTTTATAATTTTAATTTGCCAAAATATAATTTTTTCTATTATGATTCTTCTAGCCTTTACAGATCTTAATCCGATTAACTAAATCATCTGTAATCACTTACGTAAGAATTACCAGGCGGAACTCTATTTTCACTTGATTCGCGTTTGCTAGGTGTTAACATCATCTTGACGTTTGCACCCTTATTTTTCTTTTTTGTGAATTTTAAATATATTTCCTTTTCATTTTCTAGTATAAAATTCATAGAAAATCGTATTCATTGAGAAATATTCTTGAATAATTACTAGATATTATAGTACATCTTGTGATCGACTTGGAAAATTACCATTATTTTTGAAAGTTTTATAAAATTATAATTGATATATTTATTGAGAAATACTTCTAAATATCTAAAAATTCATATTTTCTCGTTTTATAAACTTTAGATTTACATGATTTAATATACAACGACTAAGTCACATCAAATTTTGGCCTCGTTGCTGGGGGTGTATTGCATAATATTTAGTGTTTTTCTATTTTTTTCTTAGAGTATACAAAAAAATTTAACTCTTCTTTTATTTTCTTTTTACCAATTTTTTTTTTAAGAAAAAGGGAATGGAAAAAAGCAAGGCAAGGACTGGAGCATACTGAAGGAGGGTAATAATTACTACACTTTTCCTTCAACTTTATTGATTTTTATACATGGTAGAAGATCCTTGCATCTAAGGCTAGAAAATCTTTTCATTATTTCATTCAAGACTAAAAATCTGAAAGAAAAATTAATTTTGATAGATCTTGAAGGAAGTATAGGTCAAATTGAGAACAATCCTATGGCCATAAAAAATCATTATATCCTTGATTCATTTCAAAGAGCATCAAATATTAGAGTCCCATTAGCACCCACTATTAAATTCGAAATAAATCTAAGAATTTTTCAAATGCTCCCTAATTTTCATGAATTGTCTTTAGAGGAATCTCATCAGCACTTAGAAAAATTCCATATGGTCTGTGATTTAGTTAATCTCTCTCAAGTTACCTCAGAAATTATTAAGATGAAACTATTCTCTCATACACTTAGGGACAAAGCTAGCCATTGACTATCCACATTAGATAGAGAATTAACTAGTTGAAAAGATATAGAACAGGCCTTTCTTCAAAAATTTTATCCCTTAGGAAAAACTCAAAATATGAGAAAACATATATAGAGTTTTTCTCAAAGACCAAGAGAAACTTTGCATAAGACATGGAAAAAATTCAAAGATTTATTTAGAAAGTGTCATCATCATGTTATACCCAAGTGGCAACTCAATAGAATTTTTTATGATGGATTATTAGAATAACATAGAAATATAGTTGATTTTATATGTGGAGGAGCTTTTATGGAGAAAACTCCTAATGAGATTTACAATTTTTATAAGAATTTAAGTGAAAATTCTAGAGATCAAGACTCTTTTGAATTATATGACAAGGATAAGAAGAGAGGAATTTATGAATTGCATCATGATGATGATTCTAAATTTAGAAATGAGGTTAATCAGATTAATCAAAGATTAGAAAAACTTGATTTATTTATTGATAATATTAGAAAGCGTCTTAACCCTCAATCTAATTCAAATAGTACATGTCCTATATATCGTGAAAATAATTATTCTAAATTTCAGTGCTATAATTTAGATCAATCATTTCACCCTATATAAGAACAAGTGTAAGTAACTCACAGTTTTAATAGAAATAGTGAACCTTTTTTAAATTCTTATAATCCTAACTAAAAGAATAATTTTTCATGGAGAGATCCAAATAATATTTAAAATTCAGAAGCATTTAGACCTAGTTCAAACTTTGAATTTCGTCCAAAATAAGAAAATAGATTTAAAAAAAAACAGTCCTCTCAAACCCAACCTGATATTATGAAAATGATGTAGCAAATGAACCAAATGATGCAACAAACTATGAATCAAATGATGCTACATTATAAATAAATTATAGAGGCCCTTGGGAATAAGAGAGAAGAGGGACAGCTACCTAGTCAGCCCATAGAAAATTCAGTGAATCGCCCAACAATAGGATTTCAGCAAGGGGAGTCTAGTAGCATGAATCTAGGAAAAAACCTACGAAATGAAAATGTTAGGACAGTGAATGCATTAAGGAGTGGTAAGATCTTACCAAATCCTTATCCCCAAACATTAGAAGAAAAAGAAAACGTGGACAACCCAAAACAAAATCAAATAAGAGTAGATGAAGATTTTATAGATTCTATTAAGGAAATTTCGAAAGAGAGGACAACAATTTCATTTCCTAAAGCTCTAGAGCCTAGACAAAGAAAGAAAAAGAAACGCAATGAAGAAATAAATTTTTTTTTACAAGATGTACAAATTAGTCTTCCTTTATTCATTGCCATTGAACATATTCTTGAATATGCTTGAGTTTTGAAAGAAATGTGTATATCAAAAAGGGCACCTAGAGTAGAAAAATTATCTATACATGCTAGTGCATTATTATTAAATCAATTACCATATAAATTGAAAGATACAGGTGCCCCTTTAATTTCGTGTGATATTGGTGGATCTATTTTTTAGAATACTTTACTTGACACCGGTGCTAGTATTAATTTATTACTTACAAGTATTTGTGATAAATTTAATATTTCTAATCTTAAACCTTCTATTGTTACTTTACAATTTGTTGATAGATCCATAAAACATCCTAAAAGTATTTTAGAAAATGTGATAGTGATAGTTAAAGGGTGTAAATTTCTAACTGATTTTGTAGTGCTGGAAATAGATTTTAATGGACAATTTTATGATACACCAATCATCCTAGGGAGACCCTTTTTGCATACAGTAAAGATGAATATTGATTTTCTCATAGGTATTGTGAAAATTTTATGTGGAGATCAATCAATAGAAATTTTATGTGAAAATTTTTGAGGTACCAAATGATCTTAAGAAATCACAAGTATATGATTATCATAACATAGATCTTCTAGATGATTTTGATGATCCAGATTTTATTGATGATTGTGTGCTGGAAGAATTAGAGGAAATAGAGAATATAAATTTGGGAGAAAAAAGAGGAAGATCATCTGAATTTAGAGTTGAAACCTCTTCCCTCTAGTTTAAAATATATGTTTTTGGAGGAAAATAATTTATTTCTTGTTATTATTGCAGCTGATTTGAGTGATGAACAGGAAGAAGAACTATTAGATGTACTTCGAAAAAATAAGAAGGCTATGGGCTGGAAAATGAACGATCTAAGGGGCATTGATATGAGTGTACGCATGTATAGTATATATCTAGAGGAGGGGGCTAGAACTAGTACGGAACCACAATGAAGATTAAATCCTAACATGATGGAAATTGTAAAAAAAGAAATTTTAAAGTGGTTGGTTGCTGATTTATCCTATTTCAGATAGCAAATAGGTTAGTCCTACACAAGTGGTGCCAAAAAAATCAGAGATCACAATTATACAAAACAAAAATAGGGATGAAATACAAACAAGATTAACTATCGGTTGAAGGGTTTGCATTGATTATAGAAAATTAAATTTAGTTACTAGAAAAGATCATTTTCTCCTACCATTTACTAATCAAATTCTAGAAAAATTAGTTGGAAAAAACTTTTTTTGTTTTCTGGATGAATACTCTGGTTATAATCAAATTTATATAAACCCTTTAGATCAAGAAAAAACAACTTTCACTTGTCCATTTTGTACTTTTGCTTTTAAACACATGCCTTTTAGTTTGTGAAATGCTCCAACCACATTTCAAAGATGTATGCTGTCTATTTTTTCTAATATGATTAGAAAATGTATAGAAATTTTTATGGACGATTTTTCTATTTTTGGTGAATCATTTGATGAATGTTTAAATCATTTACAACATGTACTTGAGAAATGCATAGAGAAAAAGTTAGTTTTGATTTGGGAGAAATCACATTTTATGGTTAGAGAGGGAGTTGTGTTGGGTCATATTGTGAGTGAAAGGGGTTTAGAGGTGAATAGAGCAAAAACTGATATTATATCTAAAATGAAACCTCAAAATTTAGTAAAATAAATTAGATCTTTCTTGAGTCATGTAGGTTGTTACAGAAAATTTATTAAAGATTTTTTGAAAATTTATAAACCTCTCACCATGCTATTATCTAAAGATGTGCCTTTTAATTTTGATGAGAAATATTTTGAGTCTTTTTCTGAAATAAAAAGATTACTTATTGAGGCACTCATTTTACAAGCTCCTGATTGGTCATTTTCCTTTGAAATAATTTGTGATGCATCGAATTATGCAGTGGGGCCCGTTCTAGGACAAACAAAAGAGTCAAACCCATAGTAATTTCATGTGCTAGTAAAACTACATCTGATGCTCAATTTAATTATACCACGACTGAAAAAGAGTTATTAGTTGTAGTATTTTCGTTAGAAAGGTTTAGATCATAAATTTTGAGAGCTAAAATTATTATTTATACTAATCATGTAGCATTAAAATATCTGTTAAATAAGAAAGATGCAAAGCCATGTTTATTAAGATGGATTTTATTGTTGCAGGAATTTGACTTAGAAATAAAAGATAAAAAAGGTTTCAAGAATATTTTCCTAACCATCTTTCTAGATTAAGTGATACAGGAATAAATGCAGCACCTTTACAAGACGCATTTCCAGATGAACAATTGATGGCAGCTCAACATCAACCATCACCATGGTATGCACATATTGTTAATTTTCTATTTTTTGGAAAAACTCTAGAATAGTGGGATAAGAACAAAAAACATCATTTCTTTTATAAGATTAGAAATTATTTTTGGCATGATCCTGATTTATATTACTTGAGCAATGATCAAATTTAAAGGACATGTGTTCTTGAAGAAGAATATCATAGCATTATTAACATGTGCCATTCATCTAATTGTGGAGGACATTTCTCTAGACAAAAGTTAGTTACAAAAAAATTTCAGTGTGATTTTTATTGGCCTACAATCATTAGAGATTCTATAGAATTTAGTAGAACATGTATTTCATGCCAATCTATAGGTAAGGTAAGTAAAAAAGATGAAATGCCCATGAGTAACATGTTAGTAGTTGAAATTTTTGATGTATGGGGAATAGATTTCATGGGTCCCTTCCCATCAGCTGAAAAATATGAATATATTTTACTTGTTGTTGATTATGTGTCAAAGTGGGTGGAAGCTATTCCTACTAGAACTAATGATCATAAAATCGTGATGAAATTTGTGTGGGAAAATATTTTTTTGAGATTTAGATGTCATAGAGTGATTATTAGTGATGGAGGAACACATTTTACCAATAAACATTTTAGGGAACTGTTGAAAAAGAATGGAGTACACCACAAAGTAGCCACTCCATATCATCCCCAAACAAATGGGCAAGTTGAAGTAGAAAATAGGGAAATTAAGAGAATTTTGAGAAAAATAGTTAGACCAGATAGGAAAGATTACCCCATGAAATTACAAGATGCATTATGGGCTTATAGAATAGCTTATAAAAATCCCATAAGTCCCCATTTCGTCTCATTGTTGAAAAGCCATGTCATCTTCCTATGGAAATAGAGCATAAAATATTATGGGCTATAAAAAAATTATGTATGGATGAAAAATCAGCTGGTGGGCATAGAATTTTTCAACTACATGAACTAGAAGAGTTGTGGAATGAAGCTTATGAAAATCATAGAGTATATAAAGAAAAAACTAAAACTTTTCATGATAAACACATTAGCAGAAAAAAATTGATATTGGACAAAAAGTGTGGTTATATGATTCTAGGCTAAAATTATTCCCAAGAAAATAATCAAAATGAAAAGGGTTTTATGTGTTGGAAGAGACATATGATCATGGGGCCGTAATAAGTAAAGATCTTAAAAGTGACATAACTTTAAGGTAAATAGATAGCGGCTTAAATAGATGAATGCCTTGTAGAAAAAGAAATTTTATTATTAAAAGAAATTCAAGAGTGAGATCAAAGAGTCCAACTAGAGATATTAAATTCAGCGCTACATGAGAGGCAACCCATGATTTTTATTTCATTATGTTTGATTTTTTTTAAGCTCTATTTTTCTTAGAATTTTGTAGTACTTGTTTCTGTATTTGTTTTTTTGGAAAAGTGTAGGAGGAGGAGTGTAAGATGAACTGAAAAATTAAAAATGAGGTTGAGGTGATGTCTTTCTGAGCTGTATCATTTATGAAAATATTTTTAATGCTTAACTTTGCACATATTCATGCTTCACTAGAAAATTATATTTTCTACATATTCTGTTTCGATTTTTCTGTGTCTTTGAGGACAATGTTATTTTTAAGTTGGGGGGTGAAGTATTAATTATTAATTTATGTTTTAGGATGATTAAGAACATGTGTTTTCATTTATTCAACTTAGAACATCAACTAAAAATATAAAAAATAAATAAAATTTAAAAAAACTACAACATCTATTTTCTAGTTTTCTATTAGGAACAATAGATTGTCAAAAATAGTAGACAAAAAAATAGCCCAAAATTTTAAATTCTAGAGACCCTTTTCTCACATTTCAATCCTCTAGATATATATTACTGAAATTCAAAATTACAGCTATAAAGAGGATAGTTTTGATTTATTTTTGACAAATTTATTACTATTAAAACTAGAACTGAAAATAGAAAATTAAACTATCAAAACTATTTAATTTACAAATTTCTTACATCATATTGCATGCATGAAAAATGAAATCAATTAAATTGATTGATACCAAATAGATACTTGAAAGATTATTATTGAGTCAAAAGAATGATCTAGTAGCATGAAATGTTGGAATACTCTTTGGATACATGATAGATAACATGGATTTGATTTTACAGATTTTCACTTCATGATCTTGATGGATAGTATTTACTTGATGTAAAAGTTTGATTGATCATTTGAGTTTAATGGAGATTTTTGCACCCTAATCTATAGGACTTGTAAGGAGAAATCACTTATTTCGAAAAAAAAAAAAGAAGAGAGAGCAATATGAAAATTCTAGAAATGAAGAGTACACATAGAGGGTGTGAGACATTATTCTCATTGTCAAAAATTGTGTATAGAAAAACACTTGTTGTAAAATAAGTGGATAAAGTGAAAGCCCTGAAAATGAAGAGTACACATGGAGGGTGTGAGACATCATTCTTATTGTTGAAATTTATCAATAGAAAAAGTTACTTATCCACTATATATAAAAGAAAAAAGAAGGAAGAAATATAGTACAAACTTCAAAAATCAAGCCATAGAAAAAGGGAAATCTAGGATCAATATTATTCTTGGATGAGTATTGATAATTGGAACATCTTGTAAATACATCTATGAGTGAACAAGTGATAAAGATGTGAATAGAAGAAGTGAAGTCTAGATTGTTATTCTAAAGAGTGTTTAAATATTTAAGTGCTTGACATCATTCTTAATATTTGATATAAGAATCCAAAGTGTCTAAAGGTACATCATTTCTAATTGTATCTTTTTTTTGTATTGAAATATGATGTTTGAGATTTGTAAAATTTTATTTTCGTAATTCCATTGCTAAGTGACTAGCAATGATTTAAGTTGAGGGGTGTGATAAGTCTTTATTATCATGAGTTAATAATTAGTAAATAATATACTTTTAGTCTTAACTCATGATAAATAGACTTATATTTGTGTTAAAGTGTGAAAAGTGGTTTTCAGTTGATTAACGTGAATTTTTGGGTAATTACATAATTTTATAATATTTTTATTTTTATTTCTTGTTCTTCATTTATCTCAAATTTTTGGATAATTATATGATTTTATACAATTTTTACAGTCTTACTTTTGAGATAAATGAAGAACAAGACATAAAAATAAAAATATTGTAAAATGGGAGGACCCACCGGCCAGCCAGACCTACAAGTGGGTCAAAAGTGCAGTTGAGGAGTAGCCACGAGTAGGGGGGGTTGATTGGCTTGAACCGATGGAGGCACGTGTGCACCATTCCCCTTCCACGTCACCGGTGGCTAGCTGACTGTGGGGCAAGGAGTGGTCGTACATGCACAAGAAAAGGACATTGCTTAGGAATGTAACATTACTATATATTCGCCCGAAAATTTGGCACACAACTGATGTGGGACTAAACCCATCACCTTTCTTAGAAGAGGCGGGGGCAACCGACATGGGTTCGAATCCTCCTAGAGCAAAAACTCATATTTTTATTTGATTATTGTGACTTTTCTGCAGATCACCGGATTAAGCAATCAGAATTGTTAGATCATCAGCAAAAATTTCATCAATGCGATTTGTGGAGCATTGTTACTCAAATTACTAAGGATTCGTCATAAAAGGATCGTGAATCCATCGAGTAAATCATCTCCGATTAATCGATGAACAAGCCATCATCGAGAAGAAGACGATCCGCTAAGAGACAAGTCACCACCTCTTGAGAGCATACTAGATGCAATGAAGACCCTCCTCTTGGTGTGCGGACCTGAGGATGAAGCTCCCTGACACACGCCCCACCTCCATCAAGCTCTTTTCTGTCAGGTGACAGCCACTGGAGAGCTGTAAAGTCGCCATTTTTCTGCTCCACCAGGTGATAGCCATCAAAGACAATTCGACAACCCACTTCATTAATCTCTAGACTTTGCAAGGAGATCTAGAGATTGTCCACATCGTCCTTGTCCAAGGAGAGCCTTCGAGGCTATAGACACTACACGACGATCCTCCCGAACGCTCAGGATTCCAGTACATCTCCAACGGATTGTTGTCACGATGTCGAAACTCTATTTTCTTGCTTTCAACTTACGTTATGCTTCATTTAGTGATAATTTGTATGATTTTAATTTACCAAAATATACTTTGTTCTATTACGATTCTTCCAACCTTTACAGATCTTAATTTGATTAATTAAATCATCTGTAATCACTTATGTAAGAATCACCGAGCAGAACTCTGTTTCTACCCAATTCACGTTTGTCAGATGCTGACATCATCTTGATGTCTACACCCTTATTTCCCTTTTTCATGAATTTTAAATATATTTCCTTTTCATTTTCTAGTATAAAATTCATAGAAAATCGTATTCATTGAGAAAAAATTACCATACATTATATTACATTGCTATAATTGACCTAGAAAATTAGCATTATTTTTAAAAGTTTAATGGAATTATAATTGATATATTTATTTAGAAATACTTCTAAATATTAAAAAATTCATATTTTCTAGTTTTATAAATTTTAGATTTGCGTGATTTAATATACAACGACTGAGTCACAACAAAAGAACTGGCTTAAAAATATAACATTAATGTATACTCACTCGAAAAATTAGTGCACAACTGATGTGAGACTAAACTTGCATCACCTTCCCCAAAAAGAGCAAAGCAACCAGTAAGGGTTCAAATCCTCCTAGAGTCAAAAATCATATATTTTTATCTGATTATCATGACACTCCTATAGATCGCCAGTGAAGGATTAAGTAATGAGAATCATTGGATCATCAGCAAAAATCTTGTCAATGTGATTCGCAGAGTATTGCTACTAAAATTGTTGAATGATTCGCAATAAAAGGATTGCAAACCATCAAGTAAATCATCTCTGATTGATCGACGAACAAGTCATCGTTGAGAAGAGGATAATCTGCCAGGAGATGAGTCGCCACCTCCTGAGAGCATACTAGATGCGATGAAGAGCCTCCTCTTGCTGCGTGGACTTGAGGATGAAGCTCCCTAACATGCGCCCCACCTCTATCCAACTCCTCTCTGTTGGGTGACAGTTACCAAAGAGCCACCAAGTCGTCATTTTTCTGCTCCGCCGAGTGACAACCACTAGAGATGATTCGATGACCCATTTCATCAATCTCTAGACTTCACAAGGAGAACTAAAGATTGCCCATGTTGTCTTTGTCCAAGGAGAGCCTTCGAGGCCATAGACACTACATAATGATCTTCCCGAATATTCAACATTCCGGTGCATCACCAATGCATCACTGTCACAATGTCGGAACTCTATTTTCCAGCTTTCAACTTACTTTATGCTTCATTTAGTGATAATTTTTGTGATTTTAGTTTACCAAAATATACTTTATTCAATTACGATTCTTTCCACTTTTACAAATCTTAATTTGATTAATTAAATGATCTATAATTGCTTACGGAAGAATCACTAGGTGGAACTCTATTTTCACTCGATTTGCGTTCACCAGGTGCTGACATCATCTTGATATCTGCACCCTTATTCCTTCTTTGTGAATTTTAAAATATATTCCTTTTCATTTCCTAGTATAAAATTCATAAAAACTCATATTCTTTGAGGAAAATTCTAAATAATTACCAGATATTATATTGCATCCCTATGATTGACCTAGAAAATTATCACAGTTTTTGAAGTTTTATTGAATTATAATTGATATATTTGTTCAGAAATACTTCAAAATATCTAAAAATTCATATTTTCTAGTTTTATAAATTTTAGATTTATGTGATTTAATATACAAAAACTAAGTCACATCAAATTTTGGTGCCATTGTCGGAGATGTATTGCATAATATTTAGTATTTTTCTATTTTTCTCTTAGCGTACACAAAAAAATTGAACTCTTGTTTTATTTTATTTTTGCTGATTTTTTTTTTAAAAAAAGGGAAGGAAGAGAAGCAAGACAAGGACTAGAGCATACTGAAGGAGGGTAACAATTACTAAACTTTTTTCCTCGAATTTATTATTTTTTTATGTATGATGGAAGATCTTTGCATCTAAGGCTAGAAAATCTAAAAGAAAAAAATAAATTTTAATAGATCTTAAAGGAAGTACAGGTCAAACTGAGAACAATCCTATGACCATGAAAAATTATTATATCCCTGATTCATTTCAAAAAGCATCCAATATTAGAGTCCCATTAGCACCCACTATTAAATTCGAAATAAATCCAAGAATTTTTCAAATACTTCCTAATTTTCATGGATTACCTTTAGAGGAACCTCATTAGTACTTAGAAAAATTTTATATGGTCTGTGATTTCATTAATCTCCCTCAAGTTACACTGGAAATTATTAAGATGAAATTATTTTCTCATACACTTAGGGACAAAGCTAGCCATTAGCTATCCACATTAGATAGAGAATTAACTAGCTGAAATGATATATGATAAGTCTTCATTATCATGAGTTAATAATTAGTAAATAATATAGTTTTAGCCTTAACTCATGATAAATAGACTTATATTTGTGTTAAAGCATGAAAAGTGGTTTTCAGTTGATTAACGTGAATTTTTGGGTAATTATGTGATTTTATACGATTTTTACAGTCTTAGTTTTGAGATAAACGAAGAACAAGAAATAAAAATAAAAATATTGCAAAATAGGGAGACCCGCCGGCCAGCCGGGCCCGCAAGCGGGTCGGAAGCGCAGTCGGGGATTAGCCGCGAGCAGGGGCTCGAGCACCTTGCTTGGATCGATAGGGGGCACGTGTGCGCCACTCCCCTTCCACGTCACCGGTGGTCAGCCGGCTGTGGGGCAAGGAGTGGTCGTACACGCGAGAGGATTTTGCCTACAAAACTAACTTTACTATATATTCGCCCGAATAATCCGCGCACAACCGATGTGGGACTAAACCCGCGTCACACCTTGTTCAGGGGCGGGCGACCGCCGCGGGTTCGAATCCTCCCAGAGTCAAAATTCATATATTTTTAACTGATTATCGCGACTTTCCTGCAGATCGCCGGTGAAGGATTAAGCAACCGGAATCGCTGGATCATCGGCGAAAATCTCGTCAACGCGATTCGCGGAGCATTGCTACTAAAAGTTCTGAACGATTCGCGATAAAAGGATCGCAATCCATCGAGTAAATCATCTCCGATTTATCGACGAACAAGCCGTCGTCGGGAAGAGGACGATCCGCCGGGAGACCAGTCGCCACCTCCTAAGAGCGTACCAGATGCGATGAAGAGCCTCCTCTTGCTGCGCGGACCTGAGGATGAAGCTCCCTAACACGCGCCTCACCTCCATCCAGCCCCTCTCCGTCGGGTGACAGCCGCCGGAGAGCCGCATAGTCGCCGTTTTTCCGCTCCGCCGGGTGACAGCCGCCGGAGATGATTCGACGACCCACTTCATTGGTCTCTAGACTTCGCGAGAAGATCTAGAGATTGCCCACGTCGTCTTTGTCCAAGGAGAGCCTTCGAGGCCGTGGACACTGCACGACGACCCTCCCGAACGCTCAGGATTCCGGTGCATCGCCGACGCGTCGCCGTCGCGACGCCGGAACTCTATTTTCCTGCTTTATCTAGAGATTGCCCACGTCGTCTTTGTCCAAGGAGAGCCTTTGAGGCCGTGGACACTGCACGACGATCCTCCCGAACGCTCAGGATTCCGGTGCATCGCCGACGCATCGCCGTCGCGACGCCGGAACTCTGTTTTCCTGCTTTCAATTTAATTTACGCTTCATTTAGTGATACTTTGTTGATTTTAATTTACCACACTATACTTCGTTCAATTACAATTCTTCCGGCTTTTACAGATCTTAATTTGATTAATTGAGTCGTCTGTAATCGCCTACGTAAGAATTGCCGGGCAGAACTCTGTTTCCGCCTGATTCGCGTTCGCCGGGCGCTGACGTCATCCTGACGTCCGCACCCTTATTTCCTTTTTTTCGTGAATTTTAAATATATTTCCTTTTTATTTCCTAGTATAAAATTCGTAAGAAAATCGTACTCATTGAGAAAAATTCTGAATAGTTACCAGATATTATATTACATCCCTGTGATCGACCTGGAAAATTACCGCTATTTTTGGAATTTTTATTGAATTATAATTGATATATTTATTTTGAAATACTTCTAAATATCCGAAAATTCGTATTTTCTAGTTTTATAAATTTTAAATTTGCGTGATTTAATATACAACGACTGAGTCACGTCAATATAGAACAGATATTTCTTTGAAAATTTTATCCCTAAGGAAAAACTTAAAATATAAGAAAACATATATAGAGTTTTTCTCAAAGATTAAAAGAAATTTTACATGAGACATAGGAAAAATTTAAAGACTTACTTAGAAAGTGTCCTCATCATGCTGTACCCAAGTGGCAGCTCAATATAATTTTTTATAATAGAATATTAGAACAACATAGAAATATGATTGATTCTATATGTAGAGGAGCTTATATGGAGAAAACCCTTGATGAGATTTACAATCTTTATGAGAATTTAAGTGAAAATTCTAGAGATCAAGCCTCTTTTGAATTATATGACAAGGATAAGAAGAGAGGAATTTATGAATTGCATCATGATGATGATTCTAAATTTAGAAATGAGGTTAATTAGAATAATCAAAGATTTTAAAAACTTGATTTACTTATTGACAATATTAGAAAGCCTCCTAACCCTCAATTTAATTCAAATAGTACATGTCTTATGTATGGTAAAATGATTATTCTGAATTTCAATGTTATAATTTAGATCAATCATTTCACCCTATGCAAGAACAAGTGCAAGTAGCTCATGGTTTAAATAGAAATAGGGAACCTTTTTTAAAATTCTTATAATCTTAATTGAAGGAATAATTTTTCATGGAGAGATCTAAATAATATTTAAAATTCAGAAGCATTTAGACCCAATTCAAACTCTGAATTTCGTCCAAAATAAGAAAACAGATTTCAAAAAAATCAGCCCTCTCAAACCCAACTTGATATTATGGAAATGATGCAGCAAATGAGCCAAATGATGCAACAAACTATGAATCAAATGATGCTGCACTAGAAATAAATTATATAGGCTCTTGGGAATAAGAGAGAAGAGGGACAGCTACCTAGTCAGCCTATAGAAAATCCAAGAAACTGTCCAACAATAGGATTTCAGCAAGGGGAGTCTAACAACATGAATCAAGGAAAAAACCCACGAAATGAAAATATTAGGACAGTGAATGCATTAAGAAGTGGCAAGATCTTACTTGATCCTTATCCCTAAACATTAAAAGAAAAAGAAAACGTGGACAACCCAAAATAAAATCAAATAGGAGTAGAAGAGGATTTTAGAGATTCTACCAAGGAAATTTCAAAAGAGAGGACGACCATTCTATTTCCTAAAACTCTAGAGCCTAGACAAAGAAAGAAAAAGGAACACAATGAAGAAATAAAGAAAATTTTACAAGATGTGTAAATTAGTCTTCCTTTACTCACTGCTATTGAACATATTCTTGAATATACTAGAGTTTTGAAAGAAATGTGTACACCAAAAAGGGCACCTAGAGTAGAAAAATTATCTATACATACTAGTACATTATTATTAAATCGATTATCATATAACTTAGGAGATACAAGTGCCCCTTTAATTTCGTGTGATATTGGTGGATCCATTTTTCAGAATGCATTATGACGTGACTCAGTCGTTGTATATTAAATCACGCAAATATAAAATTTATAAAACTAGAAAATACGAATTTTCGGATATTTAGAAGTATTTCTAAATAAATATATCAATTATAATTCAATAAAATCCAAAAATAGCGGTAATTTTCCAGGTCGATCACAGGGATGTAATATAATATCTGGTAATTATTCAGAATTTTTCTCAATGAATACGATTTTCTTACGAATTTTATACTAGGAAATAAAAAGGAAATATATTTAAAATTTACGAAAAAAAGGAAATAAGGGTGCGGGCGTCAGGATGACGTCAGCGCCAGGCGAACGCGAATCAGGCGGAAACAGAGTTCCGCTCGGCGATTCTTACGTAAGCGATTACAGACGACTTAATTAATCAAATTAAGATCTGTAAAAGCCGGAAGAATCGTAATTTAACGAAGTATAGTTTGGTAAATTAAAAATCACACAAAGTATCACTAAATAAAGCGTAAATTAAATTGAAAGCAGGAAAACAGAGTTCCGGCGTCGCGACGGCGATGCGTCGGCGATGCACCGGAATCCTGAGCGTTCGGGAGGATTGTCGTGCAGTGTCCACAGCCTCGAAGGCTCTCCTTGGACAAAGACGACGTGGGAAATCTCTAGATAAAGCAGGAAAACAGAGTTCCGGCGCCGCGACGGCGATGCGTCGGTGATGCACCGGAATCCTGAGCGTTCGGGAGGGTCGTCGTGCAGTGTCCACGGCCTCGAAGGCTCTCCTTGGACAAAGACGACAATCTCTAGATCTTCGCGAAGTCTAGAGACCAATGAAGTGGGTCGCCGAATCGCCTCCGGCAGCCGTCACCTGAGAAAATCGACTTTATGCTCTCGGCCGTCACCCGACGGAGAGGGCTGGATGGAGTGAGCGTGTTAGGAGCTTCATCCTCAGTCCGCAGCAAGAGGAGGCTCTTCATCGATCTGGTACGCCTCGAGGTGGCTACCGGTCTCCGGCGGATCGTCTCTTCCCGACGACGCTTGTTCGCCGATCAATCGGAGATGATTTACCGATGGATTGCGATCCTGTTATCGCGAATCGCTCAGAAATTTTAGTAGCAATGCTCCACCAATCGCGTTGACGAGATTTTCGCCGATGATCCAGCCATTCCGCTGCTTAATCCTTCACCGCGATCTGCAGGAAAGTCGCGATAATCAGTAAAAATATATGAATTTTGACTCTGGGAGGATTCGAACCCGCGGCGGTCGCCCGCCCCTGAACAAGGTGGATTTAGTCCCACATCGGTTGTGCGCGGATTATTTGGGCGATTATATAGTAAAGTTAGCTTTCTACAAAGTCCTCTCGCGTGTACGACCACTCCTTGCCCCACAGCCGGCTGACCACCGGTGACGTGGAAGGGGAGTGGCATGTGCCCCTATCAGTAAGCCGCCGAGCCCTGCGGGCTACTCCCCGACGCGCCCGACCCGCTTGGGCTGGCCGGCGGATCCCCCCATTTTGCAATATTTTTATTTTTATTTCTTGTTCTTCGTTTATCTCAAAACTAAGACTGTAAAAATCGTATAAAATCACATAATTACCCAAAAATTCACGTTAATCAACTGAAAACCACTTTTCATGCTTTAACACAAATATAAGTCTATTTATCATGAGTTAAGGCTAAAACTATATTATTTACTAATTATTAACTCATGATAATGAAGACTTATCACATTACTTGACACTGGTGCTAGTATTAATTTATTACATATAAGGATTTGTAATAAATTTAATATTTCTGATCTTAAACCTTCTACTATTATCTTACAATTTACTGATAGATCCATAAAACATCCTAAAGGTATTTTAGAGAATATGATAGTGACAATTAAAGGGTGTAAATTTTCAGCTGATTTTGTAGTGCTAGAAATGGATTTTAATGGATAGTTTTATGATACACCAATCATTCTAAGGAGACCATTTTTGCATATAGCAAAGATGAATATTGATTTTCCCATAGGTATTGCAAAATTTTCATGTGGAGATCAATTAGTAGAAATTAAAATTTTTAAGGTACCAAATGATCTTAAGAAATCACAAGTATATGATTGTCATACCATAGATCTTCTAAAATTATATGGGGGAGGGGGGAGTGGGTGTTGTTAAAACACATCCTTTAAAATAGTCAGCCATATCTAACACTCCCCAGAACTCTTTAGTCATTTTAATGACCCTATTTTATTGGGCTATTATAATGACCAGCTAGTTGTCTGAGTCAATAACAACATTAAGTTGCTGCTGTTGGCGCTTCTGCTCATCCATCCAGTTGCACGTGGGATTTGGTCTTGGTCTATGCCAAATCTAGAGAATCCGAAGCACTAGAAATTCAGGTGATGTCCCTGAAATAACAGGGAAGTTACTCATCACGTAAGGATTTCATGGACAATGAAAGCTTTAGTTCCTAAGTGACTACTGTTTGAGGCGCAAGGGCACAATATATCTATACCTATATCTATATCTATATCTATATATATACGGAGTTTACGATATTGAACACCAAGCAAACGGTAGTTAAGAGTATGACGATCATGGTGGCAAGATCTGGAAATTCATGAAGGAAAACACCGCTCAGGCTCAGCCCTCTACGAGAAGACACGGAGCATCATTCCTGCAGACCATCCACAAAGGAGGAGGCGAAAGCATCCATACACAACCGTGAGATGGATACCGACAGCTGCACGCTACCTTCTTCATCCCTTGCCGCTAACAGTGCCACCTCCCCGTTCCCGTTCATTGATACCATCTCCACCCTCCTAGGGCCCCCCCAGCCAAAATCCGCATCGTACACCCGGAACCTCGGCGACCCCGACACATTCGCTAGTCTCTCGATCGGAAAACCCGTAAGAACCGACTTAGTTGTCCAGCGCTCAATGTCACTCAACGGTTCTCTAGTAGCCTCCTGGACCGCTCTCCGCACCGCTGCGCAGGCCGTCTTAATCCCCTCATCGTCACCGGCCAGCAGCTCCGACGCCTTGGCCACGGCCAAGCAGGGCTTGACGCAGTTGCCGAAGTAGCGGTCCTCGACGGGAGGGTCAAGGCGACGGCGGCAGTCAGCTTCGAAAAGGAAGGGACAGATAAGGTCGTCCGGTGGAATGCCCTTCGCTCTGACGATGCTCAGCCAGATGTGGGCGGCCAGGGCGGCGAACGCCGAGGGCCGGTGAGTAGCGGTGCCTCGGTCCTTTAGGGAGGCGATGCTCTCCATCTTGACGATGAAGGTTCTCCGTGACAACTTACGCGGATCGTAGAATTTCATCAAAGAGTCGGATAACTGAAATCAGCCATGACGCATGTTTCAGCTATTTAGATATAGGTAAATGGATAGATAGAGAAAGAGACACGGTGACAGAGCCATTGAGCTTACGCTTGGGAGGTTGGGAGCGACGGTCCTCACGATACTCCTGGCAATCTCTTCCGCTCGGGGGTGACTTATGACCGACCGGTCATGCAATGGCTCCGGGAGACTCGATGCCCCTCCGCCGGACGATATCCGGCACTCCGCCGCCCACGCATCAACGAACTGCCATATGGCCTTACCATCGGCGGCCATGTGGTGCATAGAGAACCCAATTACCACACCTCTCCCAGGAAAACCGGTGACTTGCACGGAGAACACCGGAGCCGGAAGCTGACTCGCCTCTAAGACCGGCACAAGAGACAAGAACGCCTCCTCGTCGTAGTGCTGGATGTCCGTGAGCCGTTGGAAATCGATCCCCTCCGCCTCTGCCCAAAGGAAATCGACCCCGTCGCCTCCGTCGCCGGAGAAACTTATCATGAGGTTGCCGGTGCCGTCGACCGCGGTGAACTTCCCGGCGAGGGCATAATAACGAGAAAGCGTCCGGGAGAGGGACTCCCTGAGCTCTTCGACGAGGGAGGGGATCGGGCGGTCGGTGCTGAACAGCAGCACCCGTTGCAGGGGAGGGAAACGAATCCATTTGGCGTCGAAGAAGGAGAGCTTGACGGGTTCCGGACAGGGGCCTTCAAGTGGTGAGAGCGAGACGCGGGTGACGTTCAAGACTCGAACTTCCCCCATGGTTGTCGACAGCCACCGTCCTACCTCATCGAAGAAAGCGTATCAGTCCCGCCTTGGATTTGTAGACAACTGATACCCACCACGCGCGTGCCACCTGCCGCTGTCTTTTTCCTGTAGTGTGCCTCCACCACTCATGAAACCTACTCAAACCCTTTTCTCCCGATTATGATTCCTATTCGCTAATGTGAGCACGCCACCAAAATTTTATCTGCATCTTGAAATTTTATTTCGCACAACTGTAGCGGCTACCAACGTCTGGTTTGGGCCCCGGGCTGGCAGAATCCAGCCCATATTTTCAGTTCCCTTCACGTGACCTGGCCTTTCGAAAGATAATAACGGGACAAACTTAGCCTCACCATCTGTAAGATGTTGAGAATCACCGGATTAAAGACAGTCTACTGTATGGAATTGTACTTCATTATATCTCAGGCATACCCGAAAGGGTTGATTTAGAGCAGTACAATAACGATAGGCCCAGCTAGCTAAGCCAGCTTGATACTCTTGTTTATTTGTTTCCCACTAGGTCTTGGAACCCTTTACTAGAACACAAATTGAAGAACAAATCCTACATCATTTCTTTTAGAAGTCCATTTTCTGGAATGTGAGCTAAAGAAAGCATGAAAATTAAAATTTTAATATCACATTGAGTTAAATTAAATGTCATTAAAGTATGTGAATATTTTGATACACTGAGTCTTGTCAGTATGTTGTCATTAGCTTTTTTGTGCAACATCAATTTCTTGTAATTCCAAATGTGAAATGATTATAAAATAGTCTCAAGCAAGAAACCTATCCCATTCAATAGCAAGCCCTAATAGCTATTTGGGGATATCATAGTGCTTCATTTTTCCTATTTTCTTCTACAATTCTAAGCTAAGTTTTATTGTATCCTTATCTTCTTTATGACCTCAAGTATCATATTGGGTACTTGTGCAAAAAATAAAGAGAGAATTTGTGAGGTCTTTGCTGGCAAGTTGACGTGACTTAGTCGTTGTATAGTAAATCATGTAAATTAAAAATTTATAAAATTAGAAAATATAAATTTTCAGATATTTACAAATATTTATAAATAAATATATCAATTATAATTTCATAAAACTTCTAAAAAATGGTAATTTTCCAAGTCGATCACAAGGATGTAATATAATATCTGGTAATTATTTAGAATTCTCCTCAAAGAATACTATTTTTTATGAATTTTACACTAGAAAATGAAAATAAAATATATTTAAAATTTACAAAAAAGGAAAATAAGGGTGTGGATGTTAGGATGATGTCAACACCCGACGAATGCAAATCGGGCAGAAATAGAGTTCCATCCAATGATTCTTACATAAGTGATTATAAATGATTTAATTAATCAAATTAAGATCTATAAAAGTTGGAAAAATCGTAAATGAATGAAGTATATCTTAGTAAATTTAAATCACTCAAATTATCACTAAATGAAGCAAAAAGTAAGTTGAAAGCAAGAAAATAGAATTCCGACATTGCGGTGACGATGCGTTGGTGATGCACCAAAATCTTGAATGTTCAAGAGGATTGTCATGTAGTGTACATGGCCTCAAAGGCTCTCCTTGGACAAAGACGATGTGGGCAATCTCTAGATCTCCTTACGAAATCTAGAGATCAATTAAATGGGTCGTCGAATCGTCTCCGATAGCTGTCACCCGGTGGAACAGAAAAATGACAACTTTGTGGCTCTCCAACGGCTGTCACCTGACGGAGAAGAGCTAGATGGAGGTAGGGCGCGTGTTAGGGAGCTTTATCCTCAGGTCCACGCAGCAAGAGGAAGCTCTTCATCACATTTGGTACACTCTTCAGAGGTGGTGACTCATCTCCTAGTGGATTATCCTCTTCCCGACGATGGCTTATTTGTCGATCAATCGGAGATGCTTTACTCAATAGATTCGCAATCCTTTTATTGTGAATTATTCAGTAATTTTAGTAACAATGCTCCATGAATCACATTGATGAGATTTTTGCCAATGATCCAGCGATTTTAGTTGCTTAATCCTTCACCGGTGATTTATAGGAAAGTCGTGATAATTAGATAAAAAATATGAGTTTTGGCTTTGGAAGGATTCAAACCCGTGCTAGTTGCCCACCTATTTCTGGGGAAGGTGTGATGTGGGTTTAGTCCCACATCACTTGTGTGCCGAAGTTTCGAACGAATATATAATAATGTTACATTTGAAAGCAAGTCCCTTTCTCATGCATGTACGACCACTCCTTGCCCCACAATTGGCTAGCCACCGGTGATGTGGAAGGGGAGTGGCTGACGGGTCCCCTCCATTTTGTTATATTTTTATTTTTTTTTCTTTTTCTTCATTTATCTCAAAAGTAAGACTGTAAAAATCATATAAATTCGTATAAAAACATATAATTACCTAAAGTTCACATTAATCAATTGAAAATCACTTTTCACATTTTAACATAAATATAAATCTATTTATCATGAGTTAAAGCTAAAACTATATTATTTACTAATTATTAACTCATGAAGGACAAGCTCGAGCTCACCCTTATCTTTCTTTGTATTTTCACATGACTTGTTGGGCCTCGTGTTTGTGTGTTAGCAGGCCCAATTCTATGTGTGTGTTGTTGTTTGTGTCTCCCTTTCTTTAGGATTTTATTGGGTCTCTCTTTTGAGGCCCAATTAAAACCCTAAGGGGGGGGACCTAGGCTTCTTTCCTTTTTGGGCTTCTTTTGGGGCTTATTTAGGTCTTCAATTGAGGCCCACTTAAGCACCATATGAGGGCCCTCCTCTTTCTCCTTTAGGGGAGCTTATTGGGTTTCTCTTTTAGAGGCCTAATAAGTCATTTTTGTAGCTTTTTTTGTGGCTTATAAGCTTGAGGGCCTGATAAGTCTTCATTATCATGAGTTAATAATTAGTAAATAATATAGTTTAGCCTTAACTCATGATAAATAGACTCATATTTATGTTAAAGTGTGGAAAGTGGTTTTTAATTGATTAATGTGATTTTTTGGGTAATTATGTGATCTTACACAAATTTATATGATTTTTACAGTCTTACTTTTGAGATAGATGAAGAAAAAGAAATAAAAAATAAAAATAAGATAAAATGAGGGGGACCTGTCGACCAGCAAGGCCTGCAAGAAAGTTGGAAGTTTAGTTAGGGAGTAGCCGCGAGTAGAGGCTCGAGCAACTTGGACTAATAGGGGCACGTGTGTGTCACTCCCCTTCCACGTCACCAGTGGCTAATTGGCTGTGGGGCAAGGAGTGGTGGTACATGCAAGAGAAGGGACTTGCTTAGGAATGAAACATTAATATATATTCACCCGAAAAATTGGTGCACAACTAATGTGGGACTAAACTTGCATCACCTTCCCTAGAAAGGGCAGGCAACCAGCATGGGTTTGAATCCTCCTAGAGTCAAAAATCATATATTTTATTTAATTATCACAACTTTCCTACAGCTTCGTTGGGTGATGATAAGTCTTCATTATCATGAGTTAATAATCAGTAAATAATATAGTTTTAGCCTTAACTCATGATAAATAGACTTATATTTGTGTTAAAGCATGAAAAGTGGTTTTCAGTTGATTAACGTGAATTTTTGGGTAATTATGTGATTTTATACGATTTTTACAGTCTTAGTTTTGAGATAAATGAAGAACAAGAAATAAAAATAAAAATATTGCAAAATGGGGGGATCCGCCGGCCAGCCGGGCCCGCAAGCGGGTCGGAAGCGCAGTCGGGGAGTAGCCGCGAGCAGGGGCTCGAGCGGCTTGGTTGGATCGGTAGGGGCACGTGTGCGCCACTCCCCTTCCACGTCACCGGTGGTCAGCCGGCTGTGGGGCAAGGAGTGGTCGTACACGCGAGAGGACTTTGCCTAGAAAGCTAACTTTACCCTATATTCGCCCGAATAATCCGCCCACAACCGATGTGGGACTAAATCCAGCTTGTAACGGGCGGGCGACCGCCGCGGGTTCGAATCCTCCCAGTGTCAAAATTCATATATTTTTAACTGATTATCGCGACTTTCCTGCAGATCGCCGGTGAAGGATTAAGCAACCGGAATCGCTGGATCATCGGCGAAAATCTCGTCAACGCGATTCGCGGAGCATTGCTACTAAAATTTCTGAACGATTCGCGATAAAAGGATCGCAATCCATCGAGTAAATCATCTCCGATTGATCGACGAACAAGCCGTCGTCGGGAAGAGGACGATCCGCCGGGAGACCAGTCGCCACCTCCTGAGAGCGTACCAGATGCGATGAAGAGCCTCCTCTTGCTGCGCGGACCTGAGGATGAAGCTCCCTAACACGCGCCTCACCTCCATCCAGCCCCTCTCCGTCGGGTGACAGCCGCCGGAGAGCCGCAAAGTCGCCGTTTTTCCGCTCCGCCGGGTGACAGCCGCCGGAGACGATTCGACGACCCACTTCATTGGTCTCTAGACTTCGCGAGAAGATCTAGAGATTACCCACGTCGTCTTTGTCCAAGGAGAGCCTTCGAGGCCGTGGACACTGCACGACGACCCTCCCGAACGCTCAGGATTCCGGTGCATCGCCGACGCGTCGCCGTCGCGACGCCGGAACTCTGTTTTCCTGCTTTATCTAGAGATTGCCCACGTCGTCTTTGTCCAAGGAGAGCCTTCGAGGCCGTGGACACTGCACGACGACCCTCCCGAACGCTCAGGATTCCGGTGCATCGCCGACGCATCGCCGTCGCGACGCCGGAACTCTGTTTTCCTGCTTTCAATTTAATTTACGCTTCATTTAGTGATACTTTGTTGATTTTTATTTACCAAACTATACTTCGTTCAACTACGATTCTTCCGGCTTTTACAGATCTTAATTTGATTAATTGAGTCGTCTGTAATCGCCTACGTAAGAATCGCCGGGCGGAACTGTGTTTCCGCCTGATTCGCGTTCGCCGGGCGCTGACGTCATCCTGACGTCCGCACCCTTATTTCCTTTTTTTTTCGTGAATTTTAAATATATTTCCTTTTTATTTCCTAGTATAAAATTCGTAAGAAAATCGTACTCATTGAGAAAAATTCTGAATAATTACCAGATATTATATTACATCCCTGTGATCGACCTGGAAAATTACCGCTATTTTTGGAATTTTTATTGAATTATAATTGATATATTTATTTAGAAATACTTCTAAATATCCGAAAATTCGTATTTTCTAGTTTTATAAATTTTATATTTGCGTGATTTAACATACAACGACTGAGTCACGTCAAATTTTGGCGCCGTTGCCGGGGATGTATTGCATAATATTTAGTATTTTTCTGTTTTTCTCTTAGAGTACACAAAAAAAACTTTACTCTTGTTTTATTTTCTTTTTGCTGATTTTTATTAGAAAAAGGGAACGAAAAGAAGCACGGCAAGGACTGGAGCATCCTGAAGGAGGGTAACAGTTACTAACTTTTTCCCTCGAATTTATTGATTTTTATGCATGGTAGAAGATCCTTGCATCCAAGGCTAGAAAATCCTTTCATTATTTCATTCAAAAAGAAAAATCCGAAAGAAAAATTAATTTTGATGGATCCTGAAGGAAGTACAGGTCAAACTGAGAACAATCCTATGGCCATGAAAAATCATTATATCCCTGATTCATTTCAAAGAGCATCTAATATTAGAGTCCCATTAGCACCCACTGTTAAATTCGAAATAAATCCAGGAATATTTCAAATGCTCCCTAATTTTCATGGATTGCCTTTAGAGGAACCTCATCAGCACTTAGAAAAATTTCATATGGTCTGTGATTTAGTTAATCTCCCTCAAGTTACACCGGAAATTATTAAGATGAAATTATTCCCTCATACACTTAGGGACAAAGCTAGTCATTGGCTATCCACATTAGATAGAGAATTAACTAGCTGGAAAGATATAGAACAGGCCTTTCTTCGAAAATTTTATCCCTTAGGAAAAACTCAAAATATGAGAAAACATATATGGAGTTTTTCTCAAAGACCAGGAGAAACTTTGCATGAGACATGGGAAAAATTCAAAGATTTACTTAGAAAGTGTCCTCATCATGCTATACCCAAGTGGCAGCTCAATAGAATTTTTTATGATGGATTATTAGAACAACATAGAAATATGGTTGATTCTATATGTGGAGGAGCTTTTATGGAGAAAACTCCTGATGAGATTTACAGTCTTTATGAGAATTTAAGTGAAAATTCTAGAGATCAAGCCTCTTTTGAATTATATGACAAGGAAATGAAGAGAGAAATTTATGAATTGCATCATGATGATGATTCTAAACTTAGAAATGAGGTTAATCAGATTAATCAAAGATTAGAAAAAATTGATTTACTTATTGATAATATTAGAAAGCCTTTTAACCCTCAACTTAATTCGAATAGTACATGTCCTATGTATGGTGAAAATGATTATTCTGAACTTCAATGTTATAATTTAGATCAATCATTTCACCCTATGCAAGAACAAGTGCAAGTAGCTCACGGTTTTAATAGAAATAGGGAAAATTTTTCAAATTCTTATAATCCTAATTGGAGGAATAATTTTTCATGGAGAGACCCAAATAATATTCAAAATCCAGAAGCACTTAGACCCAATTCAAACTCTGAATTTCGTCCAAAACAAGAAAATAGATTTCAGAAAAATCAGCCCTCTCAAACCCAACCTGATGCTATGGAAATGATGCAGCAAATGAGCCAAATGATGCAACAAACTATGAATCAAATGATGCAACAAACTATGAATCAAATGATGCTTCATCAGAAACAAATTATAGAGGCTCTTGGGAATAAGAGAGAAGAGGGACAGCTACCTAGTCAGCCCATAGAAAATTCAGAAAACTGTCCAACAGTAAGATTTCAGCAAGAAGAGTCTAACTGGATAAATTTAGAAAAAAACCCACGAAATGAAAATGTTAGGACAGTGAATACATTGAGTGAGAATATTTTACCTGATCCTTATTTCCAATTATTAGAAGAAATTGATGATCCATTAGAAGTAAATGAGGATATTAAGGGCAAAAATATAGTAGCAGAAAATTTGAATAAAATCATTTATTGCTCACAATTGATGAATGAATATAGTGAGGATGATGAGGAGAAAGAACCCTTAGATGAAGAAACAGCAACTGATCATAGAAAATTCGTCCAAATTTTAGTAGAAGGGAGTAAGGACAGAAATGAAGAAAAATATATTTCAGGTGAGGAAAAATCAATTGATTTGGGAGATGGAGGAGACGAAATTAATGAATCTAATCATAATTTTGCAGCCATGGATGTTGATTGTGAGGATGATGATGTATATCATATACCAAAATTAAAAGATAGCTCTTGGGAAGATGAAGAATTTGATGAGTTGAGAAACGAAAAGCTAGAAAAAGAATTGATTCAACTAATGGGAACAAGCGAAAATAATAGATGTGAATATAGAAATAATTTTGGAGGAGAAAATTTGAATTTTACTGAATTCATTAGATCTGAGATTAAAGAAGACAATCCTTCCATCCTTCAAAACCCACAGCCCATTAGAATTATTTCTAAGCTTGAAATATTTCACTCCTCACAAATTGAACAAATATGTATGGAAGATAAAATGGAGCAGGGAAAGATTATGCAGATAAAAGAAGACATTAAGAAATGGGTGAGTGGAAGAATTAGAGATACCAATTTAGATGAAAAAATTTTAGATTGGGCAAGAGCTAATCTGAAAATTATATGGCCTGATCACATTTTATGGTTTATTAATAAAAAGTATTTATTAATGAATGAGAGCCTAACAAAACAAGATAGAAATAAGGAAAGATTCTTTTCAAAATGGAAATATTATTTTTGGAAAAATTTTGTTAATTTCCATTTTGTTTTGGCTGAAAGTATGTCAAGGTATATATATGAAGTAAATGAATTTATGCTAAATCTGAAAAAGAATATCATAAAACTTACCTTGGGATACAAATATATTTTGATGGCCATAGATCAGCTTATATGATATAAGAGCTGTCCAGCTGGAGACATTAAATTCAGCGCTGAATGGGAGGCAACCCATGGTTTTTATTTCATTTTGTTTGATTTCTCTTAAGCTCTGTTTTTCTTAGAATTTCGCAGTACTTGTTTCTGTGTTCGTTTTTCTTTCGAAAAAGTGCAGGAGGAGGAGTGTAAGATGAAGTGGAAAAGTAAAAACGAGGTTGAGGTGATGTCTTTCTGAGCTTCATCATTTATGAAAATATTTTTAATGCTTAACTTTGCAGATATGCATGCTTCACTTGAAAATTATATTTTCTGTATATTCTGTTTCGAGTTTTCTGTGTCATTGAGGACAATGTCATTTTTAAGTTGGGGGGTGAAGTATTCATTATTAATTTATGCTGTAGGACGATTAAGAATATGTGTTTGCATTTTATTCAACTTAGAACAGCAACTAAAAAAATAAAAATAAAATAAAATTCGGAAAAATTGCAACATCTATTTTCTGGTTTTCTGTCAGAAACAACAGACTGTCAAAAACAGCAGACAAAAAACAGCCCGAAATTTGAAATTCTAGAAGACCCTTTTCTCACATTTCAATCCCCTAGATATATATTACTGAAATTCGAAATTACAGCTATAAAGAAGATAGTTTTGATTTATTTTTGACAAATTTATTCCTGCTAAAAATAGAACTGAAAACAGAAAACGGAATTGTCAGAACTATCTAATTTACAAATTCCTTACATCATATTGCATGCATGAAAAATTAAATCAATTAGATTGATTGATACCAAAAGATACTAGGAAGATTATTATTGAGTCAAAAGAATGATCTAGTAGCATGAAATGTTGGAATACTCCTTGGATACATGATAGATAACATGGATTTGATTTTACAGATTTTCACTTCATGATCTTGATGGATAATATTTACTTGATGTGAAAATTTGATTGATCATTTGAGTTTAATGGAGATTTTTGCACCCTGATCTATAGGACTTGTGAGGAGAAATCACTTATTTCAAAAAAAAAAAAAGAGAGAGCAATGTGAAAAATCTAGAAACGAAGAGTACACATGGAGGGTGTGAGACATCATTCTCATTGTCGAAAATCGTGCATAGAAAAACACTTGCTGAAAAATAAGTGGATAAAGTGAAAGCCCTGAAAATGAAGAGTACACATGGAGGGTGTGAGACATCATTCTTATTGTCGAAATTTGTCTACAGGAAAAGCTACTTATCCACTATATATATATAAAAAAAAAAAAAAGAAGGAAGAAATATAGTGCAAACTTCAAAAATCAAGTCATAGAAAAAGGGAAATGTAAGATCAATATTATTCTTGGATGAGTATTGATAATTGGAACATCTTGTAAATACATCTATGAGTGAAGAAGTGATAAAGATGTGAATAGAAGAAGTGAAGTCTAGATTGTTATTCCAAGGAGTGTTTAAACATTTAAGCGCTTGACATCATTCTTAAATACTTGATATAAGAATCCAAAGTGTTTAAAGGTGCATCATTTCTAATTGTATTTCTTTTCTGTATTGAAATGTGATGTTTGAGATTTGTAAATTTTTATTTTCGTAATTCCATTGCTAAGGGACTAGCAATGATTTAAGTTGGGGGGTGTGATAAGTCTTCATTATCATGAGTTAATAATCAGTAAATAATATAGTTTTAGCCTTAACTCATGATAAATAGACTTATATTTGTGTTAAAGCATGAAAAGTGGTTTTCAGTTGATTAACGTGAATTTTTGGGTAATTATGTGATTTTATACGATTTTTACAGTCTTAGTTTTGAGATAAATGAAGAACAAGAAATAAAAATAAAAATATTGCAAAATGGGGGGATCCGCCGGCCAGCCGGGCCCGCAAGCGGGTCGGAAGCGCAGTCGGGGAGTAGCCGCGAGCAGGGGCTCGAGCGGCTTGGTTGGATCGGTAGGGGCACGTGTGCGCCACTCCCCTTCCACGTCACCGGTGGTCAGCCGGCTGTGGGGCAAGGAGTGGTCGTACACGCGAGAGGACTTTGCCTAGAAAGCTAACTTTACTCTATATTCGCCCGAATAATCCGCCCACAACCGATGTGGGACTAAATCCACCTTGTAAGGGGCGGGCGACCGCCGCGGGTTCGAATCCTCCCAGAGTCAAAATTCATATATTTTTAACTGATTATCGCGACTTTCCTGCAGATCGCCGGTGAAGGATTAAGCAACCGGAATCGCTGGATCATCGGCGAAAATCTCGTCAACGCGATTCGCGGAGCATTGCTACTAAAATTTCTGAACGATTCGCGATAAAAGGATCGCAATCCATCGAGTAAATCATCTCCGATTGATCGACGAACAAGCCGTCGTCGGGAAGAGGACGATCCGCCGGGAGACCAGTCGCCACCTCCTGAGAGCGTACCAGATGCGATGAAGAGCCTCCTCTTGCTGCGCGGACCTGAGGATGAAGCTCCCTAACACGCGCCCCACCTCCATCCAGCTCCTCTCCGTCGGGTGACAGCCG